TAGAAACCTATTTTGAGCTTCTGCTACCTTGACACCCAATTAAAATGCCAGAAGACAGTGAAAAAAAGTACAAAAATGTACCAACAAACCAATTATCTAAGATATCCAACAAAAATGAAGGTGCTGACCCTTTAAGAAATTGGCATTAGAACGGACGGGTGAACGGACAGACATATCGGCAACTACATGTATATGATCCGAAGTAATATTTTTGGGTTTGTAAAAGAATGCCTTGTAAGATTTTTTGATACTTAGGGTTCTTTTTACGTAAAACTTATGTTTAGAAACTGTGTATAAATATTAAATGATATGTGGATTAGTTCGTTGTTGAGTGTAATATGTTCATAGCAACGTCAGTGAGAGGTGGATTTGTGACTTTTTAACATCAGTGACATAAAAAAGATTAATTGTTTTGAAATTCAAAAGAGCTTTTAGAACCAATTTCTTATGTCAGGTCAAATTAAAACATTAATTTTGCGCTTAAAGCATCGTAAAATGTTTGGTATTATGTGACCTGCTGCCCTACAATGCAATACAAATGTTTCGTCTTGTAAAACATTTATTTTATTCTATCTTCACAGAGGTTATTTTTCGTTCTAAGAGCGTTTAATCTTTAAATTTTACAGACATTGAAATCCGTTTAAAGACTTTAAGCCCCTCTCAATTGGAATTATCGTCGAATTTCTATTGTACAAAGTGAACTTAAGTAATTGGTTTTCAAGTTTAAAATGAAAGTGATCGATTTGCTAAGTATATAAGTTTATTCTTAATGCAGTCTAAATGCTTAAGTCATACAATTTAAAGAGAATTTTAAAGCACATAAAATAACACAAAATACAGTGTCCTCTCAATGCTTTTGACATTGTTCCTTAGAAGTTAAGGTTAGCTTTTGAATATGATGCCGTTAGCCGCATCTCTCATTTAGACATCTCGCTGTGCATTGCATGTAAACAAGATTTAAGATTAATTACATTTCATATATTCCAGCTCAAATCATGTCATCAATGGTGCAAGTGGATTGAAGGGCTATGATAGAATTTCATTAGTTTGGTAAAATTCAGCGTGCTTCAATGCTACGCATGAATATTAAAGGTCCAATATGCCTCAGAAATGTTATCATTTTTATTTGTATATGGAAGTCAAAATATTACTTTATTTACGTTTTGCTATCTTTATAACACATAACTGAATGTTCAGCGTTACTTTTTGCAGTTTTAAAACATCTAAAAAGCACTTAATATACCATTTAAACATTATAAAAGACATGTTTTACATTTCAAAAGAATTTTCGGTTACTTAAAGTATCTAGCAGATTCTAGAATACTTCGCTTAGACTCGCTTTTTAATTCCCATAATATAGCTCAACGCGAAGTACAATTGTCTGGGCTATATGAATCCAAACAACTACAAAGTTATATAATTTTGATCTGAATGCATTAAAAGGTATATTTTAATGCAAACTTTATATGATAAAATATTGTCTTAAATACAGTTACTGAAAATCGACGAAAATCACTTGCTGCACAGGAATTCTAGTTGTAAGTTATTTTTTCTCATTCATGTTCATAACATGATTATTGTAATTTATTGTACTGTAAACTTGTGTGTGTCCGCGTCTGATTTCTTAAAGGCCCATTATGCCTCAGAAATGTCTTTTAATTTATTTTCTCAAAAGCTTGGTGTTGTTTTATAGTTTTGGTGTACTTTAATAGTTTTGGTGTACTTTTATAGTTTTCAAAGAGTAACTCATTTGCCAATTACCTAACTTGGCAACATAAGTACAGTTATAGGGAATAAGTATTTTGTATGGAAGTCAAAGTACTACTTTGTTAACATTTTGCTACTTTTATGACAAATTATTTCACATTTATTGCTACTTTCTTCAGGTAACAATCATCTAACATTCCCCATTGCTTTAACATTATAAAATTCATGTTTGCACATTTTAACGAAGTAAAAATTTATTTGATTCTAATGTGCTTAATACAGTTCTCCCTCGTCCCCCACTTCCCTTTCCCTCCGCAAAGCCTTAAAACCAAATTCTATGTTATTATATTTGAGCCGCGCCATGACAAATCCAACATAGTGCGTTTGCGACCAGCATGGATCCACACCAGCTTGCGCATCCGTGCAATCCGATCAGGATCCATGCTGGTCGCTTTCAGTTTCTCTACTTGTTATAGGGTTTGTAAGCGAACAGCATGGATCCGGACCAGACTGCGCGGATGCGCAGGCTGGTCTTGATCCATGCTGGTCGCAAATGCACTACGTTGGTTTTGTCATGGCGCTGCTCATTTATATCGTCTTTTAAGCAAACAGCATTCAGTCTCAAAGAAGAAATTTTCTATTTAATTAAATTGAGAGATATGCATTGGTTCAAATGTAACAGTTTTTTTAGATGATTTATAGAATAGACCATAAGTCAAATAGTTTATTGTCAGACTAATTCTGCCATGAATGTCCTGCAAAAATGCTTAATTGCTTAGCTACACGAATTAATTTAAAAGATGTTTTAAGTTTCTGTTGAAACAGGTAAACTATTCAACCAATGTTTAATTCTTTCCCATTTCGCAAATTTGAACAGAAATACAGACAAAAAAATGATGCAGATAATTATAAAGTGATATGATATTCTTTTTATTATTATTATTTCACTATTTGTTACGAAGATATAATTATTTCATTAAAAAAAGACAAGAAAAAAAACAAGAAAAAAAACACACAGATACCTATTCTTATTACTCGTGTATGAACATCTTTATAACGCAAGTATTATCATTCATACAAAACTAAATGAATGTGTGCCAACAAAATAAATATTAACGATGAAACATTTAGGACAATAGATATATACGCTATAAATCTTTTTGCCTTAACTATGTATACCCGCCTCTATACAATAGAAATATACATACTTATGAATATGTCTTTTTAAGAAGCGTTGTGGTAGTTTAAATAGATTATAAACTTTAAAGTTATTAAATAAAACAAAACAAAACTTCGCCAAAAGTGTTAAACTGCTGGTCGCTACATTTAGGTTATGAAAGGTGGGAAATTTGAATGTTGGATAATCTAAAACAAAGATTAAACTATCAAAAAATCATACCTGTCAATCGCTTGCCAAAATTTACGTTCCGTTCAATGTAAAAATCAATCAGACAGTGATCGATTCCGATCGCTCGGTTGAGTTTACCACGGCAAGAAACAAGAAAACCAATATCATATAGTAATTATCTCCCTTTAACTATTGGTATTATAAGTAGTCTCCAATAAAAAGACTTACTGGAGAGGGTGCAGTGGTAGACCTTACATTATCTGACTCGAAACCCATTGAACCTCCGTTAATCCAAAGTAAATTCAAATAAGATATAATCAACAAATAACAACAACAACACATTCATGTACAAAGCATATGTAGGCCCTAATTATTTTTTGAAATAAATAAAAAATTCTAACGTGACTTTTACCGTAACAGGAATATTGAACATGACTTCATTTGTCTCCCCGAGTCTAATTATGACTTAAATTTTTTCTACATGTAATCAGCAAATTACCGGGAAAAATGCTGTCCGGACGTCCACGGGTTTGCAAATATATTTATTATAGCATGTTCAATCAGAGACATATAATATAATATGTATTTTAACGTCTCTGGTTCAATCTTACATAGCCTTACTATGATCATGGTCTTTCAAATGAATGAATGAATGAATGAATGAATGAATGAATGAATGAATGAATGAATGGATGAATCGATGGATGGATGGATGTGGATCGCATGAATAATGAATTGATGATGATGAATGCGAATAAATGAATGAATGAAACCATGAAGAATGATGAATAATGAAATGAATGATGAATGCATGATGATGATGAATGAAAACCGGAAAAAAAAAATGATGAATGAATGACAATGATGAATGACTAAATATCATGATTTGTATAAATGTTACTTATTTCAATTTTCAACAGAAAGGTCCCCAAACTATGATACAATTATGACTTAAAATTTTTCTACATGTATTATAATCAGCAAATTATCGGGGAAAATGCTGTCCGGACGTCCACGGGTTTGCAAATATATTTATTATAGCATGTTCAATCAGAGACATATAATATAATATGTATTTTAACGTCTCTGGTTCAATCTTACATAGCCTTACTATGATCATGGTCTTTCAAATGAATGAATGAATGAATGAATGAATGAATGAATGAATGAATGAATGAATGGATGGATGAATGAATGTATGAATGAATGAATGAATAAATGAATGAATGAATGAATGAATGAATGAATGAATGAATGAATGAATGAATGAATGAATGAATGAATGAATGAATGACGCTATAATTATAATCAAGTACAATTCGAGGACAATGAATTTTGATAAGTTTATAGACACGTTTCATGGACTAAATATCATCGAACTTGTATAACTAATAAGTTACTTATTTCATATTTTACAATAGAATACCGTTGAAAAGTTTGCGATATTTTGAAATTGTAAACGTAGAAACACTGTGTACATGAATTAAAATGCACAAGAAATCTCCAATTATTTTTTTTCAGAGATTTACTAGAATTTAAAACCCTAGTTTGTAATTTGGTGGAAATTAAATATTCATAGACACGTATTTTAAAATGATGCACCAGAAGCCACCATTTAACAGCATGTAGATTTCACTTTTCCCTGGGGGAGGACCCCAAGACGTAAGGGAAGGGTACCGCTGAGGGTGTAGATCTAGATCTGTGATTGATTCTATCAGGTCTTTCAAATAGATTCAAAATCTAATGGTCGTTTCTCGCGTTGTAACATTGAATGTCTCTGTTATTTAAACACACATGTTTATAGTACCTAAACAGAATAAAATGATTATTAGACCGCACGTAAAGCACGGATCTTAATTTCGTGTTTAAAGTGACCTATGTCGTGACCAATTAGTGTAAAGTGACCCGTCTTTCTAATTTCCCCGCATAACTGTTAACAAGGATTTAATTGGTTCCTAATTCAAGATCCAATCAAATGCCATGTTATATACACTATTTCGCGAAAGTAAACAAATGCCTGAAATGGACGTTCCAAATGTTGCACTTCGTGTTAGCCAGGTAATTTTATATTGTATTGAAAGATTAACATTTCTTTTCGCTTAGGTTTCATTTATTAATGAAATATTTGAGAATGTTAGTCATCTGTAGTTAGATAAATCCTTCTGATTTCTCATAGAGGACAAAATTGTGGTAGTTTACCGGTGATAAGTTAGAAACATGCCTAAGAGATTAGTCCTATCAATACTGTAAACATTAACAAATACCTATTACCTTGTACACTTTTACAACCCTAATATATGTATATTTGTAAGAGAGTTATTTAAAACATAAGTATATTTATTAAAATTTCATACATTTAGAGTCTTAAAATAATAAACAGTCAAATCCATGTAAATTTGTATTGGGATGTCCAGAGTCACAGGGTGGTCTGTCAAAAAAAAAAGGTCCACCCCATCTCAATCTAGAGTCTTTTGAGTCTGCCTTGGTACAGTTCGCCGCGTCTCATCATCAGCACCGTCTTTCAGCTGTCTATTATTTACACCTATTAACTTATTAATGTGGAGGAAAAGAATTTAAGGGTTTTATCTTATGGCTGTCCCCGCACTATTGGGTCATTGTTGTGTTTGCAAACTGGTTTCGATTTTGCAGTGCCAGGACTAAAAGTAGGTGTTATTCTGAATCATAATCTCACTCTGCAATTTCCAGGATGTAGTGAGAGGGGGAGTGGCAATGGATACATTGGCTACAAGTGCTATACTTCTGTGGGTTTTATGGGAAAATCCAAAATATTGTCATGAATTGTTTTAAGTGAAATTATGTTAATTTTTACATTTTTGTTCTAGATAAGTCATTGTGTTTATTTTTGAATTTAACACATTTTTATGATTTATATAACATTTATTTCAGCTAGATGCTGCCGAACTTGATGATGAAATTGTCTCTTTGACAAAATTACAGTTGTCAAAGCTCTTCAAGTACCAACAGGTATATACAAATATTGTAATACATAAATGAATGTTAAAAATTCTTTTTCGTTGAGCAAATAGTGAATTTTATGTGTAATCATGCCAGCATTTAATGCTTACATTCTTTTTAACAAAAATAAAATATAAGCTGCTGTAGTACAGTCTTAGTAGATGGCTCTAAGCTCAATAAGTAAAGCATTAGACTGTAAATTGGGCATCTCAGGGGTTATTGAGGTTGTTTAGGGCCTGTCTTACAAATGATTGGTGCATAAAGATCACAATGATGTAAAATAAAAAAAAATGTTCTTTTTTGTTTCAGACCAATTTTCTTGCAAACTTTGAACCAGAGATAAATGCGGGCATCAAGTATCTTATATGGAAGGTTAGTTCATGTATACAATCTTTTATTTTTAATCTGAATTATTGTTTTAATACTGCAATTTATTTAAATTCGTGGGTTTAAAAATTTTCGTCGGTATAAAACCGATTTTTGTTCTTTAAATTCGGAGGTTGAAAAACCTTTTTGGGAAAATTTGGTTAAAAACCATATTTTAACCTTTATATGCTTTAAACTTTTAATGCTATTTCACATCATTACCCCTTTTTAGCCCAAGAGAAGGTAAACTCTGGCAAGGATTTGTTTAAAAATTTAAGGCTTTATTCGCTTAGAATTTGGTTAATTTTGTAAGATTTTACTGAACTGTTTTGGGTTTGTAATTTAAAGTTGGATATGTTTAAATATGATTAAACATGTCAAGGGTATTTGTCAAAATTTTATTTGAATATGGTTAACTGCAATGTTTTGTATTTTTAGGGAAGCCTAAAAACTTTAAAATAAAAAAAATTTTATCCCCTTGGTTCCTTTTAATTTGCATAATTAATTTCATTTTAAAAATCTTAATGTATGGCATTGTCACTTTTTAAAAATACAGAACTTTTATTGCCTTTTGCAAAACTTTTTTTTTTGGCAACTAAAATGACCGTGCTTGAAGTTTGTTAATTTTCGTTAGATTGTGTTAAAATTTTTGTTAGAAAAGATTGTGACCCATGACAAATGTTTGTGTGAGAATTATTGGCCCCCCTTGACAAATGTTTGTGTGAAAATGATTGACCCCCTTGATAACTGTTTGTGTGATAATGATTCTCCCCTTTGACAAATGTTTGTGTGAGAATGTCAGTGATTGTCCCCCTTGACAAATGATTGTGTGAGAATGATTGTCCCCCTTGGCAAATGAATGTGTCAGAATGATTGTCCCCCTTGACAAATATATTTGTCAGAATGATTGTCCCCCTTGACAAATGTTTGTGTCAGAATGATTGTCCCCCTTGACAAATGTTTGTTTGACTGTTAGAATGATTGTTTCCATTTGTCCCTGACCCCCTTGATAAATGTTTGTGTGAAAATGATTGCCCCCCTTGACAAATGTTTGTGTGAGAATGATTGTTCCCCTTGGCAAATGTTTGTGTCAAATGATTGTTCCCCTTGGCAAAATTAATGTATGTGTCAAAATGTTTATCCCCCTTGACAAATGTTTGTGTCAAAATGATTGTCCCCCTTGACAAATGTATATGTCTGAATGGTTATCCCCCTTGATAAATCTTTATGTCAGAATGACAATATTTTGCAGATCCTAAAAGAATTCATCAACTTTATTGGGAATTTGATGGACTTTGGGCTAGATTTTATTTCATTTGTGTATTCGCATTAATTGTTGATGCGGTTTGATATGTTATTTATTTGGAGACTGAGAAAATAAATTTATCTAATATTATGCTGTGTTTGTTTCTATTTCATGGAAAATGCATTCTCTTCTTTATAGATTCAATGAATTCTGTTAGTTTAATAAAATGCTTTGGTAAGCAACTGTTCTGTTCAAATAGATTCCATTTAAAAACGATTAATTACGTAATGCATGTCATAATTGTAATTAATTACTATTATGCAAGTGGAACATTTTTTTGATACAGTTATTTCCTTCGTAATATCCTGTCTTTTTATTATGAATGTATTCTCTACAATGTCAGCAAATTACCATAACTTTTTCCCTTTTCTTGTTACCTTTAATGATTTTAAACGTAGAATGAACTCAGTATATACGTCAATATTTAGTGAAAGGTGAACATTACATTCACAATTATACCACTCATGCAATTTCCTTGTATTGGCTATGTTTTATTCGTTTTTAATTGTTTACAGTCTCTATTCACGTATATTGAACCAATTGTGAACAGATTTGATTAGTTATTGATTATAAGGCGCAATTAATTTATGTTCTTTCCTCGAGAGACTGTGTGAAATTTTCCTTTTTATCATAGCTACATGATAAAACTGACAGGAAAGGAACTCTGCTGCACTGCGTTTAGATTGGCTGCCAACTAGAGATTAGAAGTTTTAATTGAATTTAAAGAGACTGTTTTATTTATTTATTTATTTACTAAAATCTAGGCAACAAGGAGGTTGTTGGATGAGAAAGCAAGACCTGCTCTGCTGCATACATAGAGTTCTAGCTTAAGATTATATTCAGTAGACATCATAATTTGTAAACTGCTTTTTCAGTTCTGTACATTAACATCATTTAAATTACATTTGTACTACATGTACTATACAAACAGTATTGCAAATTTGAATGCTGACTCTCAACCCATAGCCTACTTCCCATAAATGATTATACCAATGCAATCAGTGAAGATCAGCCGGCACATCATTTATAATTGTCTGATCATGGTCTGAACTGTTCATTATTCGCTCAGTAAATATGTTGAAATTTCTCCTAAAAAATGAAAATCAGGTTGTCCTGATTGAAAATGATATTTAGTGTGGAAAGAGTTTTAAAAAAATTGTGCCCAACATTTCTTATGTTATCATGTATCTCCAATACAGGGGCAGTCTGTATCATATTATGTACAATGTATATAAATGACCACCAAGTTAAAGAACAATTAAATTGATTGGGAAGATGAAAGTGGTCAGTGAAGGATAAATAAATCTTAGACTATTTAATCAATTAAAATTACTGGTGTGTGACCAGTATAGCGATTTTTCAGGAACTTATTCTGTTCATTATTTTAATCAAGGTCAAGTTCTTATTGCCAGCTCACATATCTCAATCTGTTAAAGCAGTAGACTTGAAATCTCACCATTGAAAAAAACTCTTCTGGAGGTAGATGTAGTATTATAAATAAACTCAAATGCACATACACAAGTTCTTAGGACTTGGTAAATATTAGGTAAATATAACAGACTTATCTTGATGTGTGATAACTTTGATGAGATACACTGGTCATATACATTCAAGGTCATATCATATGTTAGGGCAAAGGTTAAATTACTAGTAAATAAGATTGGACATTAGACATGTACCGTGCATAAAATATTTATCTTTGGCACATCATAAGTTGTTTTTTTTCAAGGTCAATCTAGAAATACATGTACCCAGTAAAACTAAAGTGGATGATCTTTAACTATATTTAATTAGGATTTTAGTCATTTCAAAGTGAATTTTTTACTTGATTTTTTGAAGAGAGTCATACAGAAGAATTACAATGCAAGTCATACATATATTATACTCCAATATATACATACATGTAAATGCATAATTATGAAGCCCAATAATTTCTTAAAGGTGCGAACAGAAACTGGAAGAAAAAATTGAAATGTAATGTCAAAAACTGATAATACTTAATTTTTTTTTCAAAACTATAATAAACATGGCATGTTAAGATAGATTTGAAAGATATGTTAAAGTTGTGTTGTTGTTGTTTTTTTTTACAAAATAAAGTGTTGTTGTCAACCTAAATGGCTGTTCAATATTATATAGATTTTAAAAATAATCACAACATGCTTTGAACATAATTATTTATTAGAGTAATATCATGCAAACTTTGATTGATTTATAATCTCCCATCATGCAATCTCCAGTTTCAATTAAATGCTTCAACTGTCTTTTAATAACTACCTGGGAATTTTCTGAAGGTCATATAATCTGTATATACATGTACATGGAAACATAAATGTCAACATTAGTAAGATATACATACATGTATATATATGTGTAAATTATTCATAAATTGCTTATAGTCTTGAAGAATGAAGTAGGTTATTTGTAAGAATTAATAAGTTCTTACATTTTTAGCTTAGCTCTTTAAAAAGATGTATCTAATTGTTATATGAAACAAATTATTTGTGAAAAAGGTATTTGTTAAAAATGAATTTGTCCTAGGTACAGTCAAACTCACCTCTAAGTAAATGCCAACTATATAACAATTTACTCTAAAGGCCATCTCTATTTCATTACTAACAATGCAAAACACCATGTTTCAAGAGTATTAAATGTTCAATTTTTGCTGACTGAGGTCACTTCTTAGATAGTAAGTTTTACTGTAGAAGTTTTACTTCTTATTTAGTTTTTTTGCATGATAATTATTCTTGTAATTCTTTAGCAAACATCATCTCCATTCCCACATTTAATATGTTACTTTTTTGACTGGGTTTACAGGCAAAATCTTAGATACCCCTTTGTGCATTGTTTCAGTGACACTTATGTATCTACAATGTAAGTACTCTGCATTTAGAACTACTGACTTTATCTGAGCTAGCTGTGTTGTTTACTGCTAACATGAAAGAAATCATAGTCCCTGACTGGTTTTCAAACTCACGGCAATATGGGGCAGGTGATACCTGTAGTCAGCAACATTAACCACTTTGCCAAAGAGGCCATCCTTACTTTTCACTGTTTTGAGGTAAATTGTAGGTTTATAACAAACGTCTATATTTGTTTATACAAAAGCATTGTAATTTGAATGGTAAAACATACTTTGAGTGTATTTTCATATCAATTTTTATGAACCACATTTAGGGAAATAGATTACAGATTTTGCTTCAAAAAACTTTACATATTTATGATTCAGCATTTCCATACACACTAGTATGAGGTATTGATTATCAAGTTTTATTGTTGATTAAATCATTTTATGTGACAATGCACTCTTGTATGTTTGTTTTCCCTTTCATGTGTACTAGTGTGATAGTTTGTTATTGCTAGGAAATGTTCAATTCATCTAACTTGTTCAAATTGATTACTGGTGTAAATTACAATGATGTATGAAAACATGCAGCATTAACTCATTGAGCAATATGGGTGGTGATTTCATGCCACCAATATTAGAAGTAAGCCAGACTAATAGTCACTGTTTTTTGGGGCTGCAAATTCATATTTTAACTGAATTGTTAACATAATATTATGTTATAATACATGTAGGTCATATTGTAATATATTTAATTATAATGTTATATAATGTTATAATATTTTGAATGAGATATTGCCCAGGCTGAGTTTTAAATTCAGAACAGTAAAGAAAAGTCATTAATGAGAAGTTTAGACATGCTGTCTTATTTCTGTTTAGACTCTTATTGATTAACTTACGTTTTCTGTCAGTTGATTTTGTCTAAATATGTTGTAACTTTACTTTTGTTTTAAAATTGTTTAAAACCAGATATTAATTATTAATTTGATTTGTAATTTGAGCGTTAAATCTACATAGTACTATTATTATACAACTGCTAATATTATTTGGAAATTGTTCAAAAGTCCCTTTGTCTTGAATTATTTTAAGACAATAAATTGTAAAGAAATTTTTTTGACAATGAGTTTAAAGTGTGTGGGAATAATTATGACTTCGTGGTTTTAGGAGTGCTGAATAATTAAAATTGTAGACGAAATAACCTTACTTGTTCATATCCCATGTAAAGTCCTGCAAGTGGGGAGGACTGTAGAAAAGGAGCATAACTTCTAACCCCTCTTGCTGGTAGGTAGGTCAAGGACGGATCCTCTGATCTGTGCGGTGGTGGTCTTGGCCTTGTGTACTTTGACCTCAAGCTGTCATAGCGGCTAAACTTTAGCTCAGTACTAGGTTCCTCCACATCGTCAGTATTTGGTTCGAATATGTCACTCACTACTGACTCCCTGTCATAAACTGCATTAATAATATCATCTGTGTCCACCGACTTGTTTGGTGTACTCGATGGAACAGGTGTTAATCTGGCGTAAGCCCCACTTTGCAGTGTACCACTGTCAAAAGATCTTTTCTGCATAGTTGTGGGGAAATCCATGTAATTGTCTGCTGAAACATTCAGCTCAGTATCGTCACTAACACTGTGAATATAACTATTTCTGTCACTTTCATCATCTTTCTGGTCTTCTTCCCCTTCAACAATTTCCCTATCTGAAGGAGGATCCTGCATAACTATCTCAGAAATCTCCATATCACTCACAACCTCTTTCAGATTAGATTTGGTCAGTTTATTTTCCTGTTCCATGCGATCACTATCATCTTCATCGCTAATTATTGGGTCATCGGCTGATTGCAAGGTGTCATGTTGACCTGAGTGACCTAGGTCAATCTCTTTGTCTTCTAATGTTATTTCTTTATCTTCTTGATACTGTTTTTCATCAATAGTTGAACTCTCTGATTCCTCAGTAGAAAAACTTAAGCTTTTATTAAAACTTTCTTCTTTCACCTGGTCTGGACTTTCAGTTTTTTGCTCTAAAACCATCATAGGCTCTTCACTGGTTCCACTGTCTTCATCTTGCGTCACAACCCCTTCCAGAACCTCTTCAATCTCCTCACTTTCTTCATCCTCTGACCCCTGACCTTTATCACTTCCATTTGTATCCTCTCGGTCTTTATCCATGCTTTATTTTTCTCACAAGGTAACAATGAATAAATCTAAAGGTAACCAAATGTTGTCATCATTTACACTATTCACAAAGCAATATTGCAACACTTTACTATTAATTTACTTTTTGTCAAATTGATTTAAATGTTCTCAATACAGGGATATGTAGATTTCCGATATTTCCTATTTTTTTGATAACACAATCATTATTTACATGCTCAGTCAGTCAGCTTATTGAAGTGCGCTCATCATGTATACACAATGTCAGTTCAGTATAGTTTGTATTCCCACCTGGATAAACTCTTTTCAGATAACCAGTCCCGATAATCATTCAAATATATTTTGCAAACACTGCACCAGTCTGGATTTTAAATATTACAAAAATTGCTCAGTGGCAGAAGGCCAGATTTTTAACTCGTATCAGCAATGTGTCCTTCAGTCTCAATAATATATTACCTTTACAAATTATTGATCAGCGTTTGCTAATCTCGGCTCCTATCTTTAACAATAGCTCATACCACACCGATTGGATACCCAGCCCCATACATACACTGATTGTTTAACATAAGAATTGATAGATTTTTTTTCTTCTCTTCCAAGGTATTGACTCACTGAGGGAAATGCCTTTGGGATAAACTCAAAGAGCAGATCTATATAATTAAGTCTGCCTTAATTAGCTCAACATGTTACATGTACTCAGGTCTTGGTCAATACTAAGTATTGATACAGAATATCCGATATATTCAAAAGGCAACATGTGCGCTGAGAAGTGCCAATTAACATGTTATGATATTGAGTAAATGCTCTTAAATGTAATATTATGCCATAAATGTTATCTCGTACGTGGATTAAGGGTACTAAAATATGTATTACATAGGATAGACCTAAAATAATACATCTAGAAATACCACTTCAGATATTAAGTTGATTATTAACTCAAATGTCATTAAATGCCACCAAGGGATTCTAATAAATTTTTGTGTTATTTAATTCTTTTGTCTTTTATGACTGAGATCTTGATTGTAAATATTACAGTAGTCTGGTTATAGATTTTCAATTGCTTTAGATTTCTATGCATGATTTCTAGTATAGGCCAGACTGATTTATTGTGTGCATAGTTTTTAGAGTGAACATCATAAATCATGCACTGACATTAAATTTTTAATTGACATTCATATTTATAATAGAGTTAGTTGTTAAATACATGTTATACATCTATATATCTATTTCATGCTGATTTTCTAATGACTGATTATAAAGTGTTTATCTGCATGATTTACACAGTAAGGGCTATTTTTGCCCATTTTGACCTTTTTGGTTAATTTTGTGGATATTAAGTGCCGTTTGCAATATTTAATTTACTTTTCTTTGTTCACTTCACAATATTTTACTTTTAAAATACATTTCCAAAATTTTCATGAAAATTTGCACGAATCTTGAGGCATGCTGCTTTAATGATATTATTAAGGGTGACCTTTGATCATTTGATCTGATTATCTGTCTTGTTAAATTGTCATATTTATTATTGATCATTTTGTATGGCCAAGAAACACTTTCATTAATAATATTATCATAGGCAATTAATGTAAGCTGCTTAAAAATTTGTCTTCTCTGACCATATTATTTCACTTTTTAATACCCGGTATAATCTATAGGTCAAGCTCATCTTGAACTTTTTGACCAGAACTCTTAATTTTTATCTTTTAGATAAATTATATGTCTGCCAGACTTCCCGAAAGTTAAAAAAAAAAAGTGTCAGACATTCGGTCTGACCCAAAGGAAATCTGTCAGACCAAATGAAATTAAACAAAATCAAAGGAAAACTTGTGTTTATATTTCTAAGACATTTTTTGGTTTTAATTTTTTTGCTGTAAAAATTGGCAGTCAGTACAGCGCATTTTCACCTCCTCCATGTCGTACACCAACCATTCACAGTCCTGCTTCCATTTTTCATTTAATTTTGTTTCAGGTCTATTCTTTTTATCCTTTTACTGCTGTTCTGTGTTCTCCCCTAGCATAGATTTTCGTTTTTTCCCAGGTTTGACACCTTCATTTTGTATACATGTGACTTGGATAAAAGCTGGACAGTCAGACCGATCCACAGTAAAGAATCGTCTGACCTAATCGAAATTTATCGGACATGTTCGTCGGACCGACATATTATGGAAGTCTTGTCTCCTCTCATTATTAAACCCATAGCGCTACCCTAGGGTAACAACTGAATCTACGCATGTGATCAGAGTATACCGATATAGGCCGGCACATTTGTGCAATCTTATCATTATCTGCACTTATTTACTATTCAGTCAGTATTCATTTTGAAATTTTCCTTTAAAAAATAATAGAATTAATGGTGATGTCCAAAATGAAAGATGGACAAGTCCATTTAAAATATTGAAGGTGGTTACAAAACTGCCTAATTGGACATATGAAAAAATAAATGTTTTAATCATATATACCAGTAATACTTTTCGAATAAACATTTCATAACTTTTTTTATTTTGTATCAAAATTAACTGTATAATAAATGATCTGAGTAACTTAGTTCTAAGAATCAGAGAATGATGTTATTAAGATACATGTTCTTGAACCAGTCTAAAGCCATTAAATCTGATTGGCTGATTCTAGAAATATAATTATTTAAGTTAGCCAATTGAATAGCAGCACCTTGAGACTGGTTTACTGTTTGTGAAAATTTTATTTGGCCTTGACATTTTTTATCTATGATAAGTTAACTTTGCATCAATGTAATGAGAATTATCCTCATTATGTCTCATTAACTGTTGTATAATGCCAGTAGATGCATTTTAAACTTAGATAATCAATATAGAAATTGTATATAATCAATATAGCAATTGTGTGTCAACAGGTAGAATTTCATGTATATACATTGACACAATGTTAATGGAGAAATGTTGACAAATTTACATTAATCATTGATGATCAGATGAAAGGGTTCTAAGATATTCCTTTGTAAGAGTATTGGAAACATTTTAGGAAACAAAATAAGTCTTTACAATTATGATTGTCTTATCTATTGTATTGTATGATCAGTAATAGATTGAATTGTTTCATTTAAAGGCCCATTTTGTCCTGGAAAAAGCTTTTTTTGTGTTTCCACAGGAAATACTCATTTGCCAATTATCTGATCCATATTTTGCTTCTGTTTAAGCTTTTGGCAATTAATACACTTTGTGATTTAGTACTTTAGTATGAAAGTCAAAATACTACTTTGTTTACATTTTAGGGTAAAAATGACACTCCAAACTGAAGAGTTGGGGGATGGGGTACTAGGGGAGATAACAAGTGTCTGCTAGTGCATTATACATGTATTGCATTATGTGCATAAACTTACTGCTATGACTTCTTCTAAACTGCTACTGCTACTGTAACTGTCCTCATGTTGTGCTCTACCATTCTAGAAATGATACAGAAACTTTGAAAATCATATTAATGTACTTGTAATACACAACTAACCATGAGTTCAGTTATCAGTTCTCAAAACTAAAAGACTAATAAAAGAATCCATATGTGGCTAAGTCATCCTAGAAAATGTTTTTACTTGCAAGAATGATGAATTATAAATAAAAAATCAGTGAAAGTAATTAGAAGTTGCATGAATCTACCAAAATGTTTAGAGGTTTAAATCTTTAGTTGTGTTTCAAACTTAAAATTGCATTTATTGTAAAGAATTGTCAGTTAATTAAATGTTTCTTTCAAAAGCAATCTTATAGAGCGATTCAAAATTCAAAATTCATAAATTGATACAGGATTTCACATCTCTATTTGTCAGGTAACTATGGTATTACCTTGTCATCACTGAGGTCAAGTTTAAGTGATTCAGCTGCATCTTCAAACTGTTCTTGTTCAGCTGATACATCTCCCATATTGTCTATACTCTCATCAAACTATAATATTATATTTTTGTATCTCAGATAAATGCATTGTCTCACAATTTAGTTCATTGCAAACTTAAGTTTTCCAATAAAACTCGCTCAAAAAGGCTCTTTTGTTTAAAATTTTAATAAATGTATATGTACAATTTGATAAATATTCATGTATTGGAGTTGCTCTGATTTTGAAAAATTTACCATTTAAAGTGTTAAAAAGTCAAAAATTCTAAAATTTATAGAACCAACTGTCCAACAGTTTAGGTGTCTAATGGGTCAGACTGCGCTGAAGTCTTATTTCAGGTACGTGTTGAGTATCGCCACCAGCATTGTAAGATATAAAATTTGCATTGAGTTGAATGTTTAATACTAAATAGCCACTAAAGACCTGGGTCCGAGGTTATAAATAAATTTTCTCCAAGCTCCATCTCAGATCTTAGGTATTTGATTGGTCAGAAACTCCCGACAGAGTGTACACTGACCAATGAATATCCTGAAATGTGAGACAATGTTTAGAAAAAAGTTTTATAACCTCGGGGCCAGTTACTTTTCTCAAAATGGAGCTCAGTTTTGATTAATATTATACCATGAATATAAAGAATAGACATTAAGTTTAAATTCTGGATGACATGTGTGAATTAATGCTATTATATAAATAAACATTTCAAGAATTCCAAGAACGATATCATTGCTATTAGCTCCTTTTAAAAAAACTTCATTATAAAATGGTTAAATATTCACCAAGTTATATAAAATACTGTGTATATTTAAGGTTTTACTAGTAATAATCATGTGTAATTGTTGAAATATGTACCTGTACACTAATATCAGGGTCGGCAATAGGTCCTGATGTGTCATGTGACATGTCAAGTGACTGATCAGCTGACTTGATATTTACATCATCATCATCAGCTTGCTCTCCTTCCACTGACACCTCCGTTACAACTATTTTAACTCCAGACTTGTCGACAGTTTCTTCGGAATTATCCGCCATTTTGAAATCCTTATCTTCTCTTAATTAAAATCCATTGATTTTACACTTGTACTGGGTGTCGATTTTTTTAATTTCGAAAAAAAAAAATCAAAATGAAATGTTTCAACTTGTTGTTTTAACGAGAGAACAATAGCACAGTTTCTCGATGACCATATAAATGTATTGATTTCTGAATCATTGAATTCTTTTTGCCCCCACAAGCTTTTAATGAATTAAAAATAAACAATGCAGCTTATGTTACATTTATAATGTATTAATTTCATTTTTCCATTTTACAACAAATAATTTAGAAATCGTTGAAAATTTCATGATTTCTTGACAATGTCCTTTAAACTCGACAGTAATTCGTACCCACCTCGGTATAATAACTCTAAGTTAATACAAAGCCATTGAAATGCATTTAAATGGAAATTTTATACACATTGTCTTGTTAAATTTAGAACAAAAGCTTTATTAGCCCACATTAATTTATGTTCTAGACTTAATCATTAACTTGCTGACCCATCAAGCCTATATAAAAGTTTACTTTTACTCAAATTGATCTCTTTGGGGTAATTAAAATGTTGAGCAAAGATTTGGTGACAGTCTTGAATGCATATGTTAAGTGTTTCTTTTGAAAGTGAAATTGAAGTTTATATTGAAACAAACAGATGAACGTTATTAAGTAATCTAAGTACAACAAAAATGTTTAAACAGAGATAGATAATATTACACTTTCTGATTTTCAATGCCTAAAAAAGTTTAAAAGACAAAAATGCCTATTGTGTATAATAGTAACATGCATTTAACAAGACTAATCTTTGTATATTAAGTGATTGTTTTTAATTTTATATGTATAATTTTTATATCGATTTGATAATTTTGTCCAAATATTTAAACCTATGGACTGCTTGCAGCAATCATTAATGCACTTTTTAGTCAATACATATTTTAAAACTCCACCGAAAAATGAGGATTGTTTTTGTCAAGATTGAACGATGGACAAGTCTAGTGCATTTTATATATTCCTTAACATGTTATATCCAACATGCAAGCAGGACTTGCTTTATATAATAATACAGTTAAGTTTGTAAGTTTTAGTTTGAAATGTGATGTGTGTTTCATTAAGACTCCTAAAAATACAAACCATGTTCATAAAAGTTCAATCTTTTATTTATACACTTAACAAATTACAATGTTTGCAAAAATTTATGAAAATTACGACACTCGATAGATCTGGAAGCATGCTGCTTTAAATTGTAAGTGATTGTGTGCCCATTAAAACAATTTATTCCTAAAGAAAAATCAAAAGATTCTTGTGTGACAATGTTATGTTACATGTATGTTTGAAATGAATAGAAAGTTGAAACATTTGATAAATGAAGGATTATGCAAATACATGTTACTTGTTTTGATAAAATTAAATATTTCTTTAAAGGCCCATTATGCCTTAGAAATGCCTCATAAAGACTTTTTCCTTTTTGTGTAAAAAAGTTACTCATAGGCCAAATAACCTAATCTACTTTCGCATCTGCTGCTTTTTTGGCAATGAATACATTTATAGTCATTTAGTATTTTACATAATATTATGGAAGTCAAAATACTTTCTTTACATATTTCTACTTTTATTATATTTCTACTTTTATGTAGTGCTACTTTCTACAGGTAACAAGTATCTAACAAGCTGTACAATGCAGTAAATTCATGTTTGCCCTTTCTTAAAAAGTAAATATTTATTTGTTTCTGGGGCATAATGTACCTTTAAAACCGTGTTATGATTATATTTTTTTTCCTTTTATTCAGTTTTCTGTGAGTGCCAGTGAGTCAACACTGGGGCAGTCTATGCTGAATTTGAAATACTTTAATGAGCGGGGGCAAACATGTACCAGTCGTTGGATTTCACACAGCCAGAAGTTACTGTATGCCCTTCTTCTGATTGGCTGTCCATGGTTAAAGGAAAGGTCACATGACCTCATCAGAATCTTTAATGTTCAAAAATGGAGGGAAAAGGTTTGTAAGAATTCCAGTAAACAATTAGGTGACATTGACTTAATCATATTTTATTGCTAATACATGTATATACTTATTAATATACACAGAAACAACATGTTTTCAAAATGATAAATAGCGAAAGGGTTGGACCCTAGTTCTTTCAACATAAGCGTTTGGCTCTTCCTGCAAAGGTTACAGTGTTGCTCTGTCTATAAACATTAGATTAAACTTATCTAAAGGTACATAGTTTAACCCTTTAGTAATGAATTACCGTAGTCATGCATTAAATTTGAAACAGTCTAGTGAAAGCTGAAAGGATTTTAATATAAAAATAGAGCTCCCAACAGTATAGGGGATGTCAAAGCCCAAAAACAGCAAAGGATATGAATAAGTATGAAGGCATGAATGTACAGTCAAAGGCCACCTAAAGATTTTGGAGACCAAGCACAACTGTTACAGTCAAATGGTCTTTATTTGGAGGTTACTATGATATATTTAATCAATGAAGGCTTTTTGAAGCATAGTCCTTTATTTACAGGGTTGCCTCTATTTGAAGGTGACACGGGTTTAACTGTTTATCTATCTATCATTACTAAGCATTCCAATTGTCTTAAATATTTATGTTAAAACAGGAGACTAAATTTTCATTTTACATTTATTAGAAACTTTTTTTTATAGGCATTGAAAGTAGCTTTAAGTTAAAACAAATCAACAACCAAACCAAACTTCTATGTGTGCATACTGTAAAATCAACAAAATGGCTGTTCAATTAAATTACTTCAACAAATTTATGTTTGTTCAGTAGTATTAATGTATTTCAAACTGTCCAAATTCAAATTAATTAACCGTTAATCTTTATGAAGTGCCCATAACAAGACACTTAAATGCGGTTAAATTCAGAGAATGATTTAAGTAATTCTCTCTTCTTTTTTGCAGATTGAAAAAGTAATAAAGTGGATAGAAACAGGGTTTAAAGTGGCAACTTTAGTGAATTTTCTTATATTTCTAAGACAAGGGTCGTATCTATCATTGCTGGAGAGGATTGTGGGAATTTGGTCAGTGTTTCCAGAGAAACAAGGCATGAGACAGGTAATTTAATCTGGTCAAGCTAGAGTTTGCTCCCTTTAACCTGTGTTAGGCAAGCTAGAGTTTACTCCCTTGAAAGTGCTGTATTTGTGTAGTGGCTTTGCCGTGCTTTGAATTTGAATGTTGCATTTGAAACTTTCAGAGACTTTTATATTGAAATTCAAGGAAATAAGCTTCCAACATTGTAGTGCCTGGTCTGACTGTATCTGCAGGCTTGCCTGGCTCTATACTGGTGGCAAAGGCTAAACAATTTGGTTCTAGCAGGTGAAGGGATAATTTGATGTCAGATAAAATTGTGTCAGGCTGGCTAGAGTTTGCTCCCTTTTATATTGTTAAGGCATGGTTAAGTTTGCTCCCTTTGAATTTGGAATATTTGGACTGTAACAAGTTATGTTGAATTACAAGAATATTTGCATTTGACCAAAATATTATAAATCATGCATGCATGTTTAGCTATTTACTATTTAAAGAATAGTTGACCATCCTCACCTTTTCCCTCGTGGTTGAAGTTTAATTTTGCAACTTTATATTTCATCAACTGATGATTAAAATGAATGTATTCTCTTAAACCGTTAAACTTTATCTTTTAGATCAATATAAGGAACATATTATTTTGAATACTATTATCTTCATGCATGGTACTTTATATTAAACATTTTGAAACAATATTTTTGAAGACTGTGCATACTTCAGTAGATACATACTCTTATATTAGTTTTGTTTTAGATAAGATGTTAAAATATTGAATAACAAACTTCTTAACTGTATTTGAATTATTTCTATGTATACATTATATAGTTTCCTATTCTTTTTAAAACCTTTATTTCAATGCTAAACATCTTTTTTTCCAGGTAACATTTGAATACATGACAAGGGAATTACTATGGCATGGATTTTCAGTAAGTTGTTGCAGTGTGTACAGAATTTATTATATTATGATTTTTGAGTCTATATAAAAGAAAGAACTTAGACTCTGCACATATATCATTTATTTAAGGGGCTCCACTGATGTTCAACAGCCTAAAAACCAAGAATTTGAAATTGGACAGTTTACTGTAAAATATGAAAAAATGTTAAGAAAGAAGATTGCTCAATTTTGAATTGAAAATCTTACTTATTCCAGTTGAAAGCTTTAAAACTTTTCATTCTATGTTACTTTTCTTAACAAAAAAATATCGAGTGAAATATCTGAAATTTTGCAGAATACCTATGGGTTTAGGCCTTAATCAGGTGGTACATGTACATAAATCTAGAAGGAAAAAACAACATTTTCAGTCCCATCATTACATGTCAAAAAACCTCAGTGGTGTCCCTTTAATATAGTATTAAAGCACTCTAAGTGTTTATTATGAAATGCAATCTTTGTCAAATTTTTATAGTCAGATTCTCAGGGTTAATCAAGCTAGATAAAGCTTTTGTGGCCAAGTAACAGAGCATTAAAACAAACATTTGTACGAATAGCCCATGCTTATAGGAAAACATTGTTGGAACCCAATGGTACTGATTTCACTTAACTACATATGAGAAAGAAGTTTATACATAACAAGTATGCATGGGTTACCGAGGATGATAGGAAAAAATATGTGAAAGTATGATGAAGCTGTATTCAGAGTTTTACATGTGGTAAAATGGCATTCTATTTGACATTATAATGTTACAAATGTATATTAACATTCTTTCTGGTTCTACTCAAGTGCCCTTTTGTGCCTGAAATAATGCAGGGAGAGGCACCTGAGATCTTCCTCAACCAAAAAGCTGGAAAGTCGTCATACATGTATGACCTATACTGTATTGGTGCGAGATAAAACCCAACAAAAAAAACAAAAACATTCCAATCAGAACTACACTGTTTGAAGAAGGATGTGACTGTCAACAGAGAGATAGCACATGAAATAAAATATAACATTACACTGTAATTGCTTTTTTTCAGGAATTCCTTTTCTTTGTGCTTCCACTAATCAATTTTCAAAGACTCAAAAACTTTGTGGTTCAGAAGTTCTTGTCATCATCAACTATGACTAGCCGTTCTTTAGATACTAAACGTGACTACACAACATGTGCCGTTTGTGGTGAATGGCCAATCAGAGCTCAAGAATTTGGTTGTCCACATGTCTTCTGCTACTTTTGTCTGCAGGTAAAAACTCATTTTTATGTCCAACAGCTAGTTTGTAAAGAAATGAATTCTCAAGAGAAGAACAACTTTCAAATGTTTGTTGTTGACTTACTTAATTACACAGCTTGTTGATGTAATTTAAGAAAATAGACTTTCATTTAAGTTACAACCTTCCAGTTCAGAGATGAAGCAAAGAAGTAAAACAGTCAATAAAGGCGGAGTTAGTTCTGTTTATTGTTTAAGACATGGGATTTATTTTCAAGACATTGGTATAGTTTTAGCATGTCTGTTTTGAAGGAAAATGTCAAGCTATAATGATAGCTGCATCATTGTAAAAAAAACTTAAATATAGCCCATTATTCAAACTTCAAATACTTGCTTTTCATGACAAGATGCAGTTATAATACAAGGGGCATAATTCTAAAAGCTTTTAGTTATTGGAGTTATGTCCCATTTTAAGTAGTCTAACTGGTTGCACTTAATGGATAAGTGTTAAAACAACATGCAGTGCTCTTGATCAAAAGTTGTGTCTGCTATTCAATGTTTTGCTTGGTTTATTTTCAAAATGTTTGGTTTATTTTACAGAGTAATTACAAAGCAGATCCAAGTTATGCATGTCCTCTCTGTTCCTGGAAAGTTGGAGATGTTTCAAGTATTCACAATGTGTCATTTATAATGAAAGACAATGACGATGTTGATGATACCTGATATTCTATGCTAAGATACAATCTCTGTGTGCCATATATTCTTGGACATATAAGAGCCAGACTTAAGTCTTGTCAAAGGATGAAAATTATATAAGAAAACAAAAGTATGGGTTGATGTTGAAAGCAAATTGTGATACTGTATAAAAATTATACTGTGACATATTAAAAAGAATTGGAAACATAAGTGAAGATAAAAATTCTTGTTATATTTTTATTGTTGAAAAGATGATTTATAATTCTCCTATTTGAGGTTCGTAACTTCCTTTTTTTAAGTTTTGGCTAGCTGTTGATCAAACATTCTCTTTAAAATTTGTTTAAACTTGTCATGGTCTCAGATAAAGCCTGGTTACAAGGATACAAGGTCTGATACAGAAGTAGTCATAGGAGCCAAGAATAGTTTTAAATAATTATGTAAAGAATCATGATGATGTCCTCGACAAAAGTTTGTCATACTTATCGCCCCCAACTTCGGGTAATTTCTTTCACTTTTATGGAAAAATGTGTATAACTTTTTTGTCAGATATTTTGTGGCTTACAGCTTTGATATTATCATGAAGCACTGCAGTCATGATAATGAACCATTACAAAAGTTTTCCCTGATAATTTTGTAAGACTTGTATAGAAAATTAACTGTCCTGAGCTTTAATTGATATTACATGTTTCAGATTACCATAAGTTTTAAAGGGGATCATGCAAGGATGCCAGAGACAAAACTTTAAAGTAATTAGGTTGTAAAAAGAATGTTTCCACACCTGCAAGATCACCATGCACATACGGTCCACTGTTTAAGGTGTCTGCTTGAAAACAAAAGGATGGTCAATTTTTTCACATACTTTCTCAAGATGTCAGAATGAATAAGTTTTAACTTAAATCTTTTGTTTCTGGTAAAGTCAAAGGAAAACATTTCACCTCAACACCTTCCCTTTGCTAGATACAGTTATCAGCTTGAGCTTGACCTTCAAAGATGACCTTTGCAGTGGAAGCATGGGTTTTGTACATTGCATCGTTTAAGGTGAACATTTGAGCCACGTGTGGAGAAATGCCTCAAGGGGTATTCAATTTATAAGGCAACACAAAATTTGTCTTCAAGGGTGACAACATTGACTGAGAACCTGCACAATGGCAGCATTGTTTTTGCTCTTTGCCTTTTTGAGGGGAACACTTTAACAACACACTCTTTACAAAGTACTAACAAGATCCAGTTTACCATTTTTATTGACATAAAAAATTGAAGCATTCTATCACCTGAATTAAATTGAAATATGCACCTGACACAAATTGTAATCTAATTTAGTTGTCGCTGTTTCACTCACATATAGTTACATGATACACATTACTATATCTACATTTTTTTGTGAACTTAAAAAGAGCACAATCAATAAATTAATATGTATGAAAATGATCACATCTTTTGAAAAATGTCATTGTTTTGGTTACAACTTCCTAATCAATTAATTTAAGACATACCAAAGTACATGTTAAATCAAATATATAAAAATTTTCATTTAAATATTATATTGACATTGTTAACTTTCGTGATATTTCATCAAATATACAGTTACAAAAACACTGGTCTTTGGTGGTGGTGGTTGCTATCAGATAAATTGTCTTTCATCATATATACATATACACATCTATCCTTTGACCACTTGTACAATGTTGTTAAGAACTATCCTATGTAAAATATCTTATTTGGTACTGGTTGAAAATAGAGCTAGAAGTCCAGCTGCTGCCCCAACTGAAAATACATAATTTCTGAGAAAAATGTTAAGGAAAAAAACAACAAATATCAGACAAATATAAACAGCCCCAGGCAATGACCTATCCATATTACTGTCAAAAAATGCTCATTAGATGATGCATAAATACTATCACAACATGATACTGTCTTACTGTGAGCTTGTCATCATAAAATAAATCATTCAAATATTTTAGTATTTGTTCATATAACTTTAGTGTAAATATTCATCAATTAGGTTATGATTGGGCATCATCCATGGGCGAGTGGTTATGGTTGTGAACTTCAAAACCAATTGCCCCACACTACACTGGGTTAAAAACCAGACAGGGTCTCTGGACAATTTAATGTAAGGAAGCTTTTCTAGATTACAGAATGTGCTACATTTTTTCAGATAAAATGGATTCCTGATGTTCTGCTTCACCAGTAAAGTTGGAAAGTCTCCATATGACCACTACTGTGTTGAACATGACATAACCCCTTCTCCCACTCAAATATTATGATAATCATAAAGGTAAAGGATACACATTTGGGTTGAAGTTCTTGAGAACATAAAATGATGAGAGAATCAGCAGCACCAGGTAAAAGGCGTTGTTATAGAATATAGAGAATGTTGTCGCCTCGTAGTCTGCTACCTCGTTCTTCTTCCATAAAATCCTAAAATGAAAACACCATTATTATCAGTGATAACAATTAACGTTATAAACTTTATTGTGGAAGTTGCAACAGATTTTTTCTATACAACTTCGATGAATAATGTTCACTTACCAAACACAAGTACAAAGTGGAGTGTTGGCAAAGCGGTTGAAGTGTCTGCTTCTTAATACAGGCACTTTGGGTTTAAATCACAACCATGTTTTCTCATGTGAACCCAGCAGTAGTTAGTTCCAGAAAATGGACTCAAATAAGCAACAAGCTTTTATTACAATAAAACATAAATTATCTTTGTACAAAGTAAAGAACAAACTTTAGAACATCAAAACATTAGTAACAGCCATCAGATAAGTTGACACATTTGAGCATTTGAATAGTATTAGTCAATCCTTTTGATGTATACCAAAGGCTGCAAGCTCTGTGGTATTTTCTGATCTTTGCAGTATGTATTTTCCTGTATAAGTTTATTTTTATGTAGTACTATAATTCATCTTGCTAGGCACCAGAGTTTGATAGAGTTGCATCAAAAAATCATTTATGTTCATTTTTTATGGCAGCCACACTTTATCCTTGCACATCATGGCTACTTCCTTAACAAAGACACTTAAAAAAAATTCAGAAAAGTTGCCTCGACTTGGATTTGAACTCCAGACCTCTCGCACACTAGACGAGCGCGTTACCACTGCTCCACGGAGAAGTTATGGAAACGATGCCTGAATAAAATCTAGTCATTCTAAATTTAGAACTTCCATTGCAATCCTTAATAATTTCGAGGTATTTTGTTCAGGATAAACCTGTTGTTTAAAATTGAAGTAAATAATTTAGCGAAAATCTTCTCGCCGAAACAGTCCGACATGTAGAATCTATATACATGTATTCCACTACTCTGCAGTCAGATTTATTTGTGTAGTATTCGGTAATCGAAATCGCTAAAAATAGCATTTTCATTGATTAAAATCAAATTCATCCGCGTAATTTGTGATTGTGCATTTATTGACAATTCTATAAGACAACGCTACTTTTAAACTTTGAATCCGTTGTAATTTGTCTGATACTTGTAACAAAATAAAAATATTTCTTTCTTTTAAATCGCTAGTTTTAAGCTGTTTTGAGAACTACTTGCTGTTAGGTTTGTCGTGAAATTCTGTGTCAGAGATTGAATGTCAGCTTTGTATTTACTGACCTTTGGTCAGAAAATACAAAAACAAATTAAGGCAATACCTTTCATCTTTTTCTTTTTTGTTCATTTTCTTGTCATCAGCTACTTTTTTCATTACTTCCCTGGCAACAGCATCTTCTCGTTTTTGGGCAATCCTGGAATGTTAAAGAAATTAACTTCAACCGTCAACTATGTTACCACAGTAAGGGAAAGGATTATAATTATTGTCTAGATTGATGGGTTTGAATAAAAGCAACATAATTAACAAGGCATTGAAGTGTTCAATGTAACATAATGCACTGCATTGAATAATAGTAATATAGGTATTAGAAGCAATTGAAAGAAACAACATTCAAGGGAAACCATCAGAGAAATAATAACTAAATGTTAAAACACTTTACGGAAAAAATACTATTGCAAACTTCTGAAACAAACTCTTGATAAAAATGCATAGATAAACATCCATTGAAAATTTATGAAATATCTGAAAGAATGCTTTTAATCAACTGATTTTTGTAATTTCAATATAAAGACAAGTATACTCACTTATGTTTAAGAACAAACTTGACATTTTTGTAAGCAAAGGCAACAAGGTATGTACTGATGAGAGTGCCAACAGCAAATAAAATGCCTGACTGGTACAAGTCCATTTGATGAATCCTCCAGTACAACCCTGAAAAAAATATTTTAGAAAATTTAAGCATGTTCCTTTATATTTGATTGATAGTGGCTGTGCTGTAATTAGCAGGTCTTTGATTTCATGATATTTCATGGATTGTCTAAAGATTTATAGTTTTTTCAATCCATAAATTTACATATATATTCAAGGAAGTGGCAAGCCGTATGGGCCCGTACGGCTAGCCAAAAGTTCTAGCCGTACGTCAGTCACGTAAGACTAGCAAGGACACACTGTATTGGCTAGTCGTACGGCATTTTCAAAATTAGATGGAAGTCGAAAATGCATATGTTATTTTATGACTTTAAGCGAGGAATTTAACTAAGACACAGCAATTGTCTTTGTATGTTTACTTTTTAGAGATTAATCGCCTTGTTGGCTACAGTAAAAAAATACGAATCTATTTGTCATCTCAAAACGTTGAGAAAAAAATAGCGTTTGATCGCAGTTAAATAACATCAATTGAAATAGTTTACAAAATTTTGATGTTGATGATAGTCCGTTTTTGTTTAGTTAAGTTTAATTTTCGACACCTTTAAAATGAACAAGAGCTGTCGGTAGGACAGCAACGCTCGACTATTCTTAGTGCTTGATAGAAAAAAAAAGGCTTGATACAGTTACCTCCTCCTGTTTACAGGTTGGGGTCATGATGGTGAACAAGTGTGCAAAGTTTTAAAGCCATATATCAATGGACTTTGAAAATAATTGAACTATTACAAAAACTTTAACGTAAATTCTAAGTCGAAAAAGGGGCATTATCCTGTCAAAATGCTTGATAGAGTTACCTCCTCCTGTTTACAGGTTGGGGTCATGATGGTGATTAAGTGTGCAAAGTTTCAAAGCCATATGTCAATGGACTTTGAAAATATTTGAACTATTACAAAAACTTTAACGTAAATTCTAAGTCGAAAAAGGAGCATAATTCTGTCAAAATGCTTGATAGAGTTACCTCCTCTTGTCTACAGGTTGGGGTCATGATGGTGAACAAGTGTGCAAACTTTCAAAGCCATATGTCAATGGACTTTGAAAATATTTGAACTATTACAAAAACTTTAACGTAAATTCTAAGTCGAAAAAGGGGCATAATTCTGTCAAAATGCTTGATAGAGTTACCTCCTCCTGTCTACAGGTTGGGGTCATGATGGTGAACAAGTGTGCAAAGTTTCAAAGCCGTATGTCTATGGACTTTGAAATATTTGAACTATTACAAAAACTTTAACATAAGTGGTTACGCGGACGCCGACGCCGACGCTCGGGTGACTGCAATAGCTCTACTTATTCTTATCGAATAGTCGAGCTAAAAATTATTGTTGTTGGGATCTGATAATTGCGTCAATTACCGACGGTATAGATATTAAAATTCTATTGTAAGTCCCTGGGTAGGCTTTAATTAAGACTTATTAATTAATTGATTGTGCTTTTATGTCCGATATTTATCTACTGTATTTGAAAATTATACAATTATTTTTGCATTTTACTGAGTTTTTTTTCAATGTTCTTTTTATATATTCCATTCCGATCATTATTTATTCGATCCATGTGCTTAATTAACAAAAATTCACCTTTCATACAATTAAAACAACAAATCATAATCATGAGGCACAAAATAACATATGCATGTTCGACTTCCATATAATTTTGAAAAGTGCCCGTACGGCTAGCCACTTCCTATATTCAATGTGAAAAAAATTTCCTTTTTTAGTTTAAATAATACTATAATCAGCAGCTTTAGATGAGCTGTCTTACTGATCGATTACATCACAGGAGCCTGAAGTTATATCAAAAACAAAAAAATAACGATTTAAAAAAAAATCCCATATATATACTATAAAAAACACAAGGAAGGCAACAACATTTCCCCACCCACCGCTACATTTACAAGGAATATTTATAAAAACGCCTTGGATTTACTTCCGAACACTTTTAATCAATAAAGCACATTAAAATCTTTCAGAAACACTGTTTACTCTTATCAACTATCCAACTTTTACGCCAATTGAATGAATTTATCACTGCTCTTCTCCCATCGTCGGTTCCATTGCCAGTTCTGCGCTAAATTCCGTCATACCGTTATTGACCGGTCTTTGTAGATACCGAAATTCTTTCCAAAACAAAAAAAAATAAGAACGATTTAAATAAAAATCCTATATTTATAATAGTATTTATAATATGGGACTTTTATTTAAATCGTTCTTTTTCGTTTTTGATAGAATTTCGGGATCTACAAAAACCAGTCAATGACGGTATGACGGAATTTAGCGCAGAACTGGCAATGGAACCGACGATGGGAGAAGAGCAGTGATAAATTCATTCAATTGGCGTAAAAGTTGGATAGTTGATAAGAGTAATCAGTGTTTCTGATAGATTTTAATGTGCTTTATTGATTAAAAGTGCTCGGAAGTAAATCCCAGGCGTTTTTATAAATATTCCTTGTAAATGTAGCGGTGGGTGGGGAAATGTTGTTGCCTTCCTTGTGTTTTTTATAGTATATATATGGGAAATTTTTTTAAATCGTTATTTTTTTGTTTTTGATATAATTTCAGGCTCCTGTGATTACATTTTACCAAAAAAGGTAATGAGGCTTTACAAAGGTATTTGAAATGATTTTGAAAAAAGTGAAAATAGAAAGTCATCAAATTGCTCTGAATCTTACCATACTGTTGCATTTAATCATACAATAAGTTATTCAGTAACCTTATTCTAACTACATTAGTTTTGAATTTCAAGAAAACTTATACTATTTCCATACTTCATGTCTGTAAATTTACAGATAAAAAAAGTCTATAAAAATAATGGACGGTCCAAAAATTTACGCTACTCGGACTGTCCATAAATATCATGTATTCCTAGATGTGAGTAGAAAATGGTTCACAATGATGGTTGGAAGTGGTGTACTAGTACTGTAAAATTATCATTGAAATTGAACGATTCTAAAACTTGCATTGGTGCGCAGTAAAACCAAACAAACAAAAAGATACATTTCACAATCTTAAAATTTAAAAGAAACATGTTCTTACAATTAAAATCCTATTACCCCACCCACCAGTATCCTGCCTACGTGGCAAAACTCGGTCAACTTAAATATAATTTTACTCAAACTTACAAATGGGGATGGCTGAAACTATCAACGCATTTCCATAAAATAGTGCCGAAGACTTCGTTGAAACGTTTCTGCTGAAATCTTGAAGCAGCAATTCCTCTTCTTTTGTTAAATTTTTCTGTTTTGTGCTTTTGGATGCCATCTTGCCGGTGTAAAGGAAAAAGTCAGAGTGACACCAAATGAACGGTGCGTAATATTCCCTATCCGTGATATGAAACGAAACGTAGCGGTACGACCTACCTCTTGTTAGAACGTCTTGAGTGAGGGTTCGAGTGAACTTGACATTCTCAAAATGATTTTACACTTTAACTTAAAGTAGTCATTTTTAGATATTTTGTATTTGCTTTGTCTGTATAAACACATAGCGAAAATTCAGCTGGCTAATTCCAAATTTAGAATGCGGATCAAGGTCGGCGGATCAATTGCAGTGGGAATTCCCCATAAATTTCCGTTGTTGATCTAGATCGAAAGTGGTTATACCTCCTTTCTTTTAAATATGTCAGGAAAATGTAATATACTGGTAAATTGCAATGCATTTTTTCAACACTTACTCGTACATGTGTAACTGTGCTGCTTTGGTTCGATATGTGTACTGCCGCGGATAGTTTTCAACAAGACTTAGTGGAGAAAAAGGTCTTGGAATATAGAACACAGTTATGTCGGGTTATAAACGCTCCGAACGTATTGCGCTGGATGCCAGGTTTTCTCTCGACAGGTACATATACACTTGTAAATGACTTCCATGCAATGTTAATAATTTCACAGGACAAATGAAACTAAATATAGAATATGGATAGCTCATCAGTTGATGCACATATTTTTATTGGGAAACCAAGAAATAAGTTAAATCCGTGGTTACATTCACGCGAAAAAGTGGTTGTGGTGTTGGGAGGTTTCAAGTAGGGCCTATAAGTGATTAAGCCACAATGAATTTACCAGAGGACAGTTAATGCAGCCACCGCACCTTTCCTGGGCATGCTGTCATGAATTGAAAACAGTTTACATCCGCTTCTGCACTTAGCTAGTGCGAATGACCGTAGAAAGGATTTCATGACTAATCAAAAAACGAAAGTAGGTCACTTTGCACGTACCGTCCGGGAATCGGACCCGGGTCGCCCAATTCAGAGTCCAACACCATTGAGCTAACCAGACTGCTGTATTAAAAATGAAGACCCATGTATTACCTATCTATCTATATTTCGTCACACTGAATAAATTTAATAGGGGTGGTTCGGCGCAATATAAATATAACTATCCGAGCCCCTGAGGGTCAAGTAAGTTCGGGATTATTAAATCATTTCAACAACAGCTGTAAAGTTCTATCCTGTTTATATACTGATCCAATCTTCAAATAAGGTTGTTACAACAAGTAGATTCGATAAGTACAAACCAACACTCTGAAATAAGTATATATATAACAATATGTAAATATAAAGTAAAATAAAGTAGAAACAATGCATTACATCTGGAATATACGATAATATCGTATGTCCCAGATTACATGAATAAATAATTCATATCTTATGTTCTAATCTAGAACATAATCAATTACATGTCTAGTGGCCAATTTAGTTCTTTACACTCAGCAACAGTCCTTAAATATAATATCATAGCTTATGGAATTATACACACAATTAAGATATTTTACCTTTTAAACAATACACAATACATCGCACATGTAACTTACCATCTGAGGGATGAGTGCAGTACATCAATCTAATTATTACCTCTCTGACTATCACACCAGTGACTGTTAAAATTTAAGTTACATTAAATAAATTTCATAAAAAAACTAAATAGCGACAATTCATTAATAAATTGGGTTTTATATCGACTCCAGGTCTTATTTTGGTGTCCAAACAACCAAAATGAGTTTTATTAGCATAAAAATAGGTAACCTCATTGTGGCGAAATGGAAAATACAATTTCTGTTTGCATGAGAAACTCCGCCTTCGGATCATCCGTACATCAATATTAAATCAACAAACATGACTATTAGCGGCAGTCCTAATTTAACGGTATATTTCCGCATTGTAACGGATGTTTTCATACAAATTTAATCTTTTTACGAGATTATTACTTTTACTGAACCCCAGGTTTAGTGCACCGTGAAGCTTTAACGGTTAAAGTGTGTTTGCACAAGAAAATATCACATTTGCTGTGCTCCGGATAGCAACTAAAAAACTGTGACGTAGTGCATGCACGAGCTCATTATAGTCTTCATTTGCATGTTAAAATTCGTATACGAACTTTAGCGGTACCGTGGGGTTTCCCGTTTAAAATCCTAATTTATGAACAATGTTTGATGAGATTTACAACAATACTATTAAACAGGTTAATGAAACTGTAGAATGTTTGATTTTTAGGCCGACGGCAAAATATTTTTACATATTTATTTAATGTAACTTTAACTGTAAGGTTAAATATTAATAGTGAATAAAAGATGAAAGGTGATTTGATAGATACATGTCATTCTGAAACTCATACTTATTTACAAAATTCACAATCAATGGACTGAACCAAAATAGAACAGAATCACAATAATGCAATTCTACATATTTACAATAAAGCATTTAGCAGCAGTCAGGATAAATACATACCAACTTAGGAAATAAAGAACTTGACCACAAACACTATTTTTTCTAACCTCTCTCCTTTACAACATAACAAAGACACAATGACTTTTTCCCACCAAGAAATTACATGACATAAAAATAGCTTAAAATCAATGATCCGTGAACAAGTCATTTGAATTCTTAGAATACTGACCAATGTAAACATAAAATAAAATCAGTTAAAACCAATAGAGTAATCTCCCTTGAAAGGTATCAGACAAGACCGACGGATTTGTCTCCCTTTGCAAAATTATAAAATCCAACAGTAAAGCAAGAGTATTGTCCCTTAGACCTGATCCTAAAAATAAGACCCTGTTACATAAACACACATTATTTTAATGCAAACAATCCAGCTCTCGTCGTGTTTTATCTTAATTAGAGTACGCTTTCTTTGGTAGATGCGTTTCTTTTCTTTTTCTTGTACTTTTCAGACCTTTTTTACTTTTCAGAGTTTAAATGATTGACATTGAATTATTTTTTATAGTTTATAATGAAATGAGCATATTTATTTGCATTGCATGACTTTTATCAACTTTAATTATAGCGGATGAGAGAGAAATTGAATCAGTAGATTTACAATCGCATGAACGGGCAGCTTTCATTCTCCTTAAGCAAATTTCTGCATGCATTGGATCGGGAAAATGGGAGGCATTTCTCGAAGCTCTAAGGAGGGCAGGTAAATTGTTTTTAAATAAGTCAATTATAAAAAAACCAACACATTTCTATACGTAGATCGAGGATACTTGTAATTCTAAAGAAAAACGGCTAATTATCAATGCCTTAACGTCCTTAAACTTTTCAACAATTTTGACAAGTTTTTTTATCCGATTTCCAAAGTTCATGCTTCTTATTATTTTCTTAATCTCATGCACGCATATGTTATATTTAAACTCGAAAAACATTCAGTTTTAGATAGGGATATACAGCTAGTTAATTGTTTCACTTTACTTGATTCATCATCGTTTATATTTTCTTCAATACAGAATACCCATATTTGGTATCTTTATTGGTTTCAAATCAAACTCCAGAACAATGTAATCATCAAAAGAAGATCTTGCAAATTTTTGCGCCATATTTGGAATTACAGATAGAGCCATGTGACCTCATTACACATTTCTTTTCGTCAAATCTGATCAATAAAAGTGACATGGAAGAAATACAGGTAAACTAATAGTACATATAGCACAATAGCACATGCATATTAGATCTAGGCTTGAACCGAAGACATGCATCCAAATTAGAACATACGAAATATATAGTTTAATTGGTACCATATGTGTTTAAATCTGTACACATATGTTTAAATTTGTAATAGTGTAATAAAAAAGTACACAATTTCTTAATGCGAAAGCTAGGACTCTTTGCACCGTCTTCATATTTTGCAAGTTAGTGGCGATTATTATAAAAAATCAATTGAATAACGTACACAATGAAATTACAACTGCATTTAAAAGAACTTCAAAACTTTATATGAAACGCCATGCACTTCTTTGCAATTATAGGCATGCCAAAGGAGTCGAGGCTCTGTTGCTGCGACGATATTGATGTTAGATTGCATACAGCGTCGACAGGCACCATCTAAGTGGTACACTGGTTTCCTTAAGATTCTTTATCAGAAAGGATTCAAAGATATTGTTCATGAGATGGAGCCTGAGTTTAGTCTCGATTGTGAAATATTGAAGATACCGAAGCTTCTAGTCACTGGTTTGTTATCCTGATTTTTTTTCCAATTGAAGTTAAAAGATAGATGAACAGACGTACAGACCGAATGCGGTGTTTTACCATAACCTGTTCAATCCATTTACAAAACACTCAAAAATATCCAAAAATAGTGAAAATCATTGAAAGCAATTCAACACCGTAAAATGATAGTTTGACAAGCTAAGTTCGCTCGTGTCTGATTCGGTCGCTAATTAGCCAATTAAGGGAATCCACAATCATGGCAAACTGTACGTAACATATAAAGATGGTTAGGTACTACACATTTTTTAGAACTTAAAACACCCAGCCTTGTAAGAATACAACTACTCACAATTGTTTTCCATAATAAGGTATTTTATTTAGTCTTACTCTGATCCCCTGTGCTTTAAATGTCTATTTCATAACCTTTCAAAGCTGTATCATGTACATAATTAACACTTCAATTTAAGATACATCCGATTCAGACATAGACACAGATGAGTATGGTTGCTCCATAGAGGAGAAAATTGAAGCCAAAGTTAGATACTTTCAGTCTGAAATTACAGAACTTCTTAGCGTTGAAAAGATTGCACCAGCCCTGTGTCAGTTGATTAGTTTAGGTATGTATGATTTATGATGGTATAACACTTTTTTGTTGCTTGGTAAAGTTATAATCTGATCTTACGTAATGATGTCTTAAATACACGTGACTGTCGATTTAAATAAAAATTTGGTGGGGCTAATTATGTGATAACATATGTCAACTTTAATATCTTTATCAAATTTAATTTAGGTAAGATTTGTCGAATAATGCAAGATCAATTTTCTTCGAAAAAAGAGTCTATCGACAGTTTAATCGAAGAAATCATCAAATTGAGGAGCAAGACAAAATGGAGGACATTTATCTGCTGCCTGAAAGAATCTGGTAAACTCTTATTCTCAAGAAATACAATGTATTCGTAACCATTTAGATGAACGAATCCTCCGGTATTTATTTGAAATATATACACACAAGTCATTCCAGGAAAGAACTATGAGACGTGCACAAACTCATACATGTCTTGTGATATTAAAAGAAGACGACACACAGTTTTCTCTTAAATTACTATTAGAATCAATGGACTAATGCTCTCTTTGTACAAAAATAGTGTTAACTCGTGTTCTTATTTCTAATAAAGGGCATTATTATTTACGTTCCCTCAGCAGCTTAGTTAATGCACTGGCAGTGAAACATTCGACCGATGCGCATGGGAGTAGGGTAGACATTATTATGAAAGTCATCGATCTAAATTTTGCTCTTTTTTTATTCTTATGTAAATTTCATACCCTCGTGCCCTAGCTAGGTAATCCCCACATTTAATTTACCGGATCGATTTTCTGTTTCCTTGGTTTTTATTAACAAACTTATTTGGCTCATATAGCTTGAACTTTACTTTTATTTATTCAGTTGTTGTTTTGTTGAATTATTTTATTGCTGTTGTTTTAGATTATCCACACTTAGCAGAACTTTTATCCAAACCGCGAACGAACAAATGTCAAAGTAAAGAGAAAGCTGTATTAAGATTGTTTCAGCCAGTACTTGGAGAGCAACTTGAACCTATTGATCTTATATCACATCTTGAAAAAGATAATGCAATAAATCATCGAGATAAAGAGGAAGTACTCAAAACTCTTCATCAATCTGGAAAGACAGCCGCTTCCTTAGTTCTTATTGATTGTGTACAATGTCGATTGGCGCCTGCACAATGGTATAGTGCCTTTTTGAAAGCGCTTCATGCATGTAACCGAGATGATCTTGTGGAAATAATAGATCCTGAGTATTTCAAGAAATACATGTATGATAGTTCCGGTAAGTTCTGCTTTAACAATATAATTATATCAATACTGCAAAATATTTTAAAACAAAAGAGAAAAAGAATAAAAGAAGATTTAATCATTGACATGATTTTGAATCGCAATTTCTTAGCTCTTTATGTGAAACTGGATAAGGACTTTTACTGTGAATCGACGAGGTGTACGCAATCACCAATATGTTTATTAACGTATTTTATTGGACAAAAAAAATACAATGTCTTTATTAAATGCAAACGCGTTTCGTAATCAGTTTTCCATTTTCAGTTTAATTCTATCATTTTTGATTTAACAACTAACTGTTTTTAAATATTTCAAATTCGTTCTTATTGTTTGCAGAAGTTGAGAAAGAAAGTGATGTCAATGAGGTAATTCCGCAAGAGGCCATCAATTTAGATGAGAGAATAGATGCTGCACACTGTCACATCTACAACTTGGAGAAATCTGCAAAACAGGAAGTAGTCAAGTTACAAAAACACTTTGATGCTTTGAAGAAAAGCATGTTTGAGCAAATAGAAAATAAATCGTTTGCATTGACAAAGAATCTTGAAAATATGACAGAAAGGTAACAAATTGTGCTTTTTACATAAATAAGAACCATACATTAAGACATCGTGAAACAACATTTCAGTTATGAGTGCATTGCCACTAAATTTCGTATATCATAATGGATATCTTATATCATCTGAATGTGTTTGTGAACCTTGGTACACATTAACATTAGAACAGCCATTGAGATCCAATTGTAAGTAAGGATATTGATATTCTAGATGAAATTAGAATCACAACAATGATGTTAATGATTTAAGCGTGATGTTACTATTGTCTTCGTTATTGTCACTTTGTCTTACTAACTTGGCCATATCGTTTGGCTCACTGGCTAGGTAGAACAACGAATTTTCGCTTATTCAATCCTCGAGCGAGACAGAATTTCTCCGTGTCAATTGATCTCAGTATTCTAATGATTATTTCCTGACAAATACATTTGATACAACTGACAAAGAAATTATATACTGGACAAGTAGTCGGTCATTTGCGAAGAAATTGGTAAATACCGGTTAGTTATCCATGAGAGTTAGATAGTCTGTTAAATCAAACGAACCCTTTTAACATTTTTTTTTCAGAACTCAAGACGCAGGTTTGAGGCAAGAATTCGAAACATGTCTCAAACGCGTGATGTCTACATCCTATACCCTTTGTGATGTTGATTCCTTCACAAAACTGACAAAACTGGGTGTTTTACAAGAATCATATAATACGTCACCGATAAAACATACGTCTGACAGAAAACAGAATACAATAGAAAATAAAACAAAACCAGTTGCAAGCATATTTCAAGGAACAACAGCGAATCGTCGTCGAAGATGCTTTTCGGAAAGTTCTTCTGGTTCTAGTTCATCATCAAGCTACTTATTTGTAACAAATCCAACGCAGTTATCGACTTCATCAGATTCTCTAGCTATCGAAGAAGATAGTAGAGTAAACCATGTATCAAAAGTAAGATTTGCAGATGACAATGAAATGCTTCATGAGAAACATAAGAAAAACCAAAATCAGCAGAAAATAGATAGTAACAGTGATTACCTTTCTCAGTATGGAACGAAGAAGACCTGCAGAAAACGCAATTTTTCTGAATCTAGTGTGTTCTCCACCGATGCGTCGATAGTTTCATCTACCGACAGACCACCGTCCTCAAGTCTAACCGATTCTCTAACTGGAACATCTTCTTTGTCATCATCAACAAAGACAGCAAGTGTCACAGAGAAGAAGGTTCTTATTGAACGCAGAGAATCGTACATTTTTCACCACGAAAAGGTTGTAAATTGTAAAACCAACTGTGTTTTATCTAGTGTTTGTTGCCTACCAAACAATAAAACAGTCCTTGTCGATCAATGTAACTGTTCTTTCCATATATATGGTAGGTCTAATATATGTGAGAAGTTGAAGAGTCCTAGATTTAAGAATTACATTCCTATATGTTTATGCTCTATAGGTGAAAACCACTTATATATTCTGTTTCGAACACGGGATTGCACAAATGTACTGGTACAGTGCAATTTACATGCATCGGATGTCGTATTTGTGAAGACAGTAGCCATGTCTGCAAAATGTAATGGGAAGCTGTGCTCAGTTGCAAGTGGAAATAACAATGTCGTAGCCTTTTGCATTGATAAACATATGCATGTCTTTTCAAAAGACGGTATAGAGACGAAAATTGTAAGCTGTGATATAAAGAATGAAAATGAGTGGTGGCCAAACTATTCAGTTGTTGATTCGCGTTGCGAATTCGGTTTCACTTATGACATTTATTCTAATTCTGTGTACTGTTTCTGTATATCAACGGGTGAAATGGTCTGGAGAAAAAAGCTCCCAAATGTAGAAGGAATAACTTTGTGCGATGAGAGCATATATTTATCTATGAACGTTTCATATGCGATTGAAGTTTTGTCAAAGACAACGGGTGATTACGAACGCTCTATTACTGAAAACGTGCGACGTCCATTTGCCATGTCAAGAAGTCATGGCCATGATACCATTATTGTTACGCAATACCACCCGGAGGGTAAAAAAATTAATAGAACAATAAAATATTTTTAAGAGCATGCATAATTATCGAAGTAGATTGTCAAAGACTCCGCAAAACACAACCAGCATAATTAGTAAGTGCGTGACCTCCTCTTATGGCAAATACATTGCAATAATTTTTTTCATAAATGACATTACAAATAAATATACACGTTAGTTAAAGTATCAACACGGCTGAATATACACTATATTACAACAATAAAACATCATGATTACTCCAATTCTACACAGCATGTAATGTTTAGATCGAATCTAGCAAATATTAAAAAACTTGGTACAGATGTATTTTTATGAATTTGATATTACATAATATAAATCATTACAAAGTACACACGCTAACACGCATGCATTTGTAAAAGAAAAAGAGCGTTCTTGGCACCATGTCAAATATCACACAACTGAGTGACCCCTTCAACTGATTAGAAGGATAAGTACTTACTTATGCAACAAATATTTTACATACGCATGCAATAGAAAATGGCAGCATCTTAAAAACACATTTTTTGAAATAAACATTATATTTTGTGCCTTAGAACGTGATCTTTGAACCGATATTGCCAACCACCAATTAGCAAATACCAGAGATATAAATGTTCGAAATATCTTTGTCATTTTGCGATAGATGATACATGCATTAATTTTGTGGTCTCTATTTTTTTAGTGGCAATACATTTAAATAAATCAGACTGTTTAAAGAAAACAAATTACTACATTTGACCGTAGCTAGCAAAATTTAAATGCACCTATGTATCCTGTGTTTCATTAGATACTTTGGACATAGGACTTATGCAGGATATATTTTGTTGAGACGGCGAAATACTCAGGTTTATATGCAAAGGATACAAATTACTGTGTAAATTATATTTTTGTTATAAAAGACGTACTTTAGAATTTTTACACATATAACATGTACGTATGTATAAGATGCCGAGATTTTAAAATGTACGAATTGTGAGCGGATATGAATGATATATAAAGCAGTCAGGCTATATTCTTTATGCAGCAAAATGTTTTGACTTTGTTTTACATTTATTATTGTATATATTAATATCTTTAATTACAGTATATTAGATGTATACAGTTTATTATGTTTAGATACTTACGTTTTAAACTTTTTGTTTATCATGAAACGGGTTGTAATATTCTTGTTAACCGATCACAATTATTAATATATAATTATTGTGCCAAATGTTTTGAATGAATCATATACACATATATTTACACAATCATATCCTTGTTTATTAAAATATATTATTGCATTGCTGTTATCTTTTATACACATGTATTAGAAACACACATAAAATAATATAGTTGTAGAAATATCTTCATCAGAAGTTCATCACATAATATGCAGATGGACATAGTGGAAGAGGACGAAAGAACAATACTAATTAAGATACATGAACATTGTTATTTCTAGTAATAATAAAATATTCAGAATATTGTTCCATTTAACATTCAGATCTTGATTCAGTTATAAAATACAAAGACACATATACATTCAGTGAGTTGGATAGATGATTGGAAAATCCCAAACTCAGGGTGATCAGTTCAGTGGTGATATAAGAAAAAACACATGCATGGATGTTTACTATACAAAATGTCAGTGTTCTAATGTAATTTCTAAAACATGCTTGATTAATACATGAAGCGTTATTAAAGTACAAAGTGTCAAGTTTAATAGTTTCAAAAAATATTATGTAAATCTTGCATTTGTTATAGTACCACATTTCTTGTTTTGTACTTGTGATTCCGAGTATAAAATAAATTGCTAAAATTATAAGAATGCTTATTTGTTTACCCTATTAAAGAGCTTTAAAATGAAAAAAATCATGTTCCACAAGTTTTGAATGAAGTTAAATCATGGTCAGAAAATTTGGTCAGATAAGTTTGGATTATGGTCAGATAATGGTCAGAAAAGGTTGGATTATGGTCAGAAAAGGTTGGATTATGTCCAAATAATGGTCAGAAAAGGTTGGATTATGGTCAGATAATGGTCAGAAAAGGTTGGATTATGGTCAGAAAAGGTTGGATAAAGGTCATTTTATGACGTTGTATAGACGTCGGTTCCTGACGTCTAAAAAACTTTCAAATCGAACCTTTTGCCAACGTTTACCCAACGTCAGGGTCTAACGTCAATATAACGTTGGTACGACGTCTTTTGTTTGCTGGGATGTCACAATACATACGTTACTTTGCGTAGCGAACTGGCAAATTACCCAGGTTGTAGTGGAATGAAACTTGTGCTCTTGACCTTTTATGAACATATATTAAGAAATCATATCAGAGTCAATAGAAAATCGAAAGTATCGAAATTAATTTTACATCGTGTCCTTTTAACAAATATCTATATGTTTTTCAAATACTTAAGTTTTTAGTTTTGTCTTTATTTGTTAAAGAATCGGTTCAGCCTGTTTTGTCTAGTATGGAGAGCATTGGATTTGTAATCCAGGGGTCTATGGTACGATCATCGGGCGAGATGAAATTACTCCGAAACTATTTCAGATCGGACATTGAACCAAATGCTCAGTTTTTCTCTCATTGCTAATTAATAAATCATGTTAGATACGTAATTCATCACTTGTAATTACTAGTGATATTTATCCTGGAAAGCAGAATAGATGGACTGACTGATTTTGCATATAGTTGTACATGTGAAGCAATGCAAAGTTGTTGATTGTTTGCTTATACTGGTTACTGCATGCACCCATATATTATTTTGCAAATAGATATGTTCTTAAATACTTTGACGTATAGTCAGACGAGTTTGTATCACATTCAATAAATGCATTTTTGGTGTGCAGTGAGGGAGTAGGTGCATAAACTACAAAATAAGTTATTTGGTGAATCAAACCGTTCAACATACATGTAATTGGTTATTTCAATAGTAATATAGTAATAAAATTACCTTTTAGATTCATTTAGTTATATAACTGTTGATATGAACACAATGTGTGTCGTAGTACAACCGATTAAAATTATAATAATCGAATGTTAGGGTTCCTTCCCACTGGTACTGGTGAACGATGGTTAGGATGCTACCCGCCTAAATGACTGAAATACTGTTGGGAAAAGGCGTAAAATGAAACAAACAAACAAACAGTCTTTCCCACTATATGTTTAATTTGAAAGGTAGTTTCTATAAAGAGTATCAGTCAATTCCATGTGGCAAACATTACAATTTATGAGGTCCGTTTCATTTTGGCTCAATAACTTTGAAGCAACATTGGTCCCGAATCAAATATAGGTAGATCTTTGCGTTACAAATGTTTATCCCTCTCTGAAGATAAACGTTTTCTTACAAAACGAGAATAAAACAAAATACTTTTTTTCATATTGTTTATCGACAAAATTATTTTACGAAATTCATTAACCAAGAAGATATATTATAGTATCTTTATAAATCTAAAAAAAATCTTACCATGGCTTATCAACACAATAACTTATATAAAAAGTATTCATTTTTGAAGTTAAACGTAAACATATTTCCGCGACTGTATTGCACCTTCCCCCCAAATTTAGATCATGTCGGTTACTCGTAAGAAAGTTACAATAGAAAGGAAATAATTATGTTTCGCGGCCATTCATGTGAGCAATCTTAACGAAACTCCCTAACCCCCAAAGAACCTAACTAAAACACGGAAGAACGTACAATGGTGCAAACAATGGATACATGTATAATTGAGAGATAATGACAATTGTTTAATATCACATTTTCAATGATTGATATCATTAAGTAGAGCATTATAAAATAGATAAAACATAATGCAAATATATGTAATAATGTTACATCATCAAATAATAACAAAAAAGGTATTTTCTATTTACGAAAAAAGGTCGTGACCCGAATATGATAAGATGTAATATTGTGTGACATTAATATTCCTGAATATGTGAAATTATCAATACAAATTAATTTACACATTGCGTACATGACAAAACTTGAACACAATAGGTATTGAACACAATTTCATTTAATTGTACCCTTTAATTTACTCTTATATATAATCAATATTAACAAAGATATATCTCCAAATCGATCGCCAGATTTTAACACACAGCTTTATTCAATCATTATTCGATTCATAAGTTAATGTCTTGCATAGTCAATAAACGCCATTTTTGCAAATATCTATATTACTGATACGTTTATTTCAATAATCTGTTGGGGAGATAATGAACAGAAACTGAAAATTTCATATTATTTTCAAAGTGAAAGGGGTATTACTCTGCATGAACCATGACCAAATTCGAACTTGGCCTCCGCATTCCATTGACATATCCATATGTCAAATTTGAGTTGAATGTTTAATACTGTTGGGGTGATAATGAACGGAAACTGAAAACTTCATATTTTTTTCAAAGTAAAAGGGGCATAACTCATCCAAAAATTATCAAACCATGACCAAATTCGAAATTGACCTGTATTTTCTCATGACATATTCATATGATAAGTTTGAGTTGAATGTGTTGTACCGTTGTGGAGATAATGAACGGAAACTGAAAATTTCATATTATTTTCAAAGTCAAAGGGGCATTACTCTGCCAAAAATCATCGAACCAAGACCAAATTCAAACTTGAACTGTATTTTCTCATGACATATCCATATGTCAAGTTTGAGTTGAATGTGTTGTACCGTTGTGGAGATAATGAACGGAAACTGAAAATTTCATATTATTTTCAAAGTAAAAGGGGCATAACTCTGCCAAAAATCATCGAACCATGACCAAATTCGAACTTGACCTGTATTTTTCATGACATATCCAAATGTCGAATTTAAGTTGAATGTGTGCAACCGTTACTAAGATAGTGAACGGAAACTGATGATGACGGAATGACAGAATGACGGAAGGACGGAACAGGGAACACTATATATATGACCCGTCCATTATATGGCGGGGCATAAAAAACTTTAATCATTGGACCGAAATGAAAAGGTATGATAGCAAATATCTATATCGGTCGATGTTCAAATATGAACAATTGAAACACGTGCCCTTTGATAACGTAAAAGCTGAAACAATTACATTATGGGAGGTGTAGATGTACATGTACTTGACATAACCATTGTTTAAAACTGCTTAAAAGAGGCTACACAACAAAATATTTAGACAGTAGCCATTGAAATCGTTTTACTTGAAATATAACAGGATGGCAAAAATACTATGTTTGTTGATATTACTTGTTTCTTCATTTACATCTACGTTGAGTGAATCTGATCCGATCTCGAAACAAGGGTATACGCTGCCAGAAGGACATCCAGAACGCTGTTTTATTATGCTAGCTGGACACAAAGATCTTCGGCGTTTAGAAGCTCTCCCGGGTGGTGGCTGGGACAACCTACGTAATTATGACATGGGCGCTGTTGTTCAACATACTTATCACAAATGTATGACAACAGAAGATGGTCGTTTTCTGATACCAGATAGTATAACGACGCTCCCCATTAAGACGAGTGGTGTTGACACGATTTCAGAGTTCTTTGATCACTGGGATAGCTACACGAGTGTTTCTTCAAGTTCAATCAATTTAGAGGTTGGGGTATTCGGGATACCTATCGGCGGTAAATTTTCCACAGAGTATGGGAGTATAAAATCAAAGCAATTTTCTGAGAAAAGTTCGACAACTCGTATGCAAGTGAGTAAAGTTTAACAATTTTATTCAAAGGAATATTTGTTTAACTATTCACTTCAAAATAAGTTAAAATTAAGAATTATTAATATGCCAATACAAAGCTTTCTTCCTTGACTGAATTAAGTATTTCATGGGTATGCTTGATGATACGGCCTTATTGTCCTCATATTCAACAAAAAATTTGGTTTCATGAAAACTATACTTTTTATGATTTTAGTTCAGTTCATTTGAACATATAACTGCATTGGAATTCAAATTGTGTTAACCGATTTAATAACTTGAAAAAAATAATGAAATACTTCGATAATTATATCGTACGTTAAGCCGTTCCGCAAGTTCCCTTAAAACACCGCCGTCTGAACCATAGCCTATATTTGAGACAAGGTGGGCCATGAAAAACTCCAATGGAAAATGCTTAACTCTGGCATAAGAGGTCACAACACTTTAATGTGTCAAAAGTTGTTTTTTTAAGATAATAGGCTAAATAAGACAGATCATCCCATGAACAATCAAGTTACTTCTGGAGACTTCAGGGATCGGTGCTTGGACTAATTCACTTTCTTGCATACATATATGATCTCCCACAGGACGTCCGCTTAAAAGTTTGCGTCTTTTTTTTTATTATACTACTATGGTACGTGGTATCTAGAATGGGAATGTAGTTCAGCCCATTCAATTGTCAAGTAATCCATGTCACAAAAAGGAAACCCATACCAACTTATTAATTTGTAACGACGGGCCAGTCTAGAGGCTGTACGTAATATCGATAAAATACCTGGGCGTGTACATATCTTATGTACTCTCAAAAAGCTGGGCGTGTATATCTAATGGTTTCTTAAAGGTCCAGCACATAAACAGGTCAACCAAAAAAGGCAAACTAAACACTTGGCTTCTTATGTCGTAATATGAAATTAAACTCAGAACCTCTTAAGACCCTTGATTGACTACAACTAAAATATATGCATCTGATATCTGGTCCCCAATAGCCAAACTCAAGTTGATCAGATAAAATCTGTCCAAAGAAGATCTGCGCCTTAGATCAAATCTTTGGACGTACATCCAGTGTTACCAAGATGCTGGAGTCATTTAATTTGCACCAACTAGATCTTTGTCGTATTGCCTGTAGTTTCTCAATGGTTTGCACAACTAATGATATAGTCACCATCCCCATAGAATGTCATCTCACCCCATTAGGAAGAGCCTCCCGACATGCCTCCATGCTGAGTTACAGGTTAATCTAAGCCCAAACAGACTATTTTTTTTTTCAAAAACAGTTTTCCACTTCCCTGATGTTTTGATATATTGACACACTAGAGTAGTTCAATATTGCTGTTAGCCAAGTTGAGCATATCTCACCAATTTATTTTATTGGTATATTATGTTGTATATACTTAAGGTCTTTTATTTCTCTATTTAACTTTTCTTGACGCACGGGGGGGGGGGGTATCAGAATAGTAGTATGACTGTTTCAAGTAATTGTGGTAACACATATGACGCCGATGGAGAGCCGTTGGAGAGATCACACCAGTGTGCTCATCAAAAAGGTTATATAAACAATTTTTAACATATTTCCTTTTTAGTTGCGCTATCGGAAGTACAATGTCATATTAGAAAACGGATACTCACTTCATCCTTCGTTCAAGAGCCGTCTCCAGAAGATAGCGGCACATTTGATGTTAGATCGAACACGTCTCGCTTCTTACGAAAGTCAGCTGCTTGTTCGAGACTATGGCACTCATGTGATAAACAACGTTGAGCTTGGTGCAACACTTGTCAAAGTAAGAATCTGATATGTTAATATTTTCTGATTAAATATATAAGAATTCGTACCATCAGAAAATAAATGTAATAAAAACAAAATTCAAACAACAATAAATAGAAAAGAAGAAAAAAAACCCCAAAAGAAAAAGTTGCAACTTGTATGCTAATAATATTCTGCTGTATTTAATAGACGGATCAAATTACAATATCGCAAGATGAAAGCTCTCAAACTGACTTTCGGCACATAGCAGCATCTGCATCTGCTATTGTGTTCTTTGAAGAAGTTGGAATCCAATTCGGTGCATCGTATTCTAATTCAAAATTTGATGAAGCAGTTAACAAGTACAAACAATCAAGAATGTCGTCTAAACTTTCAACACTTGGTGGAGATATTTACAAGTAAGTTCACGTCTTCCTGTGATACTGATCAATGTTTAATAACACGACGTCGCTTTGTTGAAAACTCAAAACGAGGGCTGCTAAAAATAATCGCGGAATTTAATCGTAGAACTCTTAAAATTAGACCCAATAAAAAGGTTAAAGTCACGAAACAAGACTTTTTCAATCAAATATATCGATACATAAAATAGTCACATACATTTATTAACACCATGAAACATACATTGCCGGGAATCAAATTGATACAACGTCATTCATAAGTCAAGTGAACCCATGCCTTTTTTGAATCCTGCGAGACAATGCATTCATTTCCGGGTCAAAGGGTCAAAATGATGAATCCAAGTTTCATTGACCATAATTATGTGATCAATCCAAAAACATTTCGCCCTAGCGCCCAAGCCGACGTAGAAAACGAGTCGAATAGGCAACTCATCATACTTGTAACTGTCCTTCAAACGTATGGGAACCTATCTGGCGCTGACCTTCGATATCACTAGGTCCTGATTCATAATAAGGGAAGGGTAAAGCAGGATACGCCTAGGTCATCAGAAATTACGCGTACCGTAATTCGCCGAAAAGCATTAACCGTATCTTAAACGCCGAACAAAATTGACGTCGTCACAGTTGCTGGGTTTACTTGATGTGGATCGTCTTTAAGCGATGTCCTGCCTTTAAAAAACAGTTCATGTCACTTGTTTACAATTGATTCGCTGAAAAACTTAATTGTAGCAGCCGACACTTCAATCATGTCTATGGAGTAGAGTCTCCTTTGGCAATTTACCCAGGCCAACACAAAAATTAAAAAAAAAAACTTCACGTGATTCTTCTAACTTTTGACGACAAGAAAGCACCTGCGAGACTTAAAGGACAATGTTACCGTAACGAATATTGTAGTAACATCGTCTTCCAAAGAAATGTCTGAAGAAGATACTTGAACGTCTGCTAAGTTCGCGCCATTTTTTTTCTATTCCGAAAATGACGTTTTTGCGATATAAATGTAAGAATACAAAGAGTTACAAATGGAGCCCAGCATCAAGCAAAACAAGGGTTAAATTCTATGGTTACGAGCATTTTGGGCGTTTATTGAGAACGTACTTTGATCTTTACACAATCTATACGGATGACATTAATAGATAATAACGATAAATATAGAGATAAAATATTAGAACATAAATAAAAGAGAGTAAATGCAGAATATCTTAAACTCATCGAACAGCTCCCTTGTACAACTTTATACATAAATATTAACGTCGCGTTGTCACAAACCATATACTTTCAAATTTACACGAAAATATGATATGATTTCATGTGAATTAGGAATTGAAAATAAATGAACAACGCCTTATAACATGTATTATGCATTATGCCCACTATTGAAAAGATATTTCTTTGGTGTTTTTCACTATTCCTTCTTGATTATATTTTATGACAAACGACTTGTAGTCATTGACAGTTTTTTTATGTCAATATGGAGGTGACTGCAAATTTCTTTGCTTTTGTGATCTACGCTAAATAGAAGTTGATAGACAAATTTAACTCTCAAATTGTTTTTTAAAAATCAGCTGTCACATTTTTTACTTACAACTCAAGTTTTTTATTTCAAGTATGAAATTATATTTTTGCAGCTTTCTTTTGCCATCATACTGTTGTAGAAAAGTAATTTAATTCATTTTCTTCTTTTCAATTTTAAAATGAAATCAGATGTCTAATAAAATCTAATAGGATAAAAGTTACATGTACGTATATTTGTTATTGTTTTTTCCAGACCAACACAATTTTCTGCTGAAAACTGGAGCAGCTCGATTGAAAACAATCTTGTGCCACTAGATAGATCGGGGGACCCATTATATTTATTCGTTAATGAAAACAACCTACCTGGTATACCAGAGTACATTATAGAAAGAGTTCATGCCTATGTCAAAAAAGCTGTTTATCGTTATTACATACAAAATGTACATAAAGGATGTACGGTACGAAACGCGCCAAATTTTAGCTTTCAGGCTAACGTTAATGATAGTACATGTGATCCGCCTAAGACAAATTTTACTTTTGGGGGTGTTTATCAAACGTGTTCGAACACAGGTTATGTAAATCTATGTGATGGAATGTCTGTAAAGAATCCATTAACTGGTGACTTCAGTTGCCCAAACAACTACGAAGCTATTCGCATCAACAGCGGAAAAAAGACCCAACAAAGAAATAGAGCTGTGGTTACGAAATGTGGCTGGTTTAAAAAGTGTGCCAAAAATGTTATAGACACTGCAAGTGCCGATTATGAAGCATATTGGTGTGCTAAAATCGATACAAGCAGTCCCGGTGGATATATGTTTGGCGGTTTGTATACCACACATACACATAATGTGGTTACACAAACAAGAGAATGTCCCACATACTTTACTTCGTTAACTATACTTGAAGACCTAACTATATGTGTAAGCGATGACAACGAACAAGGTTCACAATTTAATCTTCGTTTCGCAGGCTTATTCAGCTGTGTTGGAGGAAATCCAATGGCATTGGACTCTAGTAAAAGAAGAGACAGAAATTATCCCAACTCCTGTCCAGAAGGGTATAGCCAACATTTAGCGGATGTAGATGACGGATGCGAGATAAATTATTGCATACAATCCGGCGCAATAGCAATGGAACAATTACCGAAAATAAAGTTACCTCCCTATATGTCAAGACCTTTAGACATACCACAGGAAGAGACAGAAGATGATTCGTCAGTGACCATTTTCAGTAGTGATGGTACCAGTTGGTCTTCTTTAGAGGATGAAGTTGTTAAAGCAGCTTCCAGTAACAACACTTTAACATTTGAGTTTGCAAAACAAACAGCACTCAATATCCCTTACATCAAATCTTTGGTTATGGCAAATGTATCCAGCGAATTTATTACTAATCTTGGGAGTGGAAACATGTTGGACGAGTCAGATGTTAAACAGTCTGCACTGAAAATGATACACAACCAAAACAATTTAAAACTTGACAAGGAAAGTTCTCCAGTTCTGAGTAATGCACATGATGAAACTAGCAAAAACCATAAGCAGGTTTCTACTGTTACAGTTGCGGTAATATCTGTTAATGGGACAATTCTCTGTGTGCTGATAGTATTAGGCATAGCATGGGCAATCAGACGTAGAAGAGGTGCAGCGTTACCATATCAAAAGATTTGATGATTTAATATAACTTACTGAGCAAAAACAGATACATGTACATGTATCTAGCAATATTTTAGATTTTTTATACATATATAATTGAAGCATATATAGCATGTTGTCGGTCTAGGAATTGACATTTGTAATTTTGTATTTATGTATTAGATGCTTATACAAGTCATTTAATCATAAACTTGTTATACATGAGACAATTCTCTGATATGTATGATTAACATGTAGATATGTGTAAAACACATAATCATATAAATCTGCGTCATCAACAATGTCATGGTCTCTCTTAATCCTCAGTTTGATAATCCCTACAAAAATATTACATTTTTGTGAAAATTGATATGAAAGGACAAACATTAATACTAATTTAACATTGCTGACATTAATGTCTGACCAATGCATCGATAGATCTATTCGGGACTTCTATGAAATATGTTTTAATATCAGTGATAATGAATTGCAAACAATAAGCAGTATTTGGTTAATTAAATTTACGATTTCAGATGACACTTGTAGGGTTTTCTACTGAGTGACACCCGAGTTAACGGGAAGACAGCAAAATTTAATCTTGAATAATATTGCTTGCCTGCTAAGAACAATCTAAAGTCTTATATCTCATCCTAACTCTTTCTTAGTTTCCATTGTAAAGCTTAAGAGCAAAAAAGTTCTACTTCTACTACATCTACTTCTTTTGAAATTTTCTATCAGACAATCCAGATTTTTTTAAAAACTTTACGTTAAGTAATATTTGAATACAAAATTGTTTCATACAGTTAGCCATGGATGTATATAAATCTGTATTTTTTGATAATCTTAATTAGATTTTCAAAAACTTATAAAATATTCGATTTTTGAAATTGTATTTTTTTCTATAAAAACGTTTCTGAATGATTGTAAAATTATATTATGCGAGCAATTGGCAAGTTAAATAAATTAAGAATTGAAGTTATGTGAATGTTAATACTATTTATTACTATCAGATATTAGAAATTAGAAAGTTTACGGTCGGAAACAATCCTGTTTTCATTGATAATCTTTTTTTTTCACTTTATAACACGGGCCTTATCAAAGGCCCGTTCCCCTTCACAATAGGAGAATACTGGGTGTATTATACCATTTCACAATTACAAATATCAGCTACAACTTGATGAGGTCAGAGCTGTTTAAACAATTCATGTTGAATTATCTCAAAGTTGTTTTTATAAGAAAAAAGTGGCTTGTTTATTGATTTGATTATCATAGAATTGGGTCAATATTGCGCCGCTTCTTTTCTCAAAATTTCAAGAAATGTGTTTTGTCTTCTCATATCAAAACTCGCCATTGTGTTTGTAATTCAAATGATCTTTCATCACTATATATGCATATCCATGCGATAAAAGCATAATAAAAGGTAAAATGAAGTAAAACAGCAGGGAATCAAGCGTCCTTGATTTCATTTTGATAAAACTCAAATAGTTGCCGTTATTTGAGTAAAGAAAGAAACCCTTTTATTGGCCTACCAGCATATACATGTATTATCAAATGGTCCTCATCCGAGGGTAGGTGTCTATGAATGATCAATCTCCTGGATTGAACACAATACATTATTGGAGCAGTACCTCTGGGCGCTTGCAGAAATCATGATCACAAAATAGACAAATATTGTTTTTTTTCGCCGATATTTAATTATTCATTCGTTATCATACATAAATCGGTGTGAAAAGATGAATTAGACCTATTAAAATTCATTCCGTTGGGTAAAAAGGCAAGATGTTTGCATTTTATGATTCAAGCGCCCTGCCCGGTATATACCGGAATACGGTTTTAAGTGTGGTGCTCCAATCCTTTTTGGCTTGCAGCCGTGTTGGCTTGCACGGCTGCAAGCCATTTCATATGGAAAACTTGTTCCGGTTAGGTGGTTTCATGCTTACATCTGTTGGTGCATGATTGAACTGGAAACCAGCTCCAATCGGGCCAATCGCAACTTTTCGGCCTTTTCCGTCACTCTTCGGATTAAAGATAATAGCCGATGTAGTTCCGATTGCAATCGTGACAATTCGGGCGATTCCGTCATACTGCGGAATCAGACGAAGTAATATTACGGAAATCTAAGCTATTTTAGTTACTTCGGTAATCCCAGTTTGTTTATATAAAAAGGATTTCTATTTTTACTTGATTTATCGGTTTAAATCGTAATAAATTATAAACGAAATTGCTCCGTTTCAATTGTTTTTCAAGACGCAAAAGTTAGTTTCTTTTATAATTGTTTTTTTTTTGTCTGTATTAGTTTTATACAATAGAGTAGTATTCCGTCTTCAAGGGTGGTCCTGCTTACCAAATCACGCATGATCGAGTTATATTTAGATCTACTGAACGCAATTCAACTTCTTGGTGAGGTAATCTAAAAATAGCCCATGCATATCATTAACCTTGCCACGTGCTAAACTACAGATAGCGCATCGTATTTGTGATCGTGTAACATAGTTGATACATGCTTATTAATTGGTACCACGTAACGAAGTATTTTAGTGCATTTACTTGTCTGTAAAGCAAACGAATGATTTCTCTGCGAAAAAGGGGAAATGAAATGTGCACACTTGTTTCCCTTCAGTATCCACGTTTTACGATTGATTATTTTCTTTATTAGTTTTATACAATAGAGAATAGATGACAAAAAATATTCGTTTTACAAAAAAAAAAACTAAATACCCTGTATGATATACAAATACCGTAATTCAAAAAAATTGTGATAATAAATTGAAACCAAAAAAAAAAAATTTTAAAGGGTTGGGATGAAGGCACAACTGTGCAAGCCTTTCCTTTTAAAAGGAAACTTTATTTTAGTCTCACCTCAATCTCTGGAATCTCCTGCTTCATTCAAGAATACTGTCAACTTAAGACTGCGTGATCATTTTATGCAAAATTGGAGAAGTACAATTAATAATTCCAGTAAATGTCTAAATTACAGGATTTATAAACAGGATTTTTGTTTTGAGCCATACCTCAGCAAGTTACCTATGAATTTAGCTTTAATTCTCTTTAAATTTAGAAGTATGAATCACAAACTTCCTATTGAAAAAGGAAGGTTTGATGATATTCCAAGAGAACTTCGAACTTGTAACCTATGTACCAGTAACTCTTTAGGCGACGAATTCCACTATCTTTTTGAATGTTCACATTTAGTTAATACAAGAAAGCTGTATCTTGATAAATATTTATATGAACGTCCAAGTGCTTTAAAATTTGAAAAATTAATGAACCATAGTAATAAGGATATCCTTTTGAAACTTGCCATATTTTGCAAAAATATTATGTTATTATTTAAATAATGTTAGCTTGTTAGACTTATGTCTTTTCTCTTTGTTTTTTCTCGCTTTTCTCTCTCATCCTCCATTACCAGTCAACTCCGTTCAATTATTACTGTAATTTTATTACATCATGGAGTTGTATGACCATTTATAATTTGCCATTTTGTAGTATTTTGTTTTTACATATTATTTGCCATTTTGTATTATTTTGTATGTATGTACTGTTTTATGTTGTCACATGCCCATATGGGCCCTGACTTATTCAAATAAACCTTGAAACCTTGAAACCTTTAAACGCAGTGATCTCCCCTTATCAATACATCTATCAATATTTTGATATTTATATTTTTTAACTTTTTAATTTATTTTTCATTATTTTGTATACTTTTGATAATTTTTTGATAAAATATAACGGACATAGGTAAAAAAAGTTAAAAATAAAACAGAAAGAGAAAAATGACGTTAGATTTTCTATGTAACGGTCTACATTTCAATTTCGACGTTACGTCATGTGACTTTCATCATCATGTGACGTCTGTGAAGGCAGTGATTACAATTCAGCCAAGGGAGGTAATCACTGTGAGGAGTTTGATGAAAGATGTCACCGCTCAAAGCATTTCTATGAGAAATGGATAGTCTGATGGAAGGCAAAACTGGCAACTTTAAACAGTACAAAATATAGGTAGATTAAATTTCCTGATCGATTGAACATAACTAGAATCTAACATAACTAGCAACTGCATTTATCTAAATTCAACTGTTCATTTTAGAGAATTATCTTGACGAATCAACATCTTAAACGGACAATTTACAGTTTTACATTTGTTAACGCTACAGTACTTTTACAAGTTTATAGCGGTTACAGATCAAAGGTATAGTGACCTTATAGTATATTTTTATGGCTTTCGTTATCAAACATGATTCATCATCTTTCAAGGTTAAGTTTATTTTTTTACACACCTATAGTTAGCAAAAAAAATACTGGAACGAAATTTCTATTACAGGTTTTTGGTTATTTTTTTAAAGTATCATTTAACTTTATTTACTTCTTTAGAATAAATAGATATTACATATTTCTATACTTGAAGAACGTTATATTTATTTGTAGATGGATAGACGACAAATGAATAATATAAAAACTGTGAGTGAATTGGACTCCTGGGCTAAAAGACATGGTTTATCTATATAAAATGACACAGATTACAGTCTACGTCGACTCCAGCTTCTTGCAGACAGTATTTCAAAAGAGCTTCCATTATCCTGTGAAGAATGCGGGGCGAAATTTAAACAGAAGTCTAATTTACTGAGGCATCAAAGGACAATGCATGGTAAAAGCGACTGCGCTATCTGTCCTTACTGCCAGAAGAAATTTAAAAGACAAGATAATTTAAATCATCATCTTCGACACCACAAAGAAAACGTTGCACCAATCAATGAATATCAGGGAGAACAAAAACAATCTAAGAAAAGGAAATTATTTACAGAAAATCAGCAGCCATTATTAACAGCAAAGCAATTAAAGAAATCAGGGGATATTGAGAAGCCATGCAACTGGTGCTCCCACAAGAAGGTTTTGTTACCTGGTAAACCCTTCTGTAAATCATGCGGCGACCAGGGTAGGGAATGAAAGTGGTGCCATCGTCCACTGCCAGAAAGGTTCTATAGCATAGGAAATGAAGTCTGCGATTCATGCCACAGACGACGAGAAAAGTATATAAAAAGTCAAATTGGTGGGGGACCAACCATAAAAGCTCTCAATGAAACTGCAGAATCTACTACTTTGGAACCTTCCTCAAACAACAAATGGGACTTACTTCAGTTTTTAAAAGACAATGACGTCACCATATCAGATATTCTTATGACACGCTTAGAAAGATTGAAAGGTATGAAATGGTTCATGACGTTATTTGTTAAATTTATCAAATACAATCAAAACAATGAAGCCGTTTATGCTGAACCTGTATTTAGATCCTCTAGCTTTGCATGTACAAATGCTTCTCAAATTGAGGATCAAATTGCCGGGGCGTTCCAAGATTTACATAATGGTTACCAAAACTTTGAAAGGGATGGCAGTGGGTGGTCTATTGACACGATTATTAAGCTTGAGGTCAATACAGCAGAGTATGCACCCTTAGTTGGAAGTAGTTACCTACCTTTACCTAAGAAAGTACAAGATAAAAAAGCTGTATTAAATAAGAAATGACGATCAAAAATGCTTCATCTGGTCCATTCTCGCGGCATTGCATCCAGTCACAAACGCAGATCGTGTTAGCCACTATAAGCAGTTTGAACACGAATTAAATTTAAATGGTATTGACTATCCTGTACCTATTTCTCAAATTTCAAGGTTTGAAAAACAAAATAACATTTCAATCAATATGTTTGGGTTAGAACGCAACGAACTATTTCCTCTTCAAATCACAGATCAAAGAAACATGTCACAACACGTTAATCTCTTACTTTTTTCTAGAGGAGATGTTAGACATTATTGTTTGATTAGAAATCTGAGTCTAAAGCACGTCTGTTGGCCACATAAAAATGAATTATGAGCCCATAGTGCTCAAAAGCCACACGTCTCCTTATGACAAAAAAAAGATATGTATTTGGGCTCAAGCAAAATAGACCGCTCCCCCCCCGAAGGTTTATTTAAAATAAAGTCCCGAACCCCTTTCAAAAATTGTTTGAATGTATGGGTTTCAGTGTGCTAATTTTTGGGATTATATATGAATTTGGGATTTAAATAATTTTATGTTAAAAATGGAAATAAATAATTTATCATTTTAAAAAACAAAGTTGTTTTTTTTCTTTTTAAATTTACCCTTTAAATGAAATTTTGGGATAGATCCCATAGTTTATTACTCTTAACTCCTTTAAGCGACAGGTTTTGTAAAATTTAAAGGTTTTTTAAATACAGGGAAAAAGGCCCCGCAAAGATGTTTTTTTGTAAAATTTTTTCATCAAAATATAGCTAATAAAAAGATATTAAACAACTTCAACTTTATTCTGCATTTAAATCCAGGAAAAAATCTATTATATTTAACAGTACATAATTCCGCTCAAACAGTGTCATTTTTCATATCTTATTAACAAATCACGTCTTTGAAAGAGAACAATATAAGTTTATTTAATCGTCGGTTTCCGAGTCACTAAATTCATCATCACTGTCCTCATGATCATCATCGCTATCATCGCTTTCAGCACCATCAGAGTAAAATTCTTCAAGAAATGCCTCAAAATAACTTTTGTATTTTCCCACTGTCAGGCGAACAGCACGTTCGAGTTCCATCTTTTGTAAATATTTCTCCACAGACTTCATTATTTTGGTATACACATGTCCTCCTCTCAATTTCAGTATATAAGATAGGAGAGTAGTAAACTTTTTCATAAACACATGAATGTCTTCTTCGCGCAGTTTTTTATTTGCTTTCTCCTCAGCCTCATTCTCAGAAAGTCCTTGTGTTACATATTTCTGTACTTTATCTTGCCATTTTTGAATATTTGTTTTCTTCGTTAACTCGGCAAGTTCGTTATAGACTTCATTTTCACTATCTTTGTTCGTCGCACTGCTATCTTCATCATAGCCGCATTTTACCCTCTTGGTGGGTATGACATCTTCGTCTAAAGTTTCACGCTTCAGTGATTCTTGCTCAGGACACCAAAGTTTTACATGATTTTGAAGGTCATGTACGTTTTCAAACATCACACCGCAGTCGTCACAAGCAGGCATTGTCACTTTGTTTGAATAGTCTAGTTTTGGCTCTGTAGGAAATTTCTGATTTTGGTCAGAATTATCTTCTCTGTTGTGCTCTGGAAAATACGTCCGCACAGTTTGAATGTCTCCTTTTAAATGATGACTTTGATAAGCTGCATTTTCCTTTATACTAAATATATTAGTGCGCATGCGCATTGCTTCCGATGTGGTTGGTTTTAAGTCTAGAATTAGATATCCGTATGGCTGGCTTACAGCACTGTCAAAAATATCTTATCATTTCTTTAAAATTTGAGGGGTACATCTGCCTTGCCAGAGTTGCAATGGGCTGCATATCTACCGGGTTATTAAAGAATACCAAGTAATGACAATTTCTGCGCTGTGTTGGATCCTTACTCAAATACAAGTTTTGATTTAAGGCAATCACTGATAGATTCCTGTGGTGACTTCCTTCTGTAAATAGGTCTGTAACTCGTTGATCTTTCGCAGTTTCCGATGCCATATCGTCCAGAATAATAAGATTTCTGATAGTCGTCGTGTCAAGAAATTCATCCTTTTCCAAATGTAAAGGCACTCCTTTGATGAACTCTACTTTTGTTATGACAGATGCCTTGATTACATCATAGAGCGGCTGCCACCTTTTATACAACCAAATGATTCTTTGTGGTGATGGTTTTATCTTATTGAAGGCTTGTTGCAGTAACTGAACCACGAAGAAAGTTTTACCTGAAAACATAATACAAAAGCATAAAAAATATTTGATACACCATAACGTGACACAATTCAATTTTGTGCATTAAAATATTTAGGAAGGATAATAAATAAATAAAGGATAATAAATAAATAAATAAATAAATAAACATACGTACCACTGGATGTGGGTCCCGATACCATACATGTAAATGGATGTTGAAACTTGAACTCTTGCTGCTGCTGCTGCTGCTGCTGTTGCTGCTGGAGTGTATGCATACTGTAGTTCTGCTCTGTATGACTCTCAATGTTGTTTTGCTGCTGTTGCTGCTGCTGCTTTTGGAGTGTATGCATACTGTAGTTCTGCTCTGTATGACTCTCAATGTTGTTTTGCTGCTGCTGCTGCTGCTGCTGCTGCTGCTGCTGCTGCTGCTGCTGCTGCTGCTGGAGTGTATGCATACTGTAGTTCTGCTCTGTATGACTCTCAATGTTGTTTTGCTGCTGCTGCTGCTGCTGCTGCTGCTGGAACATATACTCTAATTTTGGATGTTTTGTTTTGTAATGTCTTTTTAAGTCCTGTTCCCAAACGTAGTTTTTATCACATAAATGACACTGGCAAGTCATTTTGACGATGTTAACAGGTCCACGGTTCAGAGTGAAATGATTTGAGTTGACACTAAACCGCTTTTATATGTAGATATTTAGAGATCCTGTAAGTCACTCTCCTTTATCCAGCTGTTGAATTTCCTTGGGTATCCCAACCATTTAACTAACACCTCAGTCAGTCCATTTCTTCTTCGTCGCTTTAATACTTTTTCCACTTTGAAAATATCATCACGACTTTTCTGCACCTTTTGTAGTTCACTGGAATAGAATGTTCCTTCCACTGAATCTCCATCATAATCCACAACTTTGTATATTGCAATTCCTTACCGCAGATATCTCCTTTTTATTATGAAAATTTCTTCTGTCCATTTTTGCTGGTAATCTCGCTGAAATGTACGTCTGTTGCTGGAAAGTCTGACAAAGTCACCAACTTTGAATTTGAATGGCTTTGATCGTTGATGCTTTCTTTTCTTGCTCTGTGGTTTTAAAGAATCGACATAAAGCCGCTTCCATATGGTGGCTTCATTGTTTGCAGTAACTTCATTTGGTAATTTCCCTCTCAAAGAAGAATGCGGTCTTGAGTTGTAGTTCCTGACTAAATCAGGTAAAATATCAAGATAATTGTATGTGCGTTTATGCGTGAAATATCTGTACATCAACGACTTCAAACTGCGTATCAATCTCTCGGCATAGTTAGCGTGTGTTATATTATGAGTGACGAAGTGATGGATTCCTTGTTTGTTGAGAAATGATCTCACCCATCTGTTTTTCCATTCGCTACCTGGGTCTGTTCTCACTTCTTTCGGCTTGCGTCCTGACTGTAATATCTCTTTAAAGCCATCTATTATAGAATATCATGTTGTTTATTCTTCAGTGGAACCACCCATGCATAACGAGAAAAAACGTCAATGGCAACGAATAAATATCTAATTTGGTCATTTTCTTTTGCTAAACTGGATACATCTGCCAGGTCAATGTCCCAAAGAAAATCTAGGCCTTGTGATATTACTTTTCTTGTCTTAAATTTATAACGCATTGGTCTCTGTAAACTGCATGTAAGCATCCACATTCTGCAACCACTGTCTTATAGCGTGAATACCAACTTTGTATTTACCTTCCTTCTTCAAGAATTTGTAAATTTTTTCAGGTCCTGCATAACTTATAGGACTGTTCAAGTCAAAGTAAATATTTTGCAAGTGATCTTTCCAACTCATTTTCATAAAATGACAAGATATTAAAAATGCACTCGCATTATATGAGGATAAAGTTACACTCCTTATATAAACATTTACATCATGTCGTGAAATAGTTAACAAGTTATTTTGAATTATCTGATGTTTTCTTCACCTGCTACAATAAAGTGAAGTACCTATTGACTGGGATATCGTATGTCCCAGCTATTGATAAGTTTACATGTTTAAACTTGTTTGTCTAAAACTGGGACATACGATAAGGGGTTATCGTACATCCCAGTCTAAAATTAGCACTTACTGGGAACCCTTAGTGCGGAAACAGAATATGTGTCATCCATCATGCAGCAGAGCTATCATTTTAGAGTAAAATTCTTCAAGAAATGACTCAAAATAACTTTTGTATTTTCCCACTGTCAGGCGAATAGCACGTTCGAGTTCCATCTTTTGTAAATATTTCTCCACAGACTTCATTATTTTGGTATACACATGTCCTCCTCTCAATTTCAGTATATAAGATAGGAGAGTAGTAAACTTTTTCATAAACACATGAATGTCTTCTTCGCGCAGTTTTTTATTTGCTTTCTCCTCAGCCTCATTCTCAGAAAGTCCTTGTGTTACATATTTCTGTACTTTATCTTGCCATTTTTGAATATTTGTTTTCTTCGTTAACTCGGCAAGTTCGTTATAGACTTCATTTTCACTATCTTTGTTCGTCGCACTGCTATCTTCATCATAGCCGCATTTTACCCTCTTGGTGGGTATGACATCTTCGTCTAAAGTTTCACGCTTCAGTGATTCTTGCTCAGGACACAAAAGTTTTACATGATTTTGAAGGTCATGTACGTTTTCAAACATCACACCGCAGTCGTCACAAGCAGGCATTGTCACTTTGTTTGAATAGTCTAGTTTTGGCTCTGTAGGAAATTTCTGATTTTGGTCAGAATTATCTTCTCTGTTGTGCTCTGGAAAATACGTCCGCACAGTTTGAATGTCTCCTTTTAAATGATGACTTTGATAAGCTGCATTTTCCTTTATACTAAATATATTAGTGCGCATGCGCATTGCTTCCGATGTGGTTGGTTTTAAGTCTAGAATTAGATATCCGTATGGCTGGCTTACAGCACTGTCAAAATATCTTATCATTTCTTTAAAATTTGAGGGGTACATCTGCCTTGCCAGAGTTGCAATGGGCTGCATATCTACCGGGTTATTAAAGAATACCAAGTAATGACAATTTCTGCGCTGTGTTGGATCCTTACTCAAATACAAGTTTTGATTTAAGGCAATCACTGATAGATTCCTGTGGTGACTTCCTTCTGTAAATAGGTCTGTAACTCGTTGATCTTTCGCAGTTTCCGATGCCATATCGTCCAGAATAATAAGATTTCTGATAGTCGTGTCAAGAAATTCATCCTTTTCCAAATGTAAAGGCACTCCTTTGATGAACTCTACTTTTGTTATGACAGATGCCTTGATTACATCATAGAGCGGCTGCCACCTTTTATACAAACAAATGATTCTTTGTGGTGATGGTTTTATCTTATTGAAGGCTTGTTGCAGTAACTGAAACACGAAGAAAGTTTTACCTGAAAACATAATACAAAAGCATAAAAAATATTTGATACACCATAACGTGACACAATTCAATTTTGTGCATTAAAATATTTAGGAAGGATAATAGATAAATAAAGGATAATAAATAAATAAATAAATAAATAAACATACGTACCACTGGATGTGGGTCCCGATACCATACATGTAAATGGATGTTGAAACTTGAACTCTTGCTGCTGCTGCTGCTGCTGCTGCTGTTGCTGCTGGAGTGTATGCATACTGTAGTTCTGCTCTGTATGACTCTCAATGTTGTTTTGCTGCTGCTGCTGCTGCTGCTGCTGCTTTTGGAGTGTATGCATACTGTAGTTCTGCTCTGTATGACTCTCAATGTTGTTTTGCTGCTGCTGCTGCTGCTGCTGCTGCTTTTGGAGTGTATGCATACTGTAGTTCTGCTCTGTATGACTCTCAATGTTGTTTTGCTGCTGCTGCTGCTGCTGCTGCTGCTGCTGCTGCCTGCTGCTGCTGGAGTGTATGTATACTGTAGTTCTGCTCTGTATGACTCTCAATGTTGTTTTTGCTGCTGCTGCTGCTGCTGCTGCTGCTGCTGGAACATATACTCTAATTTTGGATGTTTTGTTTTGTAATGTCTTTTTAAGTCCTGTTCCCAAACGTAGTTTTTATCACATAAATGACACTGGCAAGTCATTTTGACGATGTTAACAGGTCCACGGTTCAGAGTGAAATGATTTGAGTTGACACTAAACCGCTTTTATATGTAGATATTTAGAGATCCTGTAAGTCACTCTCCTTTATCCAGCTGTTGAATTTCCTTGGGTATCCCAACCATTTAACTAACACCTCAGTCAGTCCATTTCTTCTTCGTCGCTTTAATACTTTTTCTACTTTGAAAAGATCATCACGACTTTTCTGCACCTTTTGTAGTTCACTGGAATAGAATGTTCCTTCCACTGAATCTCCATCATAATCCACAACTTTGTATATTGCAATTCCTTGACGCAGATATCTCCTTTTTATTATGAAAATTTCTTCTGTCCATTTTTGCTGGTAATCTCGCTGAAATGTACGTCTGTTGCTGGAAAGTCTGACAAAGTCACCAACTTTGAATTTGAATGGCTTTGGTCGTTGATGCTTTCTTTTCTTGCTCTGTGGTTTTAAAGAATCGACATAAAGCCGCTTCCATATGGTGGCTTCATTGTTTGCAGTAACTTCATTTGGTAATTTCCCTCTCAAAGAAGAATGCGGTCTTGAGTTGTAGTTCCTGACTAAATCAGGTAAAATATCAAGATAATTGTATGTGCGTTTATGCGTGAAATATCTGTACATCAACGACTTCAAACTGCGTATCAATCTCTCGGCATAGTTAGCGTGTGTTATATTATGAGTGACGAAGTGATGGATTCCTTGTTTGTTGAGAAATGATCTCACCCATCTGTTTTTCCATTCGCTACCTGGGTCTGTTCTCACTTCTTTCGGCTTGCGTCCTGACTGTAATATCTCTTTAAAGCCATCTATTATAGAATATCATGTTGTTTATTCTTCAGTGGAACCACCCATGCATAACGAGAAAAAACGTCAATGGCAACGAATAAATATCTAATTTGGTCATTTTCTTTTGCTAAACTGGATACATCTGCCAGGTCAATGTCCCAAAGAAAATCTAGGCCTTGTGATATTACTTTTCTTGTCTTAAATTTATAACGCATTGGTCTCTGTAAACTGTAAGCATCCACATTCTGCAACCACTGTCTTATAGCGTGAATTTACCTTAAATTCCTTCTTCAAGAATTTGTAAATTTTTTCAGGTCCTGCATAACTTATAGGACTGTTCAAGTCAAAGTAAATATTTTGCAAGGGATCTTTCCAACTCATTTTCATAAAATGACAAGATATTAAAAATGCACTCGCATTATATGAGGATAAAGTTACACTCCTTATATAAACATTTACATCATGTCGTGAAATAGTTAACAAGTTATTTTGAATTATCTGATGTTTTCTTCACCTGCTACAATAAAGTGAAGTACCTATTGACTGGGATATCGTATGTCCCAGCTATTGATAAGTTTACATGTTTAAACTTGTTTGTCTAAAACTGGGACATACGATAAGGGGTTATCGTACATCCCAGTCTAAAATTAGCACTTACTGGGAACCCTTAGTGCGGAAACAGAATATGTGTCATCCATCATTCAGCAGAGCTTTCATTTTACTTTAAATTCATAAAGTGTCGTCTAATCTAAATTATAGTTACAATATGTGTAGTTTAAATCACAGTTTTATTTTTTAAAAAAATGCCTCGAAATTTACGCTAGCTAATTTAGGTAACAAGGAAATTCCGTTGGAAAATACGGATCTAAAGATAGATGGAAATTCCAATGAAAAACCGGTTCCAACTGGATTCAAGAAATCTAAAAATAGCTCGATCCTGAATCCTGAGGCAGAACTCTCATTTCCCTATATCATCATGTGACCCCTTCCGTTTCACTTCAACTCTTTGATATGCATTTGTTGCATCAACAATTACTAGTAATTATTTTTCAGCAATATGGGGTTTTACAAAATCTTAGACTATGGAAAGGTATCATTTGAAATTGTGCAAGTCATTATGTATTGCGTGTTTTGTATGACTAAATACGTCAATAAATTCTATATATCTATCTATATTAGGGAAAACCGATACGCTTGAATATTTCTTTTGAATTGATCTGACATGTTGTAATGATAATACTTATATCTCTGCTCATTATAGTTATATAGTTCGACGTTTAAATGTTAATTTATTAAACAATGGAATAAAGTTGAATAAATTAGTCTTAACGAGAATACCTTAATTTATAGTCGTATATACTATTGGTATTTGGTGTTGTTAAAATAACGGTTGTTCAATAACGGAATGGCGAAATTACCTTTTCTGTTAATACTTGTTTTTACAGTTTCATCGGCGTTTAATGAATCTGATTCAATACCGAAACAAAAGTATACGCTGCCAGAAGGTCATCCAGAACGTTGTTTTATTATGCTTGCTGAACACAAAGATCTTCGGCGTTTAGAAGCTCTCCCTGGTGGTGGTTGGGACAATCTCCGTAATAAGGACATGGGGGCAGTTGTTCAGCATACTTATCACAAATGTATGACAACAGAGGATGGTCGTTTTCTGATACCAGATAGTATAACGACGCTTCCAATTAAGACAAGCGGAGTAAGCACAGTGTCAGAGTTCTTTGATCACTGGGATAGCTACACGAGTGTTTCTTCAAGTTCCATTAATTTAGAGGTTGAGGTATTAGGGATACCTATTGGAGGTAAATTTTCCACAGAGTATGGGAATATAAAAACAAAACAAATTTCTGAGAAAAGTTCGACAACTCGTATGCAAGTGAGTCAAGTTTTACAACTTTATTCAAAGAAATATTTGTTTTACTGTTTTAATATTTGTTCTACAATCACGTTTTCATCCTTTATTTAATTAAGTATAGTTATTACAGTGGATTAATAATATCTAGAATTAACATGTTTAACATAAATAAATATATGCCTATCTAGAAAACCATGTTTTGTAAGGTTTTTGTTTAGTTGATATAGAAATCTTTTTGCATCTGAATTAAAATGCTAGTAGGATTTATTATTTTCTTGTAAAGGCATACCGGACTGATACAGGACTGCTTCAACTTACTTTGTTAACAAATATGACGCCGATGAAGTGCGTTCGGATGATTCCTTTTTTTTCCATTAAAATAAAGGTTAAAGAAACAATTTAAGTCTGTTTCCTTTTTAGTTGCGCTATCGTAGGTACAATGTCATATTAGAAAACGGATACACGCTTCATCCTTCATTCAAGAGCCGTGTTCAGAAAATAGCGGCTGATTTGATGTTAAATCGATCACGTCTCGCTTCATACGAGAGTCAGCTGCTTGTACGAGACTATGGCACTCATGTGATAAACAACGTTGAGCTTGGTGCAACACTTGTCAAAGTAAGAGTCTTTTATTCTACTATATGATGCTAGAATATAAGAATTCGTACCTTCACTAAATTTATAAACAATGAACAAATAATCAGAAAACATCAACAAACAAAAAATGCTTTTAAAATGAATGACTTGGGTTATATTTATTTATGTTATATTGATTAATTAATTGATAGTTTTATAGTTATAAAATAAATAAAATGCATAATCAAAGCCTACCTTAATCTAAAAAAAGGACGGTGCGGCCCATCATATTTTATTTGAATAATTTTGTTCTATGCACTTGTCCTATATTAACTTATGCTCAAGTTATGCAGTGACGGCGTGGCCAAGTGGTTTTGTCGTACTAGTAATCAAACGATTGATGGCCGCATGGGTTCAACCATGATCAGGGGCAAGCTGTTGCTTCCGTGAATAAGAAACTTTACACTCATTGTTGGCGTCCGCGCCGAAGCGCGGCGCTCTTATGGAATGAGATCAGATTTTGTGAAAGGGCGACAGCAACTTCTCGAGCCTTTTAGTCGGTCATAATAAAAGCCGAAAATTCCGATCGGTATGAGGGTGCTTGATTATTAAATAAGAATGAAATGTCGCGATATGTTACAATGAATTTTCGCAATGCAAACATTTACAAATGAAATAACCTTTTCCGTCAATAAATCGCGCTCTTCGGGGTTTTTTATTTATCATTTTGTAGTACACAGTCGGTTATCATGTCATGGTATGTTATTGTTGTACATGTATCCTAGAATGATCAGTTGATGACCTAAATATTCCAAAAACCTATTTATAGATATATCTTTTTATCACTCCTATCGGTAAATGCCGGTCTCTCCCGGTCTATTTTGACCAGGATTTACTAGTGACCGGCGAATAGTACCACACGTTTATTGTCCAGTCTCTCCCGATTTTGGAGTAGATGTTTGATATCGTTACAATTGGAAAAAAACAACAATAGCATGTTTCATTTTATCTATATGAGATAAAAACAATAAATATGTACACGGATTTATATGTAATATAAATCCGTGATATGTACAATAATTGAGAAAAAGGTACATTTTTTATGGTATTAAAATGACATTATCAACTTTGAAACATTTTATTTAATTATTCAATTTGTTATCCGTGTTTAGTAAAGATGCCGAGGAATTTTTCAAAGTTACAAATTAGATTTTATGAATTATTCAATTGATCGATAATTTAAAAAATGATAAAGAAAAATACAATGTACATGTACATGGTTTAAGAATAAACAATATTATATATTGAAAGATAAACCATAATTTACTGACTTTTTCCAGTTAAGCTTTTACTTATAATCGTCGGTCAATATGACAATTGAATTCTTAAAATTTATTTTACAATTTTAATAAAAAAGAGTAGTAAAAACTCAGTATTAAAATAGCACATAAAACACAAAAAAGAATAAAAGAAAACAATATTCATAAAATTTGTATTTTTTTTTAAATTAAAATTAATAGATATTACAATTATTGTATAATAAACAATTATGCTCAACATGATCAACATGGTAATATAACCAGTGTCATATTTTTACTAACTTAAAGTGTGAACAGATACCTTAAGGGGGTCTTCGCTAATAGCGATAACATGTACATAATAAGGGACAAATGTGTGGTACGTGTTGATCATGCGTTACACATATGGATTATAAATGATTGCATACATGTATATCCGTTGCTATTAATAACCACGATCATAAAGAAATAACAAGTAATATTCTAATCTCTAGCATGCCAATCAAAGTTCATAATGAACAATGTCTTTCGTCCGCTCATTCATAAGTGGTATACATTTCTGGTAGTTTATAACATATCTTGTCATCATATGTGTACTAGTTCATCTTCACTTGCTGCATTTCTTGCTTGGACGCCCTTTGATGCTTTGCATCAATGCTTTTCTTGTACTGGTTTGTTCCAGGAAAAGATTCGAGACTGTTAAAATAAGCTTATAGCTTCGAACACAATCGAACTAAAATAAATTAATATAAACTAACTAATGATGAATTTGACAGACAGATCAAATAACAATATCACAAGATGGAAGCTCTGAATCCGACAGTCGGCAAAGAACAATATCTGCAGCTGCTGCCGCGTTCTTTGAAGAAGTTGGCATCCATTTCGGTGTTTCGTATTCTACATCATCATCGAATGAAGCAGTAAACAATTACAAAAATTCACGATTGTCCTCTGAAATTATAACACTTGGTGGAGATATTTACAAGTAAGTTCAACATACCGCTTAAATTTATAAATGTTTCTAAGTTTTCAAAAATAATATACATGTAATGGGTTATTTATATAACGTCACGTTGTCATCATCACTAAGTACATTTGTAGTTTCAACTGTACTCTATCATGAAATTATGTTTTCAATTATATCAGAAATAAACAAGTTTTTCCTGCATATGACGCCATGTCGACCTTATGTTATATTCTTTAAATTTTTTACAAATAACGCTTTATTTGTATAATTTTACTGTCTATTGAACCAATGTCTTTGAGTAGTTAAAATTAAGCGATTTTATCTTGATGATTTATTATTGTGTATTTCTAAAAATATAAACATGTTGGGTCAATGTTTTTCTTTGGATAAAAAAAGTATACATGAAAATATTTTCATGTGCTTATACTTGTATATATATTTTATAATTTATATATTTTATAAATAATTTATATTTTGTCAGCTTTCACATGCCATCACACTGTTCTTTTTGTTGTTTATTTGTTTTTATGTCTTCTTGTTTATATATAAAATAGAAGAAAATAATTGAATTCAATTTCTTCATTTCTTTATACTGTAAATGTTTTTGTATTCTTTTGTTCAGGCCAAGTCAATATTCTGCTGAAAACTGGAGCAGCTCAATTGAAAACAATCTTGTGCCACTAGATAGATCGGGGGACCCATTATATTTATTCGTTAATGAAAACAACCTACCTGGGATACCAGAGTACATTATAGAAAAGGTCCATAGTTCTGTCAAAAAAGCTGTTTATCGTTATTACATACAAAATGTACATAAAGGATGTACGGTACGAAACGCGCCAAATTTTAGCTTTCAGGCTAACGTTAATGATAGTACATGTGATCCGCCTAAGACAAGTTTTACTTTTGGAGGTGTTTATCAAACGTGTTCGAACACAGGTTATGTAAATCTATGTGATGGAATGTCTGTTAAGAATCCATTAACTGGTGACTTCAGTTGCCCAAACAACTACGAAGCTATTCGCATCAACAGCGGAAAAAAGACCCAACAAAGAAATAGAGCTGTGATAGTGAAATGTGGCTGGTTTTTTCATCTTGGAAAGTGTGCCAAAAATGTAATAGACATTGCAAGCGCCGATTATGAAGCATTTTGGTGTGCTAAAATCAATGCAAGCAGTCCAGGTGGATATATGTTTGGCGGTTTGTATACCCAACATATAGATAATGTGGTTACACAAACAAAAGTATGTCCAGCATACTTTATCCCGTTAACTATACTTGAAGACCTAACTATATGTGTTAGCGATGACTATGAACAAGGTTCACAATTTAATCTTCCTTTTGCAGGCTTATTCAGCTGTGCTGCAGGAAATCCAATGGCATTGGACTCTATTAAAGGAACAAACAGAAGTTATCCAAACTCCTGTCCAGAAGGGTATAGCCAACATTTAGCGGATGTAGATGACGGATGCGAGATAAATTATTGCATTCAATCCGGCGCAATAACAATGGAACAATTACCGAAAATAAAACTACCTCCTTATATGTCAAGACCTTTAGACATACCACAGAAAGAGACAGAAGATGATTCGTCAATGACCATTTTCAGTAGTGATGGTACAAGTTGGTCTTCTTTAGAGGATGAAGTTGTTAAAGCAGCTTCCAGTAACAACACTTTAATTTTTCTAATTCATAGTAATGCACTGGATGCTACTGATAAAAACTACGAGCAGGTTTCTGCTGTTACAGTTGCAGTAATATCTGTGACTGGAACACTTCTCTTTGTGCTGATAGTTAAAGGCATAGCTTGGGCAATCAGACGGAGGAGAGGTGCTACGTTGACATATCAAAGATTCGATGATTTAACATATATGTAACTGCCTGGGCAAAAGAAAGATACAAGTATCTAGTAAAACATATTTTAGATGTTTTGAACATACATAATTGAATCATCTATCGCATTTTGCTGGTCTAGAAAATTGACATTTGTAATTTTGTATTCATGTATTTAAGTGATTTCAGTTTTGATCTGCCTTAGTTATATAAGTCATACGATTTTAAACTTGTTAAACATGAGACAATACGCTTATGTGTATGATTAATATGTAAATAATTGTTAAAAACATTATCAAATAAATTTGCATCATCAACAGTGTCATAAAAGCGTTAGCAGATGGCAAATCTTGAATATACATGTACTAGATTGCAATGAGAAAAAGAGAGTCTAATGGAAGTCAAAAATGACAACTTTAAACAACATAAAAATTTGGGCGACTTAAATTTCCTGATCGATTTTACATAACATGCAATTGTATTTATCTAAATTCAAGGAAATAATGGGCCATCAACACTCTTAACAGTGCTAAACACAACTTAGAACAGTTTTTATAAGCATGAACCTTTGAGACAAGCTTCTAATATTTGGGCCATAACATTTACAAAAGATTGAATTGATAAGATCACCATCCCATGAACGGGTGTACACTAAAGAATAGTTTGATTCCCTCATCAAACTAGTGAGGAGTGTGTGTTTTAAGTTTAACAAGCAATTATCATAGTATTGCAAGCAATCCAGAAGTCCCCTACCGGTTAGAACCCCAGCAACATTCTGAAGGGCCATTGGTCATTCACTTATGTTTCTATTTTAAGTAAATTTGTTGAAAAAGTTCTTTAAAAGTGATCACAGGAAACAGTTTTTATGTACAGACAGACAGACGGACAGAAGGACACTCTAACATCATTTTCTTAAACATCCCTGTTATCAAAATATAACCTTTTTAAAAGCAAAACTCTTAAAAAGGAGATAACTCTTGAAATAAAGATGCAAGACGTCATACATGATGCGAGTGTAACAAAGAACAATTAGTAATGAAGGTATTGATAATGAATGTTTATTTTGAATTTGAAGTAAAAGAAAGTTAAAAGAACGAATAAGAAAAATTCAAAGTTTAAAGAGAAGATAATTCTGGAAATATGGATGCTAGATTTATAAACCTAGTCATATTATTATGATGTGGGAGTTTGAAGAAAATCATATAATGATTGAAGCAATTGGAGTAAAAATTACCATTTTCTCAAAAAAAGTTCAAAAGAGACATAATTCTGAAAATAGTCTTGCTAGAGTATTGAACTTTCTCACAAATGCTGAGTGATAATAAGAAACATATATATGAAGATTGAAGTAGATACATTCAGAAAAAAAGAAGTTATTAAAAAAAACAATATTTTTTTCATGAAAATTTTAAGTTCAAGGGAGGAAATTCTGATCAAGTTGTAAACCTTGTCACATATGATGTGGTTGATGACTAGAAACTTATATTTAAAGTTTGAAGAAAAAACCTAAAGAAAGAAAGAACTTATAGTGAAAAAACGTAAAAACTAGAATCAGAAATCTTGAAATTCAGTCTATTTGTTGCCATAGTAACCAGAATTTTCAACATCGGAAGAAAAGAAAAAGACGTGCATAATCTCCAGACTGCCATCTACCCATATTTTAAGTTTCATAAAAAATATTTTCAGTACTTTTTGCGTTATCACTGGTTCCAGGATATGTGTAAAATTTGCCATATTTTCAGTCTTTTTGTTGCCATAGCAACCAGAATTTTCAACATAGGAAGAAAGAGACGTGCATAATCTCCATACTGCCTTATATCCATATATCAAGTTTCATAAAAATATTTTCAGTATTTTTTGCGATATTGCTGGATCGAGGTTATGTGTAAAATTTGCCATATTTTCAGTCTATTTGTTGCCATAGCAACCAGAATTTCAACATAGGAAGAAAAGAAAAAGACGTGCATATACTGCCATCTATCCATAATTATCAAGTTTCATAAAAATATTTTCAGTACTTTTTGCGTTATCACTGGCCAGGTTATGTGTAAAATTTGCCATATTTTCAGTCTATTTGTTGCCATAGCAACCAGAATTTTCAACATAGGAAGAAAAGAAAAAGACGTGCATAATAACCATACTGCCATCTATCAATATATCAAGTTTCATAAAAATATTTTCAGTATTTTTTGTGATATCGCAGGATCCAGTTTTGTGGACAGATGGAATGACGGACGCCGACGGACAGACGAACGGAGGGTAAACCTAAAGTCCCCTCCGGTAAACCTGTAGGGGACTAATAAGGGTCCCTCTTCCCTTTCAGGCACTGAGAGTACGGACCCCTAATTTGAGGAGTTCATTTTCTGCTATTTATCTTTGTCCATAAGTAATTTTTAAAAAAAATATGTACATACAGAAAGAAATAAAACATACTTCTTATACAATTTCATAATTGGTTGTATACGAAATCGAATATTTTATGTTAGATTTCTGTATGCTAGTTAAATTAACAACAGTATCTCCAACATCTTTATAAACAATACAAAACTGCACAAACATTGATATTGACAATCAAGTTTATTCTGAAACATTTTATGAGAACTACATAATTAAAATGGGCATTTACACAGACAAATACAAGCACCTCCTAACAGTATCATTCATACCTGTATTGCCTAACAAACACCTGAACATGTGTATACAAAAACTAAACTTTTGTATACGACAGAAAATGAACAATATCTCACTAGTTTCAGATTATCTGCCCTCATGATTAATATCCTTAAGTTCTGAAGTGTTTTCAAGGTATTCTTGTAATTTATCACCACTGACGTCTGGAAGTTCTGGAATCTCTTCCTCATCCATTTCAAACTCTTCAAGAATTTCTTCTCTCTTTTTCTGATGCATTGTTTTCGCATAGTCTCTTTGTCTGCGAATCTTCTCTTCATACAGGGCAAGGTATTTATCCATCCAGCCTTCTTTTTCAGGATGCATTAAATTGAAACGTTCATTTATTTCCTTCGGAATATAATGCTCTGTCTCTGTTCTTTGATAAGGAATACCAATAGCATTACGTGTAATATACGATTTTGGCTCATCTATTTCTCCTTTTTCTAGTAACTTGTAGGCGATATCTCTCTCTCTGACAACATCCAGTAAATTTTCCATGCTTTCCTCAACCTGAATAACAATGATAAAATCGAACTTTGAAAATCCTTATTTTATCCTAAATTTTGCATTCAGGTTGGTCTGGCCATTCATTTTTTTATACCTAAACCTGCTGACTTTGTGTAAAGGATTTGCCTCGCTTTGGATTTTAGACAGTCAATTCTGAGATTAAAGCTACATGCCATCAGATGAGCCAAAATGTTTTAAGAAAATCAAACTGCTATTTTTGCATATTTTGACCTCTTTTTGGTAATTAACATGAAATAAATTTTCGTAGTTAACTAAAATATTTTTCTTTTTAATACATTTTCAAAATTTTCATGAAAATAAGCATGAATTTGGAGGCGTGATGCTTTAAGGGATTTCAATTATATCAAAATACAAAGATGTTTTGTAGTTAGCTGGATAATTTTGGCACTTTATTCATGTAAAACATAGCAGCTGTAACTTTAGGAATTGAATATGTTTTTTTTTTAAAACCGATAAACAATTGACACTGCATGATTGCACAGAATGATATACATGTACCTTGATAAAACAGAAGAAATATAAACAAGATTTTACCTTCTCAAAACGTTCCGGACTTGGCAAAGCCTCCAATTCACTCCTATACATGTGTTCCATGGTCATTAAGAGATTCCGCTCTTTCAATAACACATACCTTAAATAGATGAACATGTCAAACATTTGTGATAAAATCAAATTAACTTTTTCAATATAGTTCATGTTCTTATAGGAACCTTATTTTGTCAGTTAAAAGATGCGTATCTCAAGATTAAAATTGACCTCAAGGGTATTAAGAGCCCACAAGTGTGGGTAACTGGCTGGTCCTAATAACTCAGTCTTGAGTGCTGAGATCAAGTGAGCTTAAGTCATTTGATTAAACTAAAGAAAAAATACTAACAGATAACCTTCACACTAAATCAAATAGTTGTGTGTGTGTGCAATATCATATTTCTAAGTACATGACTGTATATTTACAATTCTGACCCACCTAAATCTAGGTTTCAGATTTCACACTATATTTAAAAAAAAAAAAAAATATGGAAATGTAAAACTGGTACACATCTTTATGACCCTGAATGAGATATCCAAAACAAAAAAAATCTTTCTGCACCATGAAGGTAGTTAAACCTGCAACTTGACTATTTAAGCCACTAGATGGCACTGGGGCAGATTTTCATGGTATTTTTGATATGCTTCACATCTAACAGCCCTTTTTAGAAATAGTAAAATAACCAAGAAGTATTTTGCCTAAAAACTTTTTGTATAACTTCTTTGCAACATTTGAAATAAAATGGCAGAGAAAACATCACCAAAGATTCACTTAAATGTACTTTGTGAAAAAAAAAATCAGTTAACTGTCAAAAATTTGAAAATCCCGGGCCGGAGTAAATGGGATCATGAACTGCAGGTTGTAAACAAATACACGTGGCAGTGTTAACTTTCCAGTAGAAACTTAAAATATTACTCTAGGAAGGGAGCTGCTGATCAGTAATCGTCTGCTATAGTGTTTGTTTACATCAGCTAAATTTAGCACAGGTACAGTGTCCTTTGCATGATTTATCTGATAAACACGCCTACAAAATTCTCCCTACCAGGGCAGGGATTTTTGCGGCTTTAAAGTCAACACTTCCTTTTTTGTCCGAAAAAAGCTAAAAAATCAACTTCATATCATTCATTTTTATATTTTATATGTTTTATCTATTTTTTGTTGCCATTTTAACCGTTCTTTTCAAAAGGATTCTTTTACATGAAGTAATGATGTTTAAATTACTTAATTTCATGGTTAAAATTGATGTGCTTATAAATGTCTAACTATGAAGAAATCAAAAACAGTTTACCATAACTTATGTAGATCAGTGTTACTTTTTATTCTCAGTTCTTCTTTTCTCCATGGTCGACCTGAAATATTTTTATAACAATGAATCATTCAATTATTAGGCCCATAAAGCCGTGAAAAATGGTACAATTTTCATTTTTTTAAACTTTTCGGAAAAAGTACTCGTCGTCCATATACTGTAGCTAAACTATTTTTTGTTTCTTTTCCTTTTTGACATTTTTGGCAATTAGTAGTTATAGTGATTGGGTATTTTGTATGGAAGTTACCAAGTAAAAAAAAACACATGTTGACATTTTGCCTTCTTTATGACAGATTATTCCACATTCAGTACTACATCTCCGCATAAATATAATGCTCTTAATGAATTTTATTCTAAATATTACTATTTCAACACATGTTTGCCTTTTCTGAAAAGAATAAATAAAAAAAAAAAATTATCAATTTACTATAATGTACTATAATTGATTCAATTCCCTATATCTTGAAATAATGCATAGCACTGAATTTAACACTCCTTTACTTATGTGCAAGTAAAAAAATAACATTTATGTAGCAGACAATTATAATTTAGAAATATATTTCTGTACTTATCTAGTCTTGAAAACAATAAACACAGCATATACATCTCAATGGTAAAAAGAATATTCTTGAGCACTAGAAAAACTTTTAACAAGAGGGCCAAGATGGCCCTAGATCGCTCACCTGACCCATCCAACTCATCCGAACAATTACCTAGACAAGCATTCTGACCAAGTTTCATAACAGGTGAGTCAAAGTTTTGACCACTAGGTTGAAAAACTAGGTCACCGGAGCTAAAAATAGAAAAACCTTGTTAACACTCTAGTGGCCACATTTTTGCCTCAATCATCATCAAACTTGGTCAGGATGCTTGTCTAGGTGATAGCTCGGATGAGTTCGAACATGGGTCATCTCGGATGAAAATCTAGGTCACAGGAGCTAAAAATAGAAAAACCATGTTAACACTCTAGCGGTCACATTTTTACCTTAATCATTTGAGATGAAACTTGGTCAGAATGCTTGTCTAGGTAATTATTCCGATGAGTTGGATGGGCCAGGTGAGCGATCTAGGGCCATCTTGGCCCTCTTGTTAAGTTTTTCTAGTGCTCAAGAATATTCTCATTTTTCCATTTTTAGCTCCAGTGACCTAGTTTTTCATCCTAGATGACCCATGTTCGAACTCATCCGAGCTATCAACTAGATAAGCATCCTGACAAAGTTTGATGATGATTGAGGCAAAAATGTAACTGCTAGAGAGTTAACGAACAAGTCTGGACGGACGACTGAAACGATCCTAAAAGCTCACCCTGACCTAGCTCAGGTGAGCTAAAAAGGCTTACTTTAAAGGCAAATTATGCCTCAAAAATCAATTCTTTTTAATTCTTTAGAAATGTCAAACATGTGTTTAAAAATGGATTTAGAGCATGTTAGATGTTTAACAAATGCTGAACATGCAGTAATATATCATAAAGGTAGCAAGCAAAATGTAAACAAAGTAGTATTTTGACTCCCATACAAAATACTAATTCACTATAATCATATAGGTTGCTAACAGCTATAGTTGTGCAAAAGATAGTCCATGTATAATAATAAGGAAAATGAGTATTACTGTAAAAACAAGAACAACTCAAGATATCAAAATTTATAAGTTTTTGAGAAATAAAATTGGTATAATTTTTGAGGCATTATGGGCCTTGAAAAGTACATGCAGGGTGTCAGTATATCACACTTATTGAAAACTAACAAACATTTTATTTCTATCTTATGCTGTATTTGAGAACTATGAAACTAGTTGAAATTCTGAATTTTTCACTGTTTCAATTGTTTATTAATAATTATGACACATATTTCACCATTATATCTCAATATTTCATAAAAAACATTACTTGATGAATGACTATTTTCATTAATTTGACAACACAATTTATTTATTATTACATTTTGAGTTAAAAACATTGTACTACAATAACGTTATTGACCTGACCTGAAGCAATTTCTTGCAAATTAAAACTGGAGCAACATGGAAATCCTGACTTTAGTAAAATGTTATTATATCATTATTTTTTTTTTCATGTATAACAATGCGAAATTTTGTACAAGAAAAATTTAATATCTTTGAATGTTTTCAGGAAAATGTTAATTTTCATGCTCTTTTTAAATTTAACATTTTTTATGGATATTTATTGTTATTAGCAGCATTTTTGGAAAAATTAAATTGATATATTTTGAGTCTCAGGTTTGTTTACTTAAGCCAATGATGACCATCTAAAGAAGGAACAGAATCACTGTGTCATATATTTATATTTTGTGAATTTCTATTCACAATTATTTCTATAATTATAATGTTGGGTAGTCTACTCACCAACTTTAACCTCATCTACATCAAAGTCATCAAGGTCAAAAAATTCATATAAATCAAATCTTCTACCAGTGGTATGTATAAAAGATGAACCACATTCTCTTCTGAAAAAAACAAAAACAAAACATCAATGTGAACACATATCTGCAAAGCATGTAGAAGTCCCGCAAAAGGTTTGAAATTATTAGAATACATGTATAGGTAGAAAATTTCTGAACAAAAAAGCAGCATTGACAATTACAAAACAGTACAACAAGCAGCTAAAACTTTAATAATTCCAGTATTAAATGATGGTCCTATTTTTAAAGTTGCACCCTTCCAGATGAGCCAAAATATTTCAAGAAAATCAAACTTGAGAAAAATATCATTACAATTTAAAACCAATAGTCTTCAAAAATGTAAGTCACCAAATTTTTTCAAAATTTGTTATATACAGGCAATATTTCCTTTGGCTGAACCGAGGCAAACTGACACCTGTTATTATAAAATGCGATAAAAGTAACCTGGCAAACTACAGCCCATTTCTTTGAGATATGTTCTTTGTAAGTTATTGAATACATGTACATTGTCTCTTTAAACGTTACACAGCACTTTCAGGTCAACAATATTTCATTTAACATGGATTCAGGTCAAAAAGGTCTTGTGAAAACTGTTTTTTCCCGATACAATTTGCGATATATATGACATCTGTCCCGTATGACATGGAATGGTGCAGCATTTTCCCTAACCCATTTTCAACGGCAGTATTTCTTTTTGTCAAAATGGCAGATGTTAAATTGAAATCAGCTCCATCAGAATTAAAAATATGGGAGCATTCTGGCTTTAGAGAAGAAAAGGACAGTGAAAAAACTTCTTATACAACATGCTGACACAGCTATGTTGAGGTTTCTGATAAAGCAGGCAATACATCTAATAATGCTGACATATTAAATTGCTCAAAATTTCAACACCAAAGAAACTTATGGGTGGGGGGAAGGGGCTGAACATTTCGCTTCCCCTGCAACCCAAGTTTGTCAATTATGCCTCGAAGATGTTTTTCATAAGAAATTAGCAGCCACATGCTACATCTATAACAACAACCATTGGAAAGTTTATTGCACATGACATGCTGACAGTCATATATGCAAGAAGTCGAGATGGTACAGCACAGAGCTGCTCAATTGGTCATCAGTGACTACTCCCCTTACAGTCACATGTATGTATAATGTAGTATCGTCCGTCACAGTGTTGTTTTCTTTCAAACAGGATTGATGCCAGGCTACTGATGTGCTACAAGATTGTTTATGGACTGGTTACAGTACCAATGTCTACTTACATTATACCTCCTATCTGACTAACTTGACACATACAAACAAATAAATTCGGATACTCTTTGTCCGAACACTATTAAACTATACCTGTGGAAATTTGTTGATGCTATTGAAGTTGAAGAAATACAAAGTTGCCTTAAACTCTTCGTAACAGGCAATGTTTTAGTAAAAACAAATCGTAGCATATCCATGATCGATCTCTGTCTTAAATTTTTATAATTTTCTCATTTTGCAAACGAAGGTCATCATCTGAGTGAAAAAAGGCTTGAAATTATTTTCGCGAAATGAAAAAAAAAAAAAAAGAAATTAAATCTTTATCCGAAGACTGGCGGAAAGGGCCGAAAAGTTGCGATTGTCGAATATGTATATCGACACACATGTAAAATAAAACGGCATATCATTTACTTAAAAAAAAAATAAAACTCTCATATTCTCGCATAGCACTACTTATATAGTCAGCCCCTATTCTGAAGTTATCTCAATGTATATATGTTGTACTTTGATAAAGTTTATAACAGAAATACCTGAAACATGCTTCACACCAGATACCGTACCTCATTTTATCATCATATATGCAGAATTTTTACTCCCACTTATTTTATTTGATATGTTTAGTGGAAAAAAACAACAAATACAATTATTTCATTTGTTAATTTGTTTATCTGGATTAACAAAAACTCTAAGTGTGCTTATATATACTACGAGCAGTGCCTACTGTATGTACTGTTGTTATATGAATTTTAAAGCAAAATTTAACTTTTTGCTCTGGTTGGATCTCCATTTATCCAGATTTTTTTACTGTATAACGTTGTGTGTTGTGTTGCAGCTGTAAAAAAATTGCCCTGTACTTCTTTGGCTACATTTCGGACATATATTGAATGACAACATTGACAGATGTGGTTTTTAAAAAAAATGATAACATTCCCTAGATGAAGTTCACTTGCAGAATAATTTGAGAATATTGACGTGTATTTTAATTCATTTACTGTAATAACACTAGTTAAGAAAGAAAGTTCACCATTATGATATATATATGTATCATATATATCTTATTTAACTCCCCTTTGTAATTTCTGACACTGATGCATTTCAAAAGCATCGGATTTGGATAGATCACACGATTAAACGCGAATGATGTCTATTTTAATAGATAATGTATGACGATTTGATATACATATATCAATTAATTAAGTGTTAATTATTATAAATTATTATGAATTGCTCAAAATGTTCTCGAGCTTAGGTCTGGTATTACTACTTAGTACCTATTAAGAACTTCAATTATTAATTACTGATCTTACTACACGAACTATTCACAAGTAATCGTACGGTTGCATCATGTGTTACGAAGTTACATAAAAAGGAACTGGCGCCCTTAAAACAAATGAAATAAAATACATGTATTATGAACAGTTTTATCAAACAAACTTAGAGTTTCATCAAACCCCACCCTTTGATAATTCTGTTCACATTAAATTCGTAAATGTTATATTGTTTTGAAAAATAGCGTTTATCAAATATTGAGTTAATTAAAATTCTAAGACTGTGTCATGTAAATAAAAAAAGACAACTGGACTACATGGAGGTGAATAAAATGTTTTGTTACTATAAGGAGCATATGGCATATTTGGAAACAATCGTAACAACCAATCTTGATTTCTACATGCTACATGTCAATTATATGTATGCATCTGTCATAGTTCCATCCAAGAAGAGTACACTTACTAGCCAAATAACTGTAAACACTAAGCAAGTTAACATTAATTAGTCAAACTTCAACTAGAAACCTTCAAGATAGTTGCTACCGCTTCGCATTCCACCATGTTTCTTAATTATAAACATATTGAAACGGTAATCATTATATGGTTTTCTTACTCGATCTGCAGTGTACTTTACTTTTGTTATGCATATTACCTTTTTTGTGTTATTGTCCATAAATGATTAAATGTGCTATTTAAGTATATTATAACATGTGGTAATGTGTTTTCTTCATCTTAGTAATTATTTTATTGTAACAAAGCTGGCGGTTCAGCAGTTTTTGACATGTAAACGACAGTCATACATATGGAATTTGAATGATAAACTTATCAAACTTAATTACTTATCACACCGTTTTGTTAAATCTTCATTAGCGGCCAGAACTCCACTTTTCTTGCTAAAGTAAAAACACGCCAGCAAAGTAATATTTGCTATTCTTATTATTTGGTAAAAGCAACTTACAATTCAACAAGGATTATTGGTAGATCTACAGACGGTTAGCTCATTAATTTTAATCTAAAGCATTCGTGAACCCTGGGTAAACATCCGAAAATCATTATGGTGCGGGGCAAACAAAATAAATGCAACTCGGTAATGAATGAACATTTTTATATTAAATCATAAAATAATAAAAGCACGCGTGTAGTATCATGTCATACCATTATTTCAAAATGTATATATAGTTTTGTAAAGACATTTTATGTTACTATTTAAAGGAATTATATTAAATAAGGACCTTTACTTGAAACATGTAACAGTCATGATTACACATAAGCATATGCATTTTGAAATTTAATTCCGTTGATGATTAGAAAAGTCAGAGTTCAAATAACGTATCACCTCACTTGTTTTGGTAAAAAGATAAATTGTACATCAATGGAACAGTTTAATACTTTTAAAATCATATTAAACAAAAACTCCAAAAAAAAAGTTTCAATCTATAGTTATTCATTTGTATCGATGATGTAAGTTTAGTTTTTAATCAACAATCAGTTATTGATAGTTTCAGTACATGTACATCAAACAATTCAGCTGGATTCTGTTGTAACTGTAGTTTGGAAGTAAACGGGACCCAATGTTCGCATTGTCATGCTTAATGTATCCTGTTTGGGTCTTGCTAAACGTTTTTCTAGTACCATTGATTTTTCTTTTGGCTTGTCGGAATCTTCACCAGTTTCTGTAGCAACGGTCACGTGTTTGCTATCTTGAATAACTCCTTCAGTATTCTTTTCTATGGCATTTAATCCCTCTCGTTGCTTTTCTTCTTCTGGAACCTTCGATTGTGAAAGATCAGTTTGTTTACTGTGCTTAGTCGTGGTATGATTATAATCTCGCCAGTGCTCATGGTCGTGAAGCATCCTGTAAAATGTTGTAGTGGACATTTCTCTATCAATTTCAATGTTTTTTCTTTTAACATCTGCTAACAGTCTTTTCTTAAAAGTTTTGTATTTGTGATTAGGATTCAACATGCGGATTCTTCGGTGCACTTCTGGCTTCATAGACTTCACGTTAAATCCGGAATTGAACACACGCGACTCAATTACGTAATGTCTTGCTGTTTCTATATCTTCTATCTGATTTGCATTGAATCCTTGTTTCATTGTGACAAAGTTGTCAAACCGATACTCCTTTTCTAACAGTTGAAGCAGTGCTCTTTTTTCTGTTAACGTCTTTGAAGTTCTTTCAATGACTCTGTTTTGCAGATTGTTGACAAAGCGCTGTTCTTTGTCGATTAATCTGTGCATTCTTGCCAAACGTGCATTTTCTGTTTTGTTTGCGAGAAGAGCCCTGATAAATTATAATAAAAATGTATGTATTTACTATGTCAAAATAAATTTATCAAATAAATTATCGACTATATTTCCTTTTCTAAAACGATTATGTGACTGTACCTATGTTTAAAACTGACAGTCCTTTTTTAAAAACGAAGTGAATATTAATACATGCATTAAAGTTTTATTGTAATAATTTGGAGTTGAATTATTGTAATAGTATTTTCACTATTCCTCAATAAATTTCATCTTATCGTACAGTTCAGAGTTAAGAGATGCAAATTTGTAGATATATTTTACCTACCTTTCTCTTGTTGCAGCGCTGATTTCAGTTACTCGGTTGAATACTGTCCCGGGACCTACTGGCGACAGTTCCTTTTCCCTCCATACCTTCATGTTTGTTGCTTGCGGCATCCCAAAGTTTGTCACTAGAAACAAAAGACATCTATTATATATCTTTCTTTTAACTATAGTCTCAACTATGGTTTATATCGATTAGGAAAGTCTGCAGTCAATGATTGTGTGGAAGTTTTGAAAGTGTTAATTATTTTCCTAGAACATGTGATTCTGTCATTAGTACATATCTTAACAAACATAAAGTGACATTATGCCCATCTTTGTGTAAATAGTGAGTCCACAGGTAAAAGTGAAAATAACTTAACATTTAACCAAAGTTGTGTTCGTTTTCATAATTTACTATGCAAAAGTAATCAATAATCCATGTGACCCACGAACAATGCCTATTAGGTATCGACAGCGTTCAATTTTTAAAAAGAGTGGGGCAGTCTTTTTTTTATAATTTATATTATTTCATGTTTCATCCTTAACATTTTTCTTTATTAATTGTTGATCAGTCACGATGATAATAGTCAATCTCTTGAAATTTGTTATAAATTCATCTCAACTTGACAATAAAGAATGAGTATAATGTCACTTTAACTAGATAAACTAGATAAAAAATAATACATGTACTACACTATATCCAACTCATTTCAGAGAAGCATTGTTTTTCCAACAAAGACTTAAAGCAAATACACATTCAGCAAATGTCTGTGCGCGTGTGTCGTCAGTATAAACGTTTTCTCATTTATTTACATGAATAACTAATAGCAATTTTACATCATTTGATATAAAATCCAATTCTTTAAACTTAGCAATTTGTTTTCAATCTTTCAAAATTTGCTTAGAAAAAAACATCTTTGTGAAAATACTTGAACGAATTAAATCTCAATAATTCACTTTTTAAAGATTCAACACGGATCATTAACGTCGAAAAAAACATCATGGCAAGCTGCTAAAATAAAAGATAACTTTACCATACCAGCTACACTTCCCAAATTAAAATAATAATATATATAGTACCATACAAGAAATTTACAGATAAATGTATTGTGTAATATGTATGTAACTAGTATGCGAGAGAAAAAAATGAAAAAAAAAATAAAACAGCGTGGCCAAAATGTGTTGCCTTTTCATAAAATAGATTTGAATTATACATAAGATTAACACTGTAACCACAAACACGATATGTTAAGATCATTTAAGTGTAGTCATATATATTAGAGAAGGATTCCCATACCAATCTTTGGTCTTCCAGGTCCAAATTTTAAAACACTCATCCTTGTGATTAAAGAAATCTAATTTATCAACTTTATCAAACACACTTGATATACAATGTACAAATCCTGCTGTTAGAGTAACTTTTGAGCACTGCATTACAGATCTAACCAAATATGTTTTAATCAAACACTTGTTTTAAAGAGATAAAGAAGATTTTAAGGGTTAAATAAAATCTAAAAAGTCAATTAATGAAACAAGTATCTGTTCCAATCCAGTTAAAATATGGGTTTCGCTTTTAACGTGTCAGTAAATTCATTTAAATTTTATGACTTCTCGACTACCTGACGAATTTTTATCATATTCAATTACATTCTTTAGACGGTATATCGTCACCTGCTTTTAAATGGATTATTATAGTTAAGGGAAAGTTAAAAATCGCTTTTAGCAAAATGCAACAAAAGTAGGCAATTGGTTCAAAGTGATTAGCTCTTGCCCTTATATCAAATTATGTAATATTTAATGCGTTTCAATGATCATATCGTTTTATATCTTATAATTTTTATATTTTGATATCCTTTATCGCTTTTCAGCATTTAATAAATTATCAACATTAATAAGCACTTTGCTGTATTTTCAATATTTCATTTTTGTGTTTATTTTTAAGTATTTGCATTTATTTTCAGAACATGACACTTAAAGAGGGGGCAATAAAAGACTGTATCAACAGAATCATTAACTATAATCTGCTGCTAGTGATACTATATTTTTATACATTGGTAAACATTAAATTCTGAAATGAAAAGTAAAATTAACAGATTAAACTTGTAATAACTTTTAATTATCATATTATTTTCTGTTTAACTATTTTAGTATTTTCACATTATACAGAAAAAAGGACAAAAAACTACAAAAAACTTCTTTGTACAGGTATTTTTATACTTATGGTTTTGAAATAATTTCAACAATTTTATATAGAAGTTGTGATCAGAAGCTTATGATTTAAATTTTCAGTGGAAACACTACTATAAGCAACAAATACGTTCACTATGACACAATTTTGTATAATAAAAAAACATTTATCAACACTGCATATCGTTTATTATTTCTCGTTTTATGTGGGAGAAAACAGAAAAAGAATATTTCCCCCAAATTCATATAATAGTATGTCAACGTTAATGTTGATTTTAGTCAATGATAAGCAATTAAATTTAACCGCAAAAATTGTTCAAGGAAAAAGCAATGTTAAAAGTCTAATATCTATGACACAATGAAAGCAATCAATTAGAAGATATGTTTCCAAACATTAAAGGTGTCTAATGAAAACATGGTTTACAGTAATACAAAGGTAAGACTGGTATGGTAAATTTATTCACACATCTATTAATTTCATTTGGTTAGGTATTTTAGATCATATAATATTACAAAATGTACTTGAAAAGTCGAAAAAATCAAGGGAAACAAATCACATTGCACATGATCTCATACAACCGTTATTTTAAGGGTTAAGTAGATTTTCTTCATTTAAAATTTCAAGATATGTTAAATCAAAAGCTACTTCTCAATAAAGACAATATCTAATTTTATTAAGTAATGTGTCAATAAAAGTTACCGGTATAAAACAATAAAAAAGGTCTATAAATATTGAAATGTGCTTCAAATGTAATGCATTTATTAATTAAGTTATTTTATTTATGTCTAATTCATGTTCACAAATAAAGTTTAAATGTTTATAACCGTACATTATATTAATAATAGTAAATAACCGTTCAAACATTAAATAATGAGACACTAGTTATACGTATCAATACAAAGTCAATACTAACATTACACTCACTTTTAAATTACAGTTATCTATATGGTAAGAACACGGCAACTAAATGGTAGTTTTCATTAAAAAAAATATAGCTATTTATATGGTGAAAGACAAGTTTCTAGCAAAAAGGGTTTAAGACAAAAATAGTAAAGATGAAAAAACTTTATCGGCAGTTGAAAAAAGCTGAAATTCATTTTTAGAAAAAATATCATTCGCTAAGTCGAAGCAATTCATTTTAAATACTTAAAAATGTTTCTTTTAGTCATCAATATTTTTTCAATTGATACACATTACAATATATATTTTGTATATTTTACATGTCTCAAAAGAGAAATAAAACTGCATCACTCGATTATGTGAATAGCACCACTACGTTGTGTTTGCATTTATATGCTAACAAGCTTCCTAAATGTTTAACATCCAGTTATTTCAAACCATTAACATAATATGTTCTTTATAATACAAATCACATGTGCATTTTTTTTCTTTTAAGTTTCCCAGTGCACTATTAAATTAATTAAATTGTTATAAAAATAAAATATATACATTTTAAACACCCCAAATAATGTAAGTATTAAAAAAGTATTACCTGTAGAATCCCGTATCCAAAATCTCTAAGCAGTCGACTACCAATGTTGAAGAATGTTGGCGAGGGTGATAAATCAGCCCTAAACTACGTAATCTTTATTGAATTCAATCACTTGTGATATTTAAATATTTACAATGTTTGATACTATTGTATCCAATTTTGATTAACATGCATGCAGGAATCAGAGATTAAAATAACCACCTCACATTTCTCGATTTATATATGGGATAGATTCAATCGAGAGAGAAATTACTCTCTATTTTATGCATTAGATCGAAATGTCACATTTCGTTATATATTTTTTAACAGTAAAAAATGTTATTTAGGCAAATAAAATGTTTTAAGATTGATTAATCACAGTGGTTAAGTAATGAGGAGATATATGTACGTTAAATATATCTTCTTTTTTTGCTTTGGAATAAGCTGAAGGCTGATCAAAACAGTTTGATTGTTGTTAATTTATTCCCCTATCAAATGAAGTATCATTATCACGATATTAGTATAAACTCTGACCCAAAACTCTTCATTGAAACCTGGAATCACTGGCAAACATTCGATAGAATCTAATAAATTTTCTTATTAACGTATAAATCAATACACTTTTTAAAGTTTAAAATCCAAACAAATTTACACAATGTGTTTTCACTACAGCATTAGAAGCTTTGTAAATTAAAAAAAAAATCAAAATGTTAATTGATATGGCGCCGGTCTCTTCCGGAAAATATTGATCTTGATCAGAAAATATCCATACGTATGTTTCTGACGTGTGACAATGTGGCAAAGAAATTAATAATAAGTCTGTCAGATGTGCTTATAACATAACTTGACAGAAATGTTGTACAAGATCAGAACCCCAGGGATGTTTCTTTTGAAATGAATATTACCAGGCTCTCGGTGTGTATTTGAGTGACACATAAAGTATGTAACAATTATCATATTATTGTTTAACAATTGCATGATGCAGCATTTACCTAATGCCTTAGTTGATATGCAAGAGATGATTAAGCAATTGATGCAATAAATAATGCAGATGCTTTGCTATCGTTATTGTAAGAAATGTTTTCAGCTCGAGCAAGAATGAAAACAGTTCTCGACTGTTTTATAGTCGGTCGATTCATTTGGCCACCTTCCAAACTTTCCATTTCATTGGTACAAGGTCTCTCAAATAGAAGTAATGTGTCAGACCCCAGTTGGCACAACCATGCACTACAAAGAACACAATAAATCAACAAAGGTGATGCTAGCCAAATTCAAGAAAACATAAAGAAAAAAACAACAACAAAAAAATCAAATCAACAACAACAACAACAGACAAAACAAAAATAGCAACAAAAAACCCAAATAACAAACAAACAGGAATATAAAAAATAATAAACTAATGCGTGGTTAAATGCCTAAACAAACTTTTTAAACCCGATTTTAATACATTTTTCATCATATTTCGGTAATCGATCTGCATAACCGCATTTTCTGGATAACTAACAAGTAATTCCCTACCAATTTCTCCGCAAGTAACCGTCTCTCATCCAGAATAATTTCTGAATCAGCATCGAGAGACAAATGTCCATTAGACCACATGTCCGAGATCAATAGTCACTTATAAATTACGACACACCCGAGAATCGAACAAGCCACCGCTCGATTACCCATCCGTTGTTCTCCCTGTTGAACTAAGTGGATAGACATAAATAATCGATTTAGTGCTGGATATCAGGTATTAGACTGCATGTTTCTTACATAAAGTTACCATATTCAAAATATGTTAGAATGATAAGCTCAATAGGTAGGCGCGTTGGATAGTTTGCATTTCAAATCAAAATATATTCCTATAGGCATGACATAGATATGACTTTCTTTACAAAACACATGTACATGATTGTAATTAAGTTAAATTACTGATGCATAGATACATATATGCCATATGTTTACAATAATTTAAGAAAGAACAAAAAATGTTTAGTTAGATGAAAGGATTTCAACAGTGTAATACTCATTAAAAAATAAGTACTACATGTATATTTATTAATATTAATTATATTGATACGCTCTCAATAAAAACTTATACAAGATGAGTACTAGTGTTATTTTAGGCAATACTTTTTTATCTTATTGGTTACCTGTGTCTTTCAACTACAAAGTAACAATATCTAAAATATATATTAATTATTATTATAAATTATTATGACAGTTATTGTTGACCTTTATATGCCAATACATGGATATCTTGACTTTTTTTCTGTTGCCTGTAATAAGTAAATACCAGCAGAACGCATTCTAGTTATATATACATATGATTTGAAGACGGTATGTAGCCTTTATTTAGATAAAACAGATGTGGAATTCAGAGCTGGATATGTGTTGTTATAGTCTATGCTACTATATGTAGTTGAAATATTTAATAAAGCCAAGTTGAGGTGTTCGGTTATAGTTTCATTGGTCATATAGGCGAACCATCTGGAAATGTTCCAGATAGGGAACACAAATATGATACATGTACTTACGAGCTTATGCATTTCGGGAATATATCGCATCACTTGTGTACCTCCCTGTTCAAATACCACTTTATGTCTGATTCGTGATATTTTTTACCGGAATTATACAAATCTGGTCAATGAATACATGTTTACGCTTACGATAAAAATCGATGTATTCCGGGACAAAGTTTGCTTACATTTAATACACTATCTGTGTGCTCTCTCCAATCGTAACATAGCCACTGACTGGACGGAATTTCACTGTTTACGCCCGTATAAAAGTTTTGTTTTACAAAACGATTGCTTGATAAATAGACCATGCATGAACACAGTAATGAAGTTGTGTTGTGTTTTCTCCTGGTGCATACTTATATAAATATTAAATGTATATCAGAGCATAGCCATGCAAATGACTTAAAAATTATCAAAAATATATCATAATTACCATACTTTATTCATGAAAGATCCTAGAGGATAACATATATGTGCCTTCAAACAATAGTAATACATGTACTTTTATTCATTCATTTACATGTGACCTAAGCAATTTTGTGTATAGTAACATCCCAACCATTTTCAATAGATCAACAGTCAAATTAACAGATGAACGTAATAATCATTTTAACATCTAACATGCCAAACATTTGATCTTCACGACATTTGCATGTCCAAATTAGACACTTCTGTATCATCCAGTACTTGCAATCTCAACATTTATATTATTTGTTATCAGTTTTTTTTGCCGATTATAAAAGGTTGTAAACTTATATTACATGAACCGCTAAGCGAGAATAACGTACACTGTACATAAACAATCGGTAGCACATCATCTGTCTAAATCTTTATAAAGAATAAATAATTCAACACAGTTCCTTTTTTGGGAAAAAATGAGAATAACGTCATAACTATATGACTAACTTTATGAACATCACTATTCTTAAATGAAAATCGACTCTAAAAAATGTCACGGTGACCTGTACGTACCACGTGACATTTTATGATCTGTGTAGGGCAAAAAGAGAAGAAGAAAAATACAATGCCATTATATACACGGTCCAGATTTTATTTTCTTCCATATTTTTTATAGTTCTTTTTTGCCATTCGGATACAGTGTACAGTAGAATTCTCTAATTGTAGTACGTATAGTCGATCTACATAAAAATATTTTTGGGGAAATCCGACTTTTATGGAAAGTGAAAAATACCTTCGTTGCATGGGTTTCTCATCAGAATGAGCAGGCTATACACTTTAAACTATCCCATAAATAAATATGAAATATTAAAAGTCAATGCAGGAAAAAAAAGACTGGGCCATCTTTAGAATTGGTTCTTTTGCCATTAACCGTGAATTTGCACTATTATAAATCTAAATGCTACATGAATCAAGTGAAAATGTCATGGAAATCCTGTATTATAAACACATTCTTAAAATGCTGATGATGCTATTAATATTTTTATTAAAAACATTAAGCGCAATTTCGCTTTTTGGTCCCTTTCGTTAAATGTCGTTAGTAATCTGCTGATTCAAGCGTCTCTATGATTCAGATAAAAACACGTGGGTCGCCATTTTTTTATGAAACCGACCGGTGTATTGCATCAATTACATAAAGATGGATCCTAGCAAGTTGAAAGATGCCGCTGGCAGAATGGCATCAGGAGGAAAGGGCTTAGGAATTGGAGGTGGAGTAGCGGCAGTTATTGCTGCAGGCGCATATGCCCTGTCTAAATCATTATACACAGGTTTGTCAAAATATTCAGATTTTATTCGCGACTGTCACTGTCAAGGTCAGATACTTGGAAAACTTGATCATTACATTATGACTGTTTATTTTGCTGACAGTTCAGGCCTCAATAAAATTTCATAATGGCTAGTTATGTCTTTAGTAAAAATTGCTGAAATGTATCGAAATCTTTCAAATGAAAAAGGAATCGACTTTAAAACTGTTAAAATCATGTAAAAAGGAATTAAGAAAACATTTTTTCTCATTAAGAGTAATACCAGAGTGGAATAAATTACCAGATTCTGTAGTATGTTCACCAACGCTGAATTCGCTAAAAAACAGACTCGATAAGGTTATGAAAAACAAATTATATACTGTTATACCGGATAATAATCATTGGGTGTCAGACCTCGAGGGGGTTATAAGAGATTTCTGATCTCGCGACCCTACGCTGGATAAAGTAATGTAAATGTTTGTCTCTTTATCTAGAAATATTCTAGAAATTTAGAATATATATATCCAAAGGATGGGTACATTGAAGGTAAGTCTTAACATTAATGATGCCAGGAATCTAGTATTTATTTATGGACTCGGGTTAGTGCAAGTCAACTGGCCCCCAATTAGTCAATCCGTCCTGAAGTAAATCTGTGTCTAGTCAACCCGGCCCCTTTTCATAGGCACTGCCTGATCCTGCAGCAGGACTATACAGTACAGCTCGCGCGGAATGTACATTTTTTATGCTTCCTCCGCGATCGACGTTTAAGCAAACTCCTTAATCCACCGCGTTTTTCTGAGCGTAATCGCGGAGAAACAACCTGGACCACAATCGCGGAGTTTTAGAGAGTGTAAAGGTATTACCGCGGAGATTCTCCAAGATAATCACGATTTATAAGTTGAAATTATATTTTAAAATTATCCTTTTTCATTAAAGTAATTTTCCTTTTTCATTAAAGAAACTACATTTTGTAATTATCTTAATTGTTATTTATTTTTGTTTTGAAATTTGTAGGTCCACTTGATTAATCGATCGTAGTATTTCTTGTGAACAATCTTCTTGAACACATACCGCTGAATCATGTCTACATCGTATTTTGTTTTTATACTTTATTTGGCATTTTTTGTTGCTGTTTTTAGGACAAGGATACTGTAGGTGTATATAAGTTTTTTATGTATTGAAGCGCATTGGAAATGTTGGCATATGTTGGAAATAGGCCTCGGAGCTAGATATACATGTACTGTAGATATATCCGTTATTTCAATCACCCGTAAATTCAGAGATTTTTATTACAGATAGCTCTGTGGTAAATGTGTCAACATGAAAAACTATAACAACCCTATTTATATTTTGTAAAGAAATAAGATCAACAGTTTTGAAAATTTGACGTGTACATGTAATACTACACCTATATTGTTTTATATTTTACATGCATGTTTTTTAAAATACGTCGGTCTCCATGCTTTGCTCATGGCTTCACATATTTAATTTGGTCAACAACACAAATTATAAAGTTTCTTTTTCTTTAAGATTTTAAAGTTTATAAGACATTGGTTACCTGTTTATATACATGTAGTTCTTGACCTATACGTTTCCCAACGCGTACACGATGTCTATTTCAAATGTCCAAAAATTTGTACAACAAAACTAGTACGTCCTCACTGATAATTTTATGTGTCAACAGCGAAAATTATAATGTCTTCACCTTTTACAATTCTCTATAATAATTTACGATAAAATATATCTGTGTTTTATACAGTTTCTCTTCTCAATATAAATGTATACACACTGGTGAAAAACTATACCGACTTCATTTTCAATAAATAAGATTGAACGTTCTTTTTTCTCATTTAGTGTATAATGATATTGGTTTCAAAATACTTTTTATTCTATCAATCATTTATAATCATTAACGTTTTTTTTTTCAGCAAGATGACCATGCATGGAAAATTTCAAGAGTTTCCAGAGACGATGTGCCTTATCTAAATAACTTCTTACTTGAAGTATAACTAATACTAATAATATAATATTATATTATTTGTTCTACAAAGGTTGACAAATAAAAGAAGTGAACAAAGAATATTATGAATGTTATACTGTGTATCATTTTTCTTTGCCTCCCCCCCCCCCTTTTTTTTTAAAGCCGGCAAACATACATGTACATGGATATGACGCTTTACAGAAGGTGGGTATGTAATCACATACGGAGACATTAAGAACTATCCAACAGTAAGTCTCCTCATGGTAGAGGAACATATTTATTCAATATTCAACATTTGCATAGATGATATATTTATAGGTAAGTGAACATTTTTTGAGTATGTTGTTTGACGTCAACGCCAATGACTGAGCGCCGTTTGCACATACTTATCTTTTTGCTCAGATGTGCACATGCTTGTCAAAAGTTGTTTGTTATAATTCTTTTTTTGTAATGAGGATACATTGTGCCTTTTGATAAGGACCATCCGACAAATCCTAAGTTTTATCATTCAGAAAGTCTGTCTTGACGTCTTCAAAGCTTACAGTACATAATTATCTTCCGAAGATCGACGCTCATATAATATGTAGATAATCTCAATCCAAAAGTACAAGATTAAGGAAAAGAAAAGGGAAGAGAATGTGAAGTTGAACTCTTAAGGAGAATACAACTCGCTTCTTTTTCTGAACTATTAAAACTGCTAAGGTCCTGAAATGAAAACAAATATAGAAATTATTATTATTACAAACACTAGTGTACAATCTATTTTCAAAGATGACTCGTTAGAAATAAAATGATGGGAAGAGACGATGGATCTAAAGATAAACATGTATATAAATGTATTGAATTTGATGATACACAAAAACAATTAGGCCTAACATTAAAACCGTACACAGTTACTACAAGAACAACAACAATCTCTTTTACAAAAGTTTAGATCTTCTGTTAACATGAATTGTTTGAAATAAATTCGTTGAAAGACAACGCATAATAGGTGTCTCATAAAATTATGAACAAGTCTGCATTCATCAAGTTTAAATAATATACATATGCATATGATAAAATATACGCTCATCTCTATTATTATGTCATAGGTATAAATATAAACACGTGTGCAATGGTCCGGAATACCGGCCAGGTAACAGATAATATCCTTGCTGAAATCGAAAGTAGATCTACAACATACATTTACAAGAAACAATTTCTTTTATTTTGATCATTTTTATGAATTTTATTTCCGCGCGAGCTGTACTGTAGTAGGGTCTAGGATAATTTTCTACTTTGGGCTCTGTGAAACCTGTTGCAGGGGGCAATTTTCACATTTCCCCTATAAGTCATTGCATCAGAGAAAGCAACAACAAAAATGTTCGTTTTTTTTTAAAAATGCAACATATATGTATGTACATATGTAAAACACTGTGCCGCCCCCGTGGTTAAGGGGTTAGAGTCGTTAACTTCTACTTTAGTTACCTCTCTGGCGTGGGTTCGATCCCCCGGAGATGCTTTGGTAGTTTAGCATGAAGGAAGGTAGTCTAGTACTGTAGTTACTCTCCAGGAATGATGGTTAGGAAACTACCCGCCTATATGACTGAAATACTGTTGGGAAGAGGCGTAAAATGAAACAAACAAACAAGTATAAAATTGTCCTTGTTCAGATAAATTCATAATTGTTATTTAGGGTCATCAACCTAAAAATTTAAGTTTTCAATTTGATTGTGATTCTTGAAAGAGATGTGGCATAGAATGTTTCTAATAATTTAACACACGAATAATGTGTAACAAGTTATCAGAAACAAAATATGTTTAATATATTTTAATACGATTTAGCTGTTTTGCAATGATTTTGCGCATCAACTCATTAGCATTCGCTTTTAAGACAATTTACAACCATATTTCTTTCATATAAGTATAATGAGTATTTTGAAAATGTTCTTTTAAACAATAATTAAATTTTTGCAGCTGATATATAGCTTTATACACTTGAACAAACTGACTGTTTGCCGTTTGTTGGAACAGTTTAGTTATTTATTTGTCATAACAATAGTTTTATCATTATTTTTAGTTGATGGTGGTCACAGAGCAATTATCTTCAGCAGACTTGGAGGTGTTCAACCAAACATTTACAAGGAAGGCTTACACTTCAGGTAAAAATAAGTACACATAATTTACAGCTATTTTTTTTTAGTGAATGGTGAAGTTTCTTAGTTAAAAAGTACAATGTTGATTTATTTAATGATTTTTTCAACTGACAGCATTTAAAGACTTAAGTATAAATCCAATTAAAACAAGTAATCTGGCAACTTAGGGGAAAATGTATTTATAATTTTGTCTGTTACTCTGTAACATTTTGTTATAAAACATAAAGAGGTTTTTGAAATATGTGAATGAAGTATATGATTAATTTATGCAAATATTTTACACGTTACAGAGTTCCATGGTTTCAGTGGCCAATTATATATGATATCAGGTCTAAACCTAGAAAACTGACATCACTCACAGGAAGCAAAGGTAAACTTTAAACTCTACAAGATAAACACAGTATTTTTAGTGTCATTGTGTGATTAACAAGGACTTGGGCTGTTTACTTTGTTCATCTTTTATGATGTACATTTTGTAACTAGAATTTTGTGTCTGGATTCATAACTTTTCGAATACATTTAAAATGTCTTGTTATTTTCCAAGCAAAACCAGAATTGAGTTTTCCTAACTCCCTGACAATATAATATGATTTTATCTTTTAAAAGACTCATTTGAGGTTTTTTGACATGGCTGGACTGGCAATATTTTTTTTAAGATTTTTGATACAATTTTATGTGGATTTATACCAATAACTTGTATGCAAAATTTCAGATCATTTGGTGACTCCATTTTTTCCAGAAAAAATCATTTTTATTGTACAAAATAACCTATAAATGGAAGTGATATGAATTGTTTTTGACAGAAAAATAAGAACAACATAGGCAGAGTACAATATGAATTTAAAAAGATTTTTTGGATTTCAAAAAAAAAAGGCCAGATGTAGTCCAATATTGATTTGATATGAAATTTTTCGAATCAAAAAATGATTATGAGGTAAAATTGATAATAAGGCTGAATTGATAAGATTTAGTTGAATAATGATTAAATTGGAAAATCATGTGATTTTAATTGGTTGCATTGCATAAGGCGTTGTGAAACTAAATACAGTTATGAATTGCTTAAAAGGTTTTTATAATGATGTTGAGGAAAATTTAACATTTCAGATTTACAGATGGTGAACTTGTCATTAAGAGTGTTGGCTAGACCAGATGAAAGATTGTTACCACAAATGTACAGAGAGTTAGGTTTAGATTTTGATGAAAGAGTTCTTCCCTCTATATGTAATGAGGTAGGTATAGGATTGGTTGATTGCACAGGCTACATGTATAACATTTACTCTGTAGCTAGGCAGAGCTGTTTTCTTTTCTTGTTGTTTTTGTTGATAACATGGGTTAGAGCTTTCAGAATTATTTGATTACTTATACTCACAAAATTTGCCTTCTTCAAGATAAAAATATAAACAAAATTACTAAATGCAGGATTTTCATGAGTTTTGAAATATCTAACTTTCATCTGTCTTATTTGTATGCAGCTCCTAACAAAACAAGGATTGACAATATTATAACGTTTAACATTTTAATTTGAATTTATCCGATAGTCTTATTTTCCTATTTTAATTTGCTCATCAATGCTTGACCTATTCATCTCCCTTTATTCCACCTCTTCCCATTAAATACAAAGTCATTTATTATTTTGATAAAAAAATATGAAATTCATATCACATATCATGTTATAATGAATGCTTTATTATAACCATAACAATCAGATTTGTTGTATTAAACAGGTTCTTAAAAGTGTTGTTGCCAAATTCAATGCATCACAGCTGATCACAATGAGACAGCAAGTTAGTATAATGATCCGTAACGACCTGGTGGAACGTGCCAGAGATTTCCATATCATTCTTGATGACGTCTCCATTACAGATCTTACATTTAGTAAAGAATATGCTGCAGCCGTAGAATCAAAACAGGTAAATACAATACCATATACTGTCTTTATTATTAGAAAACAAGCTCTTTATTTAGTTATCTAGATAGGAAAGGCTTCGGATTATTAATTCAGAGGTCCCTGGAGTGGTTTGATCCTCTGGCAAAATATAATTTCTCCATTGATCGTCTAATGACCATTTATCTCTAACCGCTTATTCAGAAACCATGTAGAATTAGAAGCTGGTAACCTGTGGACAAGTTGGTAATTACTGGTTAGTTATCCAAGAAATCATAGATTTTTTTAACAAATCTTTTACCTGTTAAATCTTTGTAATTTATGGCACAAAAATCTAACCAGCCACTGGTAAGCTTAAAGCTCTGGTAGTCGGGCACAAGGCTGTCTTTACAGCTCTCCAAGTTAACAATATATGAACAGTTGTAAGAAATTTGAAGCAATGTTAAAAATAAGGAACAACTCTTTGAAATAAGAAACACACTCAAAATATAAGGAACAATTCTTAGAAATAAGGAAAAATAATAAATATTCCCCGTATTTACTGTATTTACTGTAATATTCTAAATATTCTAACTATTTTCACTATTAATTGTATTTTTAGCTCGACTATTCGATAAGAATAAGTAGAGCTATTGTACTTGTAGTCACCCGAGCGTCGGCGTCGGCGTAACCACTTATGTTAAAGTTTTTGTAATAGTTCAAATATTTTCAAAGTCCATTGACATATGGCTTTGAAACTTTGCACACTTGTTCACCATCATGACCCCAAACTGTAGACAGGAGGAGGTAACTCTATCATGCATTTTGACAGAATTATGCCCCTTTTTCGACTTAGAATTTACGTTAAAGTTTTTGTAATAGTTCAAATATTTTCAAAGTCCATTGACATATGGCTTTGAAACTTTGCACACTTGTTCACCATCATGACCCCAACCTGTAGACAGGAGGAGGTAACTCTATCAAGCATTTTGACAGAATTGTGCCCCTTTTTCGACTTAGAATTTATGTTAAAGTTTTTGTAATAGTTCAAATATTTTCAAAGTCCATTGACATATGGCTTTGAAACTTTGCACACTTGTTCACCATCATGACCCCAACCTGTAGACAGGAGGAGGTAACTCTATCAAGCATTTTGACAGAATTGTGCCCCTTTTTCGACTTAGAATTTACGTTAAAGTTTTTGTAATAGCTCAAATATTTTCAAAGTCCATTGACATATGGCTTTGAAACTTTGCACACTTGTTCACCATCATGACCCCAACCTGTAGACAGGAGGAGGTAACTCTATCAAGCATTTTGACAGAATTGTGCCCCTTTTTCGACTTAGAATTTATGTTAAAGTTTTTGTAATAGTTCAAATATTTTCAAAGTCCATTGACATATGGCTTTGAAACTTTGCACACTTGTTCACCATCATGACCCCAACCTGTAGACAGGAGGAGGTAACTCTATCAAGCATTTTGACAGAATTGTGCCCCTTTTTTGACTTAGAATTTATGTTAAAGTTTTTGTAATAGTTCAAATATTTTCAAAGTCCATTGACATATGGCTTTGAAACTTTGCACACTAGTTCACCATCATGACCCCAACCTGTAAACAGGAGGAGGTAACTGTATCAAGCATTTTTTTTACTATCAAGGACTAAGAATAGTCGAGCGTTGCTGTCCTGCCGACAGCTCTTGTTATTTCATACATACAGTTTTATTAGCTCATATGCTCTGAATACTGCTTGATATACATATAGCTTCTGTAGAGCAACACTCTTTGGGAAACAGACATTTTGGTTGGTTACTGAGAGATGATGCTATACAGAGGTTATAATTATTATTGAGTGAATATGTAAAAACGTATTGCTCTAGAGTGGGTCTCTGTGTAGAGCTTTTCCTGTTTTTGAAATTTAAGCAAATTTGTCGTTATTGAAAAAAAAGTGTACTAAATGCAATACCTAGTCAAAATAAAATTTAGTTAAAATAATAGATGAACAAGATATGTGTTCATTGAAAAATAAACTTGTATTGTTATAGGTAGCCCAACAAGATGCCCAGAGATCTGTGTTCTTTGTAGATAGAGCCATACAGGAGAAAGCACAAAAAATTGTACAGGCTGAAGGAGAAGCTACTGCAGCAGAACTTATATCCTTTTTCCTTTATGATACAACTTTAAACCTGCTGAATATATGTGATGGACTTGTCCTGTTTTGAATATGGAACTATCCATTATCATATAAAGGGATTTTATGGTTTTATATAATATTGGAATGTAAAGCAGCCTTGATAAGTTCAGGACACCATGCTTATCTTTTTGGGGACTGATTATTAAAAACCTCACAGCTGTCAGGAACCTTGGATTCTTTCATGTGAGAAAGCTATCCAGCAAAGGTAGCTATACAGACAGCTTGCGGAATGTTTATGGATCTCCTCGCATGCTTCTTTGTCTTGCCTAAAATATGTATAATGTAGGGGGCACATGAGGTTTTCCTCAATGACTAAAGCTGGAAAGTCGCCATACCACCTTTATAGTTTTGGTGTGATGTGGATCTGGGGAAAAAAAAACTCGCATACCTCGTCCACATTCCTAGCATTGCAGCATTTACGATGGTCAGTTGTTATAAACTTTGGGTATATTACTTTATATGAAAATGTTTTAATATAAGAAACCATATATAAGTGCTTATAAGTAAGATAGCACAGACAGGTTGACCAAGCTTTAAACAAGTTGCATGGCCCTGTAATTTTCTTGCAGGTGCTGTAAGATTTTAGTCAATATTGACATAAGCATTTTATCATTTTTGTGGCAATGAGCTTCATAGTATGTACAATTTTAAAGTTGTTCTCCTTGACATCGGTGTACATAGGAAAAGCAATGAGTTTAAACCCCGGATACCTGAAACTAAGAAAAATAAGAGCGGCACAAAACATAGCAAGAACAGTAAGTTAATTTTGTACTTGTATTTAGAACATGACCTGATTGTTCTCTAAAGGAAGTAAATAATCATAGTATAACATCACAATTTTCTTAATGCAGACCATATTTAGATTATATAACTAATTTTCCACTTCCAGATAAGTCACTATTTTAAGAAAATAAAACTGTAGAAGAATGTAAAAAGTTGATCAGTTCAACTTTGCAAATATTTAAAGTACATATAATGTTATATAGTGAATTAGTATTTTGTATGGAAGTTAGAATACTACTTTGTTTACATACTGCTATTTTTATGACAAAAAAAATCACATTTAGCGCCACTTTCTTCAAGTAACAACCATCTAACATTCTCTGAAACCATTATTAAAACATTATAAAATTCATGTTTGCCCTTTCTAAAGATGTTAGAATTTATTTGTTTCTAAGGCATAATGTGCATTTAAATTTTTTTCAATTTCTATATCACCTTTGGATCCAGCTGGTCAAGTATAAATTCATAGTGAACACATATAATATAATGACTAAAAATTGGAAGATGATTGTCTTGTTTAATGTTAACTTAAATTCTGTTTATTTCAGCTTTCCCAATCACAGAACCGTGTGTATTTGAATGCTGGAACATTGATGTTAAATGTGACGGATGAAGAATTTGACAGATCTAGTGAACTCCTGGTGAAACACAGGAAATAAGAACACTGGAATAATTGAAACTTTTTTGTGAACAATACGGTTATTGTTAATTCATTGAGATCATGGAAATTATTGAATGATTGAAGTAAAATGAAACTGTTTTTCAGTGAAGTGTTGACCTGGTGCATGAATAAATGTCATAGAGTATCTTGGCACAAAACTACAGAATTCCAAGGTTGACATTTCAAATTTCTGAAGGTGTTTATATTCCTTATATACAAGGTAAAACAACGTTGATGGGAACATAGCCCTGAATTTTAATACTGTATACACAGTTTCATATATATTTTCTTCTGGGGCAAAAAGTTTTCTTTTGTATAATTGGTTAGAATGTGTTTGCTATATTATACTGTAGTCCCAATTTAGTATACTTGTTTATCTTTTTTTAGAGAGGAAAGTAAAATTACTCTTGCAGAACCGTAATTCGAAAAAAAATAATCTGTGAAGTATATCACTCTCCGTACTGTTTGAATATACATGATTGACATGTATGTATTAACTGGTCTGTTAAACTATTAATACAAACGATTACATGCAAAATGCTTGTTTAGGGTGGATTTATAGTTTTATAAGAAAGTTTATCAATATCATATGTTACAATAAAACAAGAAGTACACATCTCTGTCTTACTAATGTTTGGAACAAAATTCATTTCTACTTCTTTCTGTTTGATTCAAAGATAACAGTTTTGTTACTGATTTGTCAGGTAATAGTAAATACAAATACATGTATATATACTGCTCTTCATGCCAGATTTATTATGTCATGTAATACAAGATGTTACTGAGATATTGTAAATTTAAAACTTGAAAAAAATAAAAACTTTGTGTGATAGATATAACAAACAATTGTTATTTTTACCAATACTTTTAGTGAGACATGTAATTGTGAACCTATTCGCCAAATGGGAGTTGTTTCCCTTTGTACATAACAGATTTATGTTAAGCAAATCTATTCATGAAGTATCCCAAACAATAAAAAAAATTCAGTAGAAGTAAAGCCAAGAAACATGTGTATTATGTTGGGAAAGATTTTTGTTGTAGTACAGTGATTTTGATAAAAATAAATACTATAATAATATGGCGAATAAACTGTTAATGCTAATTATAAAAGAATGCATCATGCCTGTCTGTACCCTATGTTTAACGAGGGTTCATCTATCCACTTGGGCAGAAACTTTTAGTATTGAGTATTGACCCTGGATATAGCAGTCATGCCCATAAAGGTTTAATGTTGAACCACAAAACGATTATTTTCCACAGAGTACTAGTATTAGCCAAAGAAGTCAATTTTGAGCTGAAACTAGGTCACTGTACAGCAGCCAATGAGCACCTTACGAGTATGTACAGAAACCGGAGACAACAATTAAGGAGATGGCCCTGAGTGATCACATCGATGATCGTGCTTTGGACTCTCGTTTCAAGCACCCTTCCTAAAATACGGTCCGCCCTGTCATACGACCCCCCGTCGTACCTGCCTACTTTGTAGGGCCACTTCCCTTTGCTCCAGTCAGGACATCAGCAGCTGGTCCGCAGCTTTCTTTTTCGCCTTCCCAAAATCTTCTGCTGATGTCTTGTGCATCTCAAGAACGTACACGTACCAAAGGGAAGGTCAGCAAGGACTGTAATTTAGCACGAACGAACGGATGTCCATTAATTATCTACAAACATTCTGAAATCTTCCTCCTTAATCTGCTGAATTTCTTATTAATTGTTGGAACTGTCCATTATCAAATTTGGAACATATCAAGATGAAAATTTGAACGCAGGTCAACCAATGGTATAGAATCATATTTGACTGCAAGTACGTGCAGGATGGCCTGGTCAAAGGCTAACTGCTTTCGTACCGTAAGGGTTAGATTTGCGTCGTCCATTAACAAATTTGACCCTGAAAAGAACATCCAGTACTTAATCTAACAGTCTTTGATTGCCCTTTATTAAATCATAAGACTGTCTTCCCATCTTTAATCAGACACCCCGCCCCATCACCACCTCTCCCTTATTACCTTATTATGCTCCGGAAATCGACGTTGTTGTTGTAGTCCATTCTTAATGAGGGTCCATCCGCCCGTAAGGGCATAAAATGCAGCTTTCGCTGTCTAGTACGGATCCTGGACATGTCACTTGTCATGCCCTAAAAGAGTTTATTTTGAAGCACTAAGTGGTGATAATTTATCTCCATGCAATTTCAACAGAGTATTAGCCAAAGATATGAATTGGTCACTGTACGGCGGTCAATGAGAACCTAAATGTACAGTAACCTGAGACAATAATGAGAGGAGGTTGCACTTTAAAGGGCTGTTGGTGCCAAAAAATATGGCCTGCCTTACAAGCCGGCAGTTAACTTCATGCAAGCTAAGTCGTGCCCCAAAACTTTACCCAAGGGAAAAACAGCAATGCCATTTTTCCGGGCATGTTTTCAATTACGCGATCCCCTTGTTTCTCAACGACCACACTCCGGGGGTAGGTACAAATAATTTGGGCCAATTTATTTAATCAAAGAAGATAACATTTATTTTTTCACTAGGGTCTCTTTTAGTTGTCTTTTTAAGCAAGCATCCTTTTCTTTCCGCGTTTCACCGGGCGCGACTAAAAAAAAAGCTATATATTTTATACGATTTTAATTTTTTAAAAACCAAATAATAAATAATACATAAATTAAAAAAAACTTTGAATATTTAAATATAGATTTTGGGTTTTTTGAAGAAAAACGTGATTTAATTTTTTTGTAAAATTTCAGACGAAAAAATTTTAATTTTATAAGAACCTTAAAAATTGTTTTGTGTCAACATTCACAATTTCTGTGTAAATCATATAAATGTCTTAAATCGTCGACAAAATATTATCATGTCGAGGATTTGTCCCTAGATTTTATTCACTTAATTATTGTGCTATTTAACCTTTAATTTGCCGGGATTTTGTAATGGTTAAGCCCAGTTTTGAATTTGGAACAGTTCATTCTAATTTTAAAGCTGCATGCCTTCTGATGAGCCAAAGTATTTCAAAAAATCAAATTTGAAAAAAGATGTACTAACATTTTAAGAAAAGTAAATAATGATTAACATGTTATGTGCGATTAAAGAGTGATATTGTAGTATTTATCATTCATCGTATTTCTACTGTGTGACTTACTTAGTAAGGGCGATTTTTGTACACTTTGACATGTTGTTTGTTAATTTACATGGACTGTAGGTGTCGTGTGCAATATGTTAATTACTTTCTTCACTCACTGCACAATATTTTACTTTAAAAAAAACATTTTCAAAATTTTTCATGAAAAAAGCACGAATTTGTAGGCATGCTGCAATAAAATAGAAGTTTCTACATAGTGTATTATGTCTACTTCCGGTAATCGCAAGAAAGGTACAAGATACACTATGTATCCTCCTAAAATGTTTAGTGACCGTGCATGTAATCGTAACGCAAGGTATATAATTAATTGCATATATTTACAAGACTGGTACACAATTAATTGCATAGATTGACAAGACTGGTACACAATTAATTGCATAGATTGACAAGACATGGTACACAATTAATTGCATAAATTGACAAGACATGGTACACAATTAATTGCATAGATTGACAAGACATGGTACACAATTAATTGCATAAATTGACAAGACATGGTACACAATTAATTGCATAGATTGACAAGACATGGTACACAATTAATTGCATAAATTGACAAGACATGGTACACAATTAAAAAAAAAATGTTTCAAAAAAATTGAATAGTACTTGAATCTTTTCAAAAGGATTTTCTTAGGTTAAATTGTTGCACAAGTTTAATAACTTCTAAGTTTAACAACTTCAACGTAAAACCCGTATCAAGTTTGATTAAAGCGATGTTCTTCAAGAATAAGCGAGCCACATTTGTATACATAATTTATATAATTCCACTCGCTAGTAATATAGTATAAATCCTAAAATAACACTGTATCGTTTTACGATGAATACACAACGATTAAAGTGCAAAATATTTAGATGAAAGTAAATATGACATTATTCTTTGTAATTGTAATCCCGGACAACGAGCCACTTCATGTATATTGTCATTTTTATTGTCATACGCTATCTTTTGTAATCATAAGGACTTTCAAAATTATACAAATAAAGTTTTAATACAGTGTTAATCCTTTATTGTTAATGTTCATATTTGCAATAAAATACTTTCGACCACTTCAAATTTGAGAAATGATCTTTTGAGTAAAAAAGTATATAATTATAAAGTTTACATCGCCTTTTGATGAATTACGTATTGTCTGAGAGGTGGAATTACAACGCAACTCGCAAATGTTCCAGTTTTCTGACAAAATAACTCAAAATGACTATATTTTGGTTAGCAACACTTGGTATAAAAGCGTGACGGCGAGTATTTAAAATATGATATGACCTTTGTTTGACCTTCATCTTTAAGGACAAAATATTTATATGTTATTTATATTGGCATATTATTGTAATCAGTATTGATTCATATTTGAACTCAGAATAAAACCGTCAATTGTATCAATTTATGTATGACCCTGACCTTTCAATGAGAATGACTTTCGAATCTTCATACAATACCAACCCTTAAAAAATACCGCCGTGTGAAGTAATTTAAGTATAACCTTGACCTATAAATGCATTTGAACCTAAAGGTCAGATATGAAAATGTATAAAAACTCTCTAAAACTTTAACTAGATTAATATTTAGTCACCATACAGCTAACCCGTACACTGAATGACCTTCAATTCTATATAATTTATGATCTATCAGTTTGCTGTAATTTTATTATTTATAATTTATTTGGTTTACACTCGGACAAAATAATGTTCAGGACCAAACTGCGATATTGAGTAATTCATACATGACCTTGTCATTGAAAGACATTGAACAAGAAAAGCCTCTGTCCAGATGTTTTGCATTTGGTTAATAAATAAAAAAGAAACGACAACATTAAATGCAACAACAAAATCAAGCAAGTGAAAACAAGCGGTTGACAAAGAAGCGATATACATGGATCACTCTAACATAACTTTCTTCAACGCGTTACTGTTACGTCCCCAGTAATACTACCAACTTAAATAATATGGCATAAAGTAATTAGATTTACCAACCTCGCTTTGGCTTTTGTTTAATGACCATGAATACAGTTGCAGCGCTGTTGTTAAATAAATGTTGTCTATATATGTTATTTTCTAACCGTAACATAATACCACCACTTGGTATATAAAAAAACATAATGTACTAAGGCACTCAAGTTTATAATGAATATGAAACTTTGTCTACAGAATATACTTTTATCCGATACTCTGTATTTCTTTAAATGACTTACAAGTTTGCTATGACATACTTACGCCGTCAGTCCGTGTATTTTTATATAAGATATTCGGACAGTCGTGTGATCGGAGCTGTATAATATGGAAGAATTTGACTCCATAGATTATAGAACGCTATTATAGGTAGATAATACGTACTTTGTACTATGAATGGAATAAATATGTTAATAATTATTTTTTCAGGGTTGTCGAAATTAACGCCTCTCCTTTTTAATGCTGTATTGAAAAAATAAATCCAGTTTTGTTGAAATCGGAAAAAAAGAAAAGAAAGAAAGAAAGAAAACAACAACACAGTTGCCTGACACCGGATAAACTATTTGTGCATTTATTGGGGAAAATGTGGAAATAATGGAACTAAGTTAAAAAATATATTCAATTATGATATTGACTTTAAGGTTGGTAATAAATTAATTGTATGAACTTATTTATAGCATTCAGTCACGAAAATAGCAAGTTAGCATGACAAAAGAATAATTAGTATATCAGTGGTCAAAGTTTGGTGCAAGTTTTTAAGTGGATAAGGACACCTCTCGTGGATGTTTAATAACAGAAGATGTGTGTTTGGAAACTATCTTTTAGACAATATGTATAGGTAAGCACTGTTTTTCAATTTAGCCAAACGAAAAGGGTAAAATAACAATGGAGTTCGCTTAATGTTTAATTATGAAGCATATTTTTTTTTTTTTGAAAAATAAACGGTTCACATTTAAGAATAAATAGTGGCATAGATTTGACAATGTGAAAGTAGATTTATTTAATATTATATAAGATAATAGGATAATGTTGTTAAATCTTGACCAGCAGCTGTCGATTTCGTTTTATATGTACCTGACTTTAATTCAATTCTGTCTTTTTTAACACCCTTATCGCATAGCACACCGTCCCTGGACTTTATGTTTATTTTCCTCAAACTGTACAATAAGGATCATGGTTTAAATAAATGACAGGTGGTCGGAACTGACAGGGTGTGTCTTAATGGAAGCAAAGTTGAATTAAAAAATACACTGTAATAGGAAAAAATGCTCATCATTGCTGAGTTTACAATACTAACATACTCTAAGGCATGAGCATTGTTGAGATTGAATTCGTTTTTTGTTTCAATAGTTTTAATAACAATCAAGAAACTCTTTTCTACATTTCGAAATATTTGACGCGTATCAAACACAAGTGATAGTTGTTTGTTCTCTGAAGAAATAATGTAAATACATAAAAAACATACATTACTGACAAAAGTAACATCTACGGCAACATGTTTTTATATGTATAAATTGTATAGTTAACTGATATAAAACCTAATTTGGTACGTTATTCGATTACATTGTATTGTTAATTAACGTATCGCATTCATTAATCGACCTCCGACAAGTCGGTTACATTTTATAGCAGGTGGCCGCCGACTTTACCTTAAAATACAAACGTTATGTGCACTTTAATATTTATATGTTGATACGGGTTACTTCAAATTCAAAGATGTATATTAAATATAGGATAAGGAACATTTGATGTCTTGTGTAATAAACATGATTTCACACGTTTCTGACGTCAATAATGACAGGTTCGTATAAAAATAGCACGTTTATTCATAACGTTACGCGTTATCATTACGTGCCCTGGTGAACCACGTTAAACTATTTTTGAACGTAACAGAGTACGTTATTGATTGTCTAGACAATCTTAAAATATGCAAGGTGAAATCAAAGACAACCTCCTTAATTAAATGCCGAAGTTCAGGCTGATATTTTTCCTCATTTGCAAAGAAAAAAAAGATGAATAAATTTGAATGAATTTAGTCAAATCAATATATCTTTATACCCTTTTGATGAATAATAAAATATTGCAAATTTTTCTACTGTATAAGTGTTGTATGCCTTTTTTCTAAATTTTTTCTTACATTTTTAAACATAATTTGCTATATGATTAAAAGGACCAGTCTCGCCAATCTACACTCTATTAATTTTACTCTTGGCTTTTCTCCTTATTTATGTATTTTTAATGCTAAAATCCCTACAGTTAACATTGGACTGTTCCAAATTCTAAGCAGGACTGGTCCATTAAAATTATCTTAGCAGGGTCAGGGTTAAAACATTAACGTCATGATGATATTACAAAACCAAAACCATAATCAACCTATAACTTAGTTAAACTGGAAATTTATGAAAATAATCTATTGTTAACTTCAATTTTAATAGGGTCAATAAATTTTGAAGTGTCACCATTGCTTAGTTTGACATGAAGTGAAATTTTAGAAATATTTTCATATAGATAATGCAATCGAAGACTGTATACATGTTTGTTTATTGAAATTTTACAAAACATTTGTTCCACATGATAGAGTATCGGAATCAACGTCCTCATTATTGTCATCGTCAGCGCCATAATCACAAATCATCATCATCATCATCATTATAATCACCACCGGTATCTCAACGCCACTACCACCACCATAATCATCATCATCATCATCATGATTATTGACACCACCATAGTCATCATCATCATCACCATCATCATCGTCGTCGTGGTCGTGTCTTCGTCGTCTACGTCGTCATCATCATCACCACCACCACAAATACAATCACCACCACGATCATCATCATCATCATCACCACAACTAGAATCATCAGCAACAATATCATCATCATCATCCTCACCATCACCATAACGCAAGCCGCAAAACAAATCTTTATAAACCCAAATGCTTTCAAACTAAATTATTCCTTGACGTTAGAACATTTTTTTGTGTGTGAAAACAGATGACACCGTATAACAGAACATTTTACGGTATCAATTTAAAACTGCTTAGACGAAATATTTCCTATCTGCGTGATGACTAATATATCTAGACAATGACTTCTGATTTATATCTTGTATCAAATGTTCGTATAATGTAACATTGCATTACTAAATATTTGCTTAAATATGCAAGATACAAAAAACGGAAATATTTCATGATATTAAGGTTGTTATCGTGTATTTTTCTGGTGCTTCGGTACCAGTAATTCCTATACTCAAGAGTGAGGGATTGAAAAGCGCTTAAGCCGGTGCTAGTGGGTGCGAGTCATGTTGAAGTCTACATTTTACGTATTTTATATTAACATGTTATAAATTTTTCACAATGCTCTCCATGGTTGGGATTCAAATGCCACCTTATATAATGCGTTACTTTTCTATGGCGGCTGATTTTTGCCATTTCGTGTCTTAGTGTATCCCGCAGGCGAAGACACAGGAAGACACTATAATATGCTCACTCACTTATCGTGTCTTCGCCTTCGACTTTTGAGGGTGTCGGCACGAAGACACGAAATGGCAGAACTCAGCCACCATACTTCTTTGGCTGACACAATATCCATCAAAACAGAATATATATACCTGTTTGTTGCTGTAACATCTTTGCAGACGAAATATTTGATTATAATCATTGACTGATCAAATCATAAAATATTTGTTCGCTGTTACAAAATCTTCATACAGAAATTTAATTATTATATCTTAAGACGCCCCTATTTCTAAAGAAATTTGAATGATGAGTATAGATGTATGGCAGATACTGTTCATGTTGTAATTTTGTTTTTGTAATTATATATCTTGTCAAAATTAAGTCGAACCAAATACTGAAGGGTGAAGACTATACATTATAATTAGACGGTATTTACTTTCAAGTTATAACTTTTGCTATCATTCTATTAAAAACATTCCTCGACCTATATATTGAGTTAGAGACAGTCACAAAATATGTGTCAATTATCAAATAGCTTCTTTTTTAAGTCAGTACGTATCAACATATATACAAAGTCACGTTTCTAAGGAAAGTCAGGTATTCATTAATTAAAAAACAAACAAAAAAAAAAACAACAACAAAAAACTGTCATTTTGTAATTTCTCTCTCTCAAAATACTTTGATGCTATGTAATACAGATGTTTTATACGTGTGTCTGACTGGGTCTTTAAGTATTATATTTAATTAGTGTTTTAAGTGAACTGTCATGTATTGTCGTTCTGTTATAAAGGTATAATGTGTTGATTTTTTTTTCGTTTATAAAGTAATTATCCACATAATGACAAAAAATATTGCGATTTTTTTACAATAAAAAACTTAAATAATAAACGATGAAATTAAATATGACTCATGGTGAGATAGGATACGATACATGTATATACATAGATCAATTAAAATCCCCTGACAAGGTCAGTTAAATCGATAAGATATGTTTTGCTGTTATTTATTTGTTTGTTAGATAGTAATACGACACCCCGGCCATTTATCCCCTCCAATAATTTTCAATTAAGTAAAATCCTCGACAAGTACTGCGGCACCGTTCTTTATGACAAAAAATCAATCAAATTGACTAAAATTCATTTACATGCAATCGAAACCCCAGTAATTCTTGCAATGTGTGTGGTAACAAATGTCTAAATTTACATACAGTTTATTATAATATATTTGCATATTTCTTTTTAAGTTTATCCCTGAATCATGATGTAGTTAGTTAAATTGACGGATTACAAAGGCTGGTGTCGTGCTAAATGGACTTGTCCATCTTTCATTCTAGATAAAACCATTTTTCATTTTTGAGGAAAATCAATGACCTTGGTCTGCATTGGTTCAGTTGTCGACAGTAGGCCAGAGGGCTACCCCTGACAGCCCCTCCCCGTTCAATTGTTTAATAACCCCCTCACGTATCCAACACCACCCAGATTCAATTCAGAATACTACCGTCACCGATTTGCTAGCAGAACATGTACTTTTTTCTTAAGGAACAAATACCGTAATGAAATTTTTATGACATGCTTATAATAGAAGAAACAGATAAATCTTTTATTCAATTTAACAAAAACTGGGACAATCGGTCGAGTTTTTCGTTCTGTTAATAATCTTATAGGCAAATATTATTCCATCAGAAGGTGTCAATTTGCCAGTAAACATCTGCATTAAAGGGAATAAATAAATGCAAATTTATTTTATGTTATGATCATCGTAGAATGTAAATGATCTTCTTCAAACATTACATTCAAACCTTTCTTGTCTGTTGTAAATAGTAAATCTAAACGTGAATACAATGTTATTGTACCGCCCAGTGTATTGATATATTCATGAAGAGACTTAATAATAAAAGACTGATACCTGTTAAATATTATTTACTTTCAGTGTCATTTGTTTTGTTGTTGTGATTTTTTTTATTCTCTTGAATAAAGATCAAGTTTCGTGTAATTTAAGTACCATTCCGTAGACTTTGTAGGTAATATGATTTATCTTATTCACTGGCGAAAAGATAAATACAATATCACATTTTTAAACAGATTCTTATATTTATATTTTGAATACGTTGGCATAGTTAGCATTAAAGGCCCGTAATGCGTCAGAAATGCAATAATTATTAGTACTCAGGAACTTTATTTTGGTATCTTGTTACAGTTTCCAAACGTTTACTCATTTGCCACTTAGTGGACCTATCTCTTTGCTTCTTTTGCTGTGTTGGCATAATTATAGTGAATATGTATTTTGTTTGGAAGTCAAAATACTTTTTTGTTCACATTTTGCTACCTTTATGACACATTACTGCACGTACAGTGCTACTTTTTTCAGTTGTTAGACATCTTATATGTTCTAAATCTATTATCAAAACATTATCAAACATATGCGTGACATTTTAAAAGAATTTAACAATACATGTATGTATTTCTGGGTCATGATGTGCCTTTAAACACAATCAAGAGTAACTATCATCATGTATGAAGGTCTTCAGACGAAAAAAACAAACAAAAAAACATTAACGGCAAATGTACTCCTACAAGCTCCATATTTATGATTCCTCATTTGTAACATCCATTATCTGATGTCTTAGCAATACTAAAATAGCAATGTTTTACCATGCACCAATCATTTGTGTATACCCAGTCCACCTCTCGGAGATCGGGGAAATTCGGGGATAGCAGGGGAAATGTGACAGCTGTCCTCGTACGTGAATGCGATGATTTTGTTTAGGTGTAGAAAGGTAGCCTTACCTGCAGTACGTAGTCAATTGACAGAGATGATCCATCTGTTAGTGACCGCAATCTAAATCGCAATGAATCTGCTGTTCCATGAACACAAATGCTTAGCAAAAGGTTAAGTCAAATAAGTATAAGGGGATGTGGAAAAGATATAATTCAGGATAATTTTTATACTCTCTATAATCCAAAGACTCCAGTTTATCCGTGAGTCTTAGACATACTTAATAATGATATGATTATAGTGATACATATTTGTTAACTATCTCCTATTTATGTGTTAACTATCTTCCATGACATAAGCTTGTTTACAGCACTTTGTGTATCATATTTTACCCCCCGTATATTTATTTTTAAGACTTACAGCGGTGACATTTCTTTATGTTTGCAAAATTTTCAACGCACCATAAAGGCTGTAAAAAATCTTTCTCAATTAATGACAACACCGACATATCCCGCATTTCATGTCCTTTACCACAGCTGCCAACAGTTTGTTAGTAATCCAATACACAACGGGGAATACACTAATCAGCACTGTCATACTGATAAGAAATAATTACAAGTGAATGCAGTAGAAATTATCTTAATTGTTTCTATAATCTGGGGTCAAGTTAAACATAAATAATCCAGGCTGGTGCGAATGTTTTCAGTTTTATTCGTTTGTACAGTCATACGCATTAACCCAAGATTTCCAGTTTTCCCGTCTCTGGCCAGTGATAATAGCATGGCTTGTCACCATACCACTGATAGCAGCATCCCTGAATGTTTTATGATCCTATCATGTTTCAAGAATGTATATAGAGAACATTTGAGACATATGAAAAACTTAAGATTTTCATTTTAGTTGTGATAGGATCATTAAACATTCAAGGATGCTGCTATCAGTGGTATGGTGACAAGCCATGCTATTATAATTAAATGCTAATCACTGGCCAGAGATAGGAAATTCTAGGGGAAAACTGGAAATCTTGGGTTAATGCGTGTGGTAGTTTACACGGTATGATAAGGGTTAAGAACATGCAACGAAAAAATTATGATTTATCATAAAATTGGCAAGATATATTGAATTTGAACCAGATTATTAAGTCTAATTTTAAGAAGAATTTAAGAATTTAGAATATAAAAAAAGAAAAAAAGAAAGTCCCGCGAACCGGATTCGAACCAGTGACCTAAGGATGACAGTTTAAAAAGAATTTAAGAATATAGAATATAAAAAAAAAGAAAAAAGAGAGTCCCGCGAACCGGATTCGAACCAGTGACCTAAGGATGACAGATGTACCACTACAGTCCTCCGCTCTACCAACTGAGCTATCACGGGATCACGTTAATGTGTGTTTCAAATATCGTAGTATTCCATAGTAGTAAAGTATTCGGCGGGCCATTTTCATTGGTTAAATCATAGTCCGGAACAGTGTTTTCTTTCATTTCATTGGTCGTTGAAATACAGTCTAATGTGCGCCTCAGAGTTTTTTATTTATAAATGCAAGGGAAGTAACCTAAATATTTGAAATTATCTAATAGCGTTTCTGTCCCTTGCAATACATTTGTACGTCATTAGGGATTTAAAATTCAAAACACTCCTTTTTCACTTATCAATGTGCAGAATAGATAGTAAAGTTTAAGCCACCTCATTCCTGACATATCGTACTGAATGTTTTTAATTCCGTTGAAATGAAGGGCATTTGAGATTTTTGCATTAAATCACTTCATAGCGTTAGGTGGGTTTGATACGTAAAGGCGTTGTTTAAAAGTAAATTAACAATTACTTTGACCTGAAATTTGTTTAATCGTGATACTTATGCAATAAAATATTCATAGAACAAAATAAAAAAAATACAAGAATTTCTGTTATATTATAGTCAATTACAATATACACAGCAAATTAACTTCTTTCTTTTTGACTTGTTTTAATATATGGATATTATATTCAATAAATTACAATATTAAACCACGGATTTATATTACATAAATCCGTGATTAAACAATCAGCGCGACTAGCACCTTTGTGAATACCTTGTTTAGATATAAATAAATAAATAAATAAATAAATAAATAAATACATCTAAATAAATAGTCCTAAATAAATAGTTTTAAATAAATAAATAAATAAATAAATAAATAAATAAATAAATAAATAAATAAATAAGTAAATAAATAAATAAGTAAATAAATAAATAAATAAATAAATAAATAAATAAATAAATAAATGAATAAATAAATAGTCCTATTAGTAAATAAATAGTTCTAAACAAACAAATAAATAAATAAATTTAATTAAATTTTTATTCTTTCAGAAAGTCTGCTCAGAGATCTGCCTTGAGATGATGGAACATACAAAAATGCAGGAAAACGACACTTTGCACGTTCAGATGACGTCAAACAAGAACAAATCGTATCACGTGCACCAGCCGATGTCTCAATCACGTGCTCCGATAATAACACGTCACGTGCAAGATCCATCGATCCAATTTCAAGTAACTTCGTTTAATCATTTATTCTACATTAAACCCCCAGAGCGCTTTCAGGACACTCCAGCAGGACAAAGCTATAAATTCTCCTCGGTCAAAACAGAAGATTACCCATTGAGTGAGAAAAATGACAAAGTAGTTGTCATTCTACAAAACATTTTGCGTAATTTAGAGAATGATATTGAACATGATCGGCTGCGCCTCAAGGTAAGTTTGTAAATACTTTAAGTTATTTAAAGGTAGCCAGCTCAGTCTTAAATCTTCTTCAAAGTTCACGGTATTTTATATCCTATTTGTCCGTGTATATTTACGAATGTATAGAAAGAAGAAGCAAATTTTAATTATGAATATGTCAGTGTCTGTTACTTGTTCAGCCAGTATCCATTACCTGTTCATTCGGTTTGTTTGTTTTTTACTGTATTCCTCTTTGCCATCGATACATCCTTATAACATCATTAATAATCCTCGTTATCATTTATGTCGTAGTCGGCATCATCATCATCATTATCACCAACAACAACATCATCATCATCATCATCAACAACAACAACATCATCATCATCCTCGTCATTATTATTATAATAATCTTTATTATTATTGTTATTATTATTATTATTGTCATTATTATTATTATTATTATATTATAATTATAAGAAAAATAAAATGCTATATATAAAAATGGATGAAAAGAAAAGGAACAGATGCATTTACATGTATACTAAAATGTTCGACTATAATTACCGTATATAATGAATATATAGGACATCCTACCTTTAAACTAGAATGAAGTACTATTTTCATTATTGTTATGAGATATTTTTGTTCTCTGACCTTATTCTGTAATAACTTATTGTATATATAAGTTTTGAAATAATTTTTTCGGTCTTTGATAATGCATAATCTAGTGGAGGATTATCCCTTTATTGACATTTAATATCGCAAGTCAACATAATTTGTATGTATAAAAGATATAGAATTCGCCCTCAATGATACTGGATTCATTCATTCAGAAAATTCTATATGTAGTATTTATGATATGGAATACCAAAACCTTGAAGAATTTTAAATACGGTCTTCTCATAAATCCTATCACCTGATAACCGCCAATACTCTTGATCAGACCTCATTTAGATATTCTCAATTTGTATACAATAAGTCGCTTAAAGGAGTTTATTAACGACTGGTTTTTGATATTAACGTGCTCATCTTTCGTAAAATGATGTCATTTGTATTGTCAGACGATCCGCACTCGGTCAAGTGTCTTGCGCTGATAAAATGAAGTTTATTAAAAAAAAGAGACATCTTTAGTGTAAATATTTATTGAGGTATATAAATATATAAAAGGTTTTTATTAGTTTCTGTGCTAACATTCACAAAGAAGTTTTGTTTGAGAATGGAATGTTGTTAAAATGTTTTGATTAATTTCAAATCAATTTGGAATTTAGGAGGAGCGGCGAAAACGACAAAGAGAACGCCGTCGGCGTCGGGAAGAAAGACGAGAGACAGAAATGGCATCACAGCGCGTCGGGACATCACGTCATATTTTCTCTACCGTCACTCCTAAACCATTTGCATTTCGGGAAAGGAATTCGGAAGGAGCAGACGATAACTCGGTATGTTTTTCCCGCCAAGACAAAGCAAAAATCCGGAAACACGACAGTTTTAGTTTTGCCGATTTAAAACAGAATAATAACTGTAAAGAAAACTTAGGAACTTTCCTCGAGATTGGGTCACAAAGTCTGGACAGGAAACTTCCGAAACGAACGGAAAGTTACGGAGTTTCGGATTGGTCTCGTCATTCACGAGATGTTGATGACGTCAGTGATTCTGTTGTTGCTGCCGGTGCTACTGAAAATAGTGCGACAGAAGGAAAAGTAACTGATTTAGGTAATAGCAATCGGACTGTTGAAACAAGCAGTGACATTCATTGGTCTAAAAGACAAGTAGAATATCACAGAATTAGTCCAAGAAACTGTCCACCGAAAACGCAAACTGACAGCAAATTCACTAATTATTTAGATAGTAGTTCAGACTCACAGGGAACGCCAACAAACATCAGGAAAAAGCTAAAGTCTTTCGACCTGCTGCCAAATTATAAACGAACCGGCAAAGACGTAAGTAAAAGTAAAGACCTTGGAGGCAGACGTTTAGATACGAAGAAAACTATTGGTGGTCCAGAACCTGGAAGAGTAATAAGGTCTGCAGAAGACTTTTCCAAAGTTAACAGACGTGAAAATGAAAGTTCAAGCGAGGACGATGATATGGACATTGTTTTTCCGACATTACAAAATTTACACTCCTTTGAATCCAATAATGAAAACAGAAATGTTGACTTCTATATTGGTAAAAATACTGACGATGAAAATGATACTAGCACGTGTCATATATCAGACGACAAACTTGATGAAGCGATTGGCTCTCGGGAAGCAGCAGTTAGTGGTCCTGTTGCAAAGTTTCGTAATAAAAATAAGGCAATAGGTTCTGGTACCATTGCTGCTAGGAGGAATGAGACTGAAAGACCAACATCAGCAGGAACCAGTGGCTACTCCACAGACGAATACAGTTGTAAGGTATGTCGTTATCGTCATTTTTAAGCTTTTCGTCATAACAATATAATATTTTGTTTTTTCCCGTTTCTTAGTTGTATTTAAGAGCTTAATTATCGCCAATGACATAAAAATATATAACTACATATACATCAATAAATAAAAAAGTACATGTATGACAGCTTGCTGTGTGGGAAAGCATACTTAACACATTGCTGTACATTACATGTACATTACATGTAAACAAATTTAAAGTTATAAATGTCTACCGTACAATATATCTATTGATGATATACCTAGCCTAAATTATCCCTTCCTGAATTCTTTACCAACTGAGTTTTACGACATAAACATTAAAGAGGCTTTGTCATGCATGAGTTGAAAATACAGAAATCTAAACAAACAAAATAAGTTCGAACTGTAAGAAATAACAAATCGGACTGTAAAGAGAAACCTTGCCGTTTAAAACTAATAGATAATGTATTTAGTAACACAGTTACAACTTTTAAACATTTTTATTTTGGTTCAATTTTCATAAAGATATAAGATTAAATAAAGATATAATTTTTATCACATTTTCAAAAACATAAAGATTATTAGTTTAAAAGAATCACAAGTACTTTTTTTTGCCGTATCAACAAATTGAGGTCTGGCTGAATAATTAAATTGCAGACAGACACAGACCCCTGGTTGTCGTCTGCTCAATCTTAAACGTTCCCCAAGTATTTAATGTGATTGTACGGTACAGTTTTAATGTTCAAAGAAAAAATCACCTAACACTTAAAACATAGTTTGATGCGTAGATGCTCACAGTTCAAATATTTTGTTCAAATGAAATATTCCCGAAAACATTTGGAGGCATGCCCCTTTAATATGTGAATTGCGATTTAGAGTGTTCGTTGGCCTGTTTACTGTGCACTTCAAATTGTTTTCATTTCGAGCTATAATACTTACATATGTAAACAATGTTTACATGTTATCTTATAGGCCAGCTTGCTCCGTTACTTGACGAAATGACAGTTTACAGTGCCAAATAAGCAAATCAAGTGTTTATCTCTGATTTTTTTTGCAAGGTTCAGAAACAAATTGATATTATTTTTTTGTTTTGTTGACCAAAGGGGAGTAACCAATCATTATAATTCTGCGTCTAAAACTAGGTTAGTTCCCTTCCCTTTAGAAGGTACAAAGACCTATTTTTAGTTCATAAAAATGAATTTTGTTTTTATAATTAAGTTCTTTGAGTATTCAATACATGATAAAAAGACTTTACAATTTGAAAAAATATGAAACATAGATATTATCAAAAATTTATGGTAAAATATTCAAAAAGAGTTGACTTTAATTCAAAACAGTTGACAAAAGGTTAAAAGGTGATCAATATATAAATAATCAATTAGAAACTTGAGATCGTTGCCAAGTCTTAATTCTGTGTATAGCACAAGTTAGAATTTTATACACAACAATATAGTAAAGTTTACTGTCGCAAACCTTAACACGGGATAAATTCATTATTTTTAGACGGTAAATTCATTGTCCAACAATTTTATCCTTTTAAAAATCAGTATTGTACAGATTATAGAGCGATCTGATACAAAATACTTTGTAGATTGTTTAGATAGAAATCACATTTTAGATGTAAATGAGACAATAAAAGGAGTACTTCAGTTGAAGTCTTCTTTACAAAACTGAATGATTTATACAATTTTGACTAAAAAAAATAATTTACTATCGAGGGTAGCTTTGTGGGAAATGATGTGTAAAGAGGAAAATATCTCGTTATACAAATTATGGGCGTACATACAATAAATAATGGTATATGATAAAAAGAACTTGTAAAATATATGAATATACTTTGTTGAAACTTTGAGAAAACGATACTGCTTGACAGGTTTAATTTTCTGTTGTTCACACGGAATATTTATATATTTATGTGAAAAGAACAAAAATGGTTGCTACACGTAAGTTCATATTTTATTTAATATATTGTATTACAAGATTTATAGTAAAACGTGTTGTATATATAGAAATCAGGAGATAATTCGGGACAAACTGAGGTTCAAGTCAAAAATGCCAGTTATATAAAAACGTGATTTTCGTTCAGTTTTGTGTTCTATATATATGACTTCACGATAGTGACTCTCGTCAATTTTGCTAATAGAGGACAAAAACGAAAACAATATTCCAAAATATCTTGTTTTGCTTTTAATCAAGACTTAGCATTTTTAAAATATGTCATCAAAAGTTTCTGTTCAAAGCACCTTTAAATTTCCGTTCAACTGTAATACTACACTCTGCATTTTCCGTGCACGTGGCATCTGTACATGACGTGCATCGTGCACAGTTTGTGAGCCATCACTAAATGTGGTACTTCTGTAATATATGATATATTTTCTTGTAAAGTTTTTGAAAATGACGTTATAACATTTAATTCTATTATGAACAATAACATCTTTTTTAGAAAATACTATTGACATAAGTTGTATATTATTTACTTAAACATGTAAAAACTTTGAATCACATACAATGGGATATCAAAATAAGGTATATTAAAATAAATACGTAATATATATGTTTATCACCCAAATTTGACGTAAGGGTTCAATCTATAAAAATGTGTTACAAAAACTAAACTATTAGTAAACTGTTATAAGATGTTAAATGATGTACTAAGTAGCGCAATGCTCCATTTTACTCCAATTATTCATACATCACCTGACATATAACTTTGAAGATTTAAAAAAAAATGTTACTATCAATTACACATGTAATGTACGTTACATTAAGAAAACATACGTGTTAATCTAGATCTTCATTACATAAAATCACTGTTATGTTCTTTAAAAGTATATCTTTAGATCCCATTAATCAAAAAACCAACAAACTTGTAGATAACCTCAGGGTGAACTTTCGTAACGTTGATTTTATTATTTTAACATTTTATTACCTTTATAAATGGATTACTGATGTAAGTTTATTATCTATTATATCGTCTGCCCCGCCAGTTTCCTTTTATGTCATAGTCGACTTGCCCCAGGTATATATATTTCGAAATAGATGGGAATTTTGCGTCGTAAGTTTGCAATATTAACAGCATGTTTTTCCCCAGTTTTTTTTTGCACCAGTTTTAACATGGTACAACTGTCCTAAATTCAACACCGTCCTTGCTGTGACATCATTTTTGCATATAAACAGAACACAACAAAACCAAAACAATGAGACCCCCACTCCCCTATAAAACACAAAAGAGGTAAACCAACGCCAGCAACAAATAACCTCCCTCAAGAAAGAAAAAAAAACAACAACAACAACAAAGATAAAAACAACAACAAATAACCTCCCTCAAGAAAGAGAAAAACAATAACAAAAACAACAACAACAAAGCAAAAAGCAAAACAGCAGCAGCAACAAGAACATCATAAACAACAACAACATCAACAACAACAACAACAACAAAACAATATAGCAAAAATGTATCTTGTACAATAAAACAAATGAAATAATTTGTAAATCTTAAACTAAATCAAGTTAATCAAACTAATAAAATGATGCTTATGAAGTTAAAAAAAAACATGGAAAAAGCTTGCATTTATTTTACTCCTCAGTCACAGCCTACTCAGTCACAGCCTCTTTGCTCACTATTCTTCGTTTTTAAGACCACTAAGCACAGTGTTCTATGACTTCCGTTAATCAATGTTAACATTTCTTTAAACTTTTCATGATCGCCTTTAGACTAGAATGAAAGTAAATGAGGGTAACGGAAGCATTTACTTGCCATGAGCTCTTCTTACGCAGGACTTCGCTTTAAAAAGCCACTATTTATATACTATTGGCAACCTTATATCGCACTCATTTTAAATTCCTTTTAAGTATATAGGATATCTAGTTAAAGATATAAACGATACCTATATCAGTTGAAACGTAATACCCATCTTTAAACCTCTAAGAACGTCTTCTACTGTTTTTAAGTTATTAAACTGTGTCAAATTCCTTTCACTTGTCACAGAAAATTGAACAGGGTAATGAAAAATTAGTTTTGTGGTCTTGAAATTGAATACGTGCCGTATGAACCATATAACAGAAGAGATTATGGGCCGTTGTAGATATTTACCAACGATAGTTTTAAATTACAAGAAATCGTAAGTGTAAATCGTTATTAAATTGTTAATTTAGTCAATTACAATCAATGATAACATCATAGATTAACCTTACTTTCTTTAACTTTGATTGACATGTTGCCCCTGACATATATGCTGATAAGCATTTCGATGTAAAGGAAGGATATTGTTTTGATTTCATAGAGTAGAACATTCAATTAGTGATACCAGCTTAGTTCTTTAGTTTAAAACCGCAAAAGAAAATGTTGAAATGTTCGGATTTAATTTGAAAAGAAAACAAAAACAATCAAGAATTGTGTAGAGGATTTGAGAAATGTATTTTACAAGGATTGTTTTTGGAGTGTTCCGAAATTCAGGTAAAATACATATTATATAGTATTTTGTTACATTATCATCCTTGTGACAGGGTGAGCGCTGACTGTCGACCTCACCCAAAGAGGTCCACCAACTTCCGATCTCTATTACTTTGAGAAAAAGTATCATTTACACTCTTGTTTGTTACTATTTTTGGAAATTAGAACGTGGCGTGCATATTCCAACAGAATATTTTGTGAGCAGCTGATTGGACACCCTTGTGTTGGTTAATACTGTTATGCAGAGATCCGTCATTTTTTTACCTATAGGAAATGTATGACTGGATAGTTCTAATTTTGGTTGAAAGAAAAGTTTAGATGACTTTCATTGATATATGATACCATTTATAAAACTGACAGAAAATGAAGTACTTTGTCACAGTCAGTAAATTGCAGTTTTAAGCTAAGTGATGAAAAATTTTTATCTTTCAAAGGCATAGGACCAATTATTATCCTGGTACAATACAGTTTGCTTTTTTTTGGAGAGAATTGACAAACATATTTTTCATGTAAATGTGAAAACTCAATTAAATTTTGATATTAGATATTTGACGCA